TCCAAGTTTCTATCTATGGAGTATGACCAAGTCATTTAAGCTTTAATATACATGTCCTCTCAGCGATACCTTGTAAGGTATACTTAGAAACTGAGAACTGGGAGCTTAGATGACCTACAAGCTCAGTTTTAATACTTATTTACTGATGACACAGGCAGATTATATGTTTTAGAAATTTTGCCCAAATCACTCCTTATTTTACCACATTTCCCCTCTCATATATTATCTTGGTGTAACTTCACCTTCAAAGTTCTCTAACAATACAGCACACACCAGACTGACTGGTTTGCGGTGACAGCATGGACCTATATAAGGTTCCAAGTCCCGATGTGGGATGTGGGATTTGAACACACAACATTCTGACTCAGAGATGAGTGTTCCCACTTTAACTTGTGGACCTTGGTAACTGAACGCTTCACTAAAGTGAACTGTTAACCTGAATTAAATATACGGGATTTAAAGAGTAATAAAAACACAAAGCATGTATAAATATTGAATCCTGATAGTAACCGTGTATGCATCTGACCAGCTCACAAAACCTCTACTCAAATCAAATAATCAAATCAAGCAGGTGCAGGGTTCAAAACTGATGTGTGCAACATTTGGTATGTATATGTGCACTTCATCTGAAGTCTGTGTTCTCAAAGGACATCATTAACCTTTTCAAATATCTGCTTTTAAGCAAGAAAGCTTCTAGGCCTACAACAATTGCAGACAGTTCTCCTGTTCTCAGTCTATTTCAAAATATAAATTATTGGTCTTGGCTATGAAACCGGCTGCCACTGGATTTGGTCATGTTATTCCTTCTCTCCATGCCCACTGCATCCATGTCTGCAGTCTCTCTTCCCAACCATGTCTGCAGTCTGTCTATGATTACAGTGGTGAGACATCACCTTGTTGACGAGTATCAACAAGATAATAATAATCCCTCCAAAAAAACCAAAAAACAATAATAAAAAAAAATTGGGTCATTTTCAATCTACGACTGTTTGTGGGACATTGCTGTGCGCAATTGGCTGCCGCGTTCGCCCACAAATATACAGTCAATTCACTTTACAGTGTGTTCTGTGAAGCGCTTTGGGACGTCCTCCCGACGTGAAAAGCGCTATATCAAATGCAAGGATTATTATTATTATTACTCTAATGAGCCTGGTGTTATGATATTAGACAAGTCAAGGGTAAATACTGTTTGGTATTTTATTAGTCGTCAAATAGCAAGCATGCTTGTAGCCTTTTTGTGCAACTATGCTACTCAACAACAGTTTAGCCCTCGAGTACATACTTATAGTCTTTTCCTGTTTGTAGTAGATCCGTTTCCTCCCTGTTCCCCAGATATAACACCTGGAAGGAGATTTGACAACACATAATTTCCCCAGTCCTGCACTGAAATGGCAGCCAAAACGTGAGGCTCAAACTCACAAATCTCCAGTCCAGAAGTACTGTAAAAGTGCAAACAATAAGGGCAAGCTGAGAGTCCTAGAAAGAGCAAGCCCAACTCTCTTAAATGTCTCATTGCATCATCGAAACATCTCAAAGAACGTCATAAAATATACTGTAAAGTGATATGACCGTGTGTATTTTGTGAGTGTTCTGTGGGCATTTTGTCTACTACGATTTTATTATTTGTTATTGTTACTGTTATTATTATCATTATTTAGCTCTGAGTTATGATCAGTTTAATGAGAGGAGAATCTTACTTCAAACCTATTCTGGAAACCAGTAAGATTTATTAGCAAGTAAATTCATCAGATATAGTCATTAATGTTGCAATGCATTTGAAAACAAATTTTTAAACTTGTGCTGTATTTTTGCAGACAAAGTCCATACTTGGGCAGAAAAATTGTTGCAGATAACAAGATTGTATAATATTCATTGTTCACTTGCATAAAAATTGGAATGAGTTTGGGGGAAATAGGATTTTAGTGAGGCTTGAATGATACAGAACAATACATACTGTCGTTGCAGTCATGAAGAGGTTCAGGATGGTGAAAGTGTTTGTAAATGGGTGGGATGTTGCCATTTCCTGGTGTATCAATTCAATCAATGACAAGTTCCTGGAAATATAAGTGTCCCACCAGGAAATAAATGTGACCAAGTTTAAGACAAGCATGTTGAAGTCCCAGTGTGGGGCAATGCAGTGATTGGAGATTGTTTGGGGTTTCGATTTTTGGCATGTCATTCAGTTTCCAGACTTAATTCAGTTATTGTGAGGAGGTGCGGAGTAAATGTCCTCCACCTCTCCATAATAGATGCATAATCTAGAGCTAGAAAATATGACATTTCATAACAGATTTGCTGTACTAATTTCACATTGAATCTGTTATAAAATGTAGCACTTTTCATATTCTACTATTCAGAGCAGTTTCAAAGGATAGAAGATCATCTACTTTCCTCCCATAACTGTACTTAATATATGATATGGAGCAAACATGGGCCAACGTTGCATTTATATAAAATCTCTTCTGACCTCAAACAATTGTATGCAACGTTGTTTGTAGAACCAGCAACATCAACATCAACAACAACAAATTGCATTTATATAGATAGTTCCATTCATGTCAGGAGGACATCCGGAAACTACAGTCAGAATGTCTGTCCAAGTGCTGTGAACTTCAAGTAGATTGATGGATGTCTTAGTTGTAAGAGTTTCTTATGCCATTTGCATTTAAATGATTAAACAGTGGAGTCTTATCAGTCTCAACATGCTGGTTTCCATTTCAAAGCAGCCACATTAACCCGCCATGTCATTTGTTTCCCTTAAATTAGATGATCCTAACTTTTTTATGAATTGATAGCCTGGTTTAGTTTTTTTTGTGTGTATGTGTGTTCAGCCAAGTTGAGCTTCTTTCTTTATTTGTTAATCCCCTAAAATTAACCAAATAGAAATTACTTGGGGGTGGGAAGGGAATTCTCTGTAGAACAAGAAAAATGGAGAAAAGCTTATGTTGAAGGGAAAATGTACCAACCAACAACAACAAGATTACATTTGTATAGCGCCTTTCACGTTGGGAGGACGTCCCAAGGCGCTGGACAGAGTACAGCATTTCGACCATCGGAGCTTTGATGTTTATGTTGGATGGGGGATGCTTCGGTTAAGGATGAGTTTGAGAAGTTAAGCCAGAACCTTCCGTTGTGTTCTTTCACTAAATCTTCATAATAGTTAGTGCTGACTTATCAATGTTTACTTATCAATAGAAAGTTAATTTTAGGTTAGTATGGAACTCAAAATCACTGCTAGAATCTTCATGACGTTTGCTATTGAGCTCCTTTCCTTGTTTGTCTTGGGATCTGGAAATGTTTTGCATGCTTCCAGTAACCTTTTCAAATCTCTTCTTTCTATTTGGACTGCAAAGGATTTAACATTCTAAAAAGATCATGTGTGGTTTCTCTAATATGAGAACAAAATTTGTGATCATACATTGTTGCTAAGTGAGCTTGATGCTTCTGATTACTTCGAAATCCCTTCAAGACCTTGCTCCATCCAACCTCTGTGAACTCCTGGGTCCCTGCTTCCCAGTTGCTCCCTCTGCTCAGCAAACCATCAGACTGCTCCATATCCGCAGTTTGATCCATGCCCATCATCAGTTGATGAACTTTCAGCCATTTTGCTCTTGCTCTCTGAAACTCCACCCTGGAGTCTCTCTGCCTTAGCCCTTCCTTCCCTGACTTCAAAATTTACCTTAAGGCCTATCATGATTGGGGTTAGTGAAAGTGACTTGCTCTGTCAAAGAGCCGGGACAGACTCGATGGGCCGAATGGCCTCCTTCTGTGCTGTAACATTCTATGAATCTATGAAAAAAAATGAATGTGATCTTGTAACAATTTGTGTTAATTTACAAACTATAGCACCTTTCCCCTAGGATGACCATCTTGAAGTTCTTTACAAAGATGGTGGTGATCGTTGAGGGAAAGGAAGAGCATTGTGTCAGAAGTATAATATTATTCAATGTGTGAAAAGAGCTGTCTGGCTGGTCTATATAGCTATATTAATCTGAAGACGGTAGTTATTTTTACTTTAAGTCGACACCTAAAATTCTCCAGTGGAAGGACAAGCACACATTTGTTTCTTGAAAGGATGTTGTTTCCCACAATCGGCTAAGCAATTCACGTTCACCCATATATTATCCCATCATTGAAGTTCCCGGATCAGTTCACTATATCCGTTCAGATAATTGTATTTTCCTAATTTGTTTTCAAATTGCATACAATGTAATATGTGCTTCTTCCATTTTACCCAATGCAGCAATTTATATGATTTGAATAGTTTTTGACGAATTGAGACCAACAAAATAAATTAACTTTTAAAAAAAAGTTTGCATCTGTTGCAGTTTAATGAAGGAATGCTAACATGTTTTTTTCTCTCTCATTGGTGAGATGCGTGGAGCCCCTGTCTAATAGCAAATTACAATGTTTCTTTTTTGTGGCATTCCCATTTCCATGTTCTGTAAAGAACTGTATTCTTGTTCTCTTGTCCTTTAGGTGTATGACACACATGTTCTGGTTATACAAGAGCAAAATCCTTGTCACACTCATTTTCATCCTGATACAGAACAATTTATTTTAATATTAACCCCACCTATTTCTGGTAAATGTTTTGTGCTAATATCAGTTCCTGGCATACAATTTCTTCCTCAGTTACAGAGAAAGACTTCCTGCAACAGAATTGTGCCAAGTGTCTCAATTAGATCTGAGGCAAGAAATCCCACCCTGTTTTAGCCTTGAAAAGAACTGGTGATGTAGCCAATGATCCTGCTTATGAGTTTATCATTTATCTCAACCTATTTTATGCAAATATATGTTAGGCTTGCCTACAATAACACAAGACAATGATTACTTTTAAAATGCTTTGAGACAATTTTAGTGTGCTAAGGTACTACATAAATGTTCTTATCATTTTAGCTTTTATATCTGCATTTTTCTGGTAATAATTCTTGAACCATTTCACATTCCTTTCTATCAAATGTTAAAAATTGAATGAATTTCCGCTTTCATTTCTGTAGATAACACCTGGAAGCAAGGCATCACTTGCAAATCTTTCTCCTGGTGACGTTATCTTGGCCATTGACGGAGAGAATACTGAGGTTATGACACATGTTGATGCCCAGAATAGAATCAAAGCCTCCTCCAGTCAGTTAAGCCTTAAGATTGACAGGTTAGTGCAACATTGGGTTTCATTTGGCAAATATATTTGATGATTATGTATTAAATATGTCAAATAAGTCAGAGCACGTTTATTGCATTAAATTGGGGAGAAAAAGGAGAATATTGAGGTCCAGTTCTTTGATTATATAACAGGCCTGAAACCAAGCTTTGGTCTCCTCAAGTCACTGAAGATGGCAAGGCACATCCATTCAAGATTAATTTGGAGGCGGAACCACAGGTACATATTTATGTGTCCCTTGAATTCAGTGTCAATTGTTGATTCTAACAGTATAAAGGCATACAGATGCATTGTAATGAATAATCGACTTTACAAAGTTTTCTTGAATCAAAACTGTAATAAATTTCAAAGTCTGTTTCTCATGATGTGGATAATTCACAGGGGCTTCAATAAATATGTTTTAGTTTTTTACTACCACTATATATGTGGAGGAAGAAATTTCACCTGGGTCTAGTTTTACTCTATTTTCCTAACGTTTTAAAGATTCCACAATTTAGTAAATTCGTAAATATAGCCTTAATTTTAAAGCTGTTTTCCTGTGATTTTTTTAAAAAAACTACAGAAAAATGGCTCAGAGTTGAATTTAATAATTTGTAAAATTTTGCATATTCTGAAATGCTAAGAATATAAAATAAATTTAGATTCAGATTGAATTTCTAGCCAGTAAACAAGGTAAATAATTGCTGTATCTTAGAGGTCATATGTGTACATCTTCTGAAGCCTGTCCAGCTGATAGTAAATCAGTAAGAGAGAAAACAGTCATCAATAATCAAGCGGAAGGAGTATAAAGGACATTCGTTAACATCTGAAACTAGGACACAAGGTATCGGTAATGTTGCTGAATTCAAAAGTACAACAAGCCATTGCTGGGCACAGCATATAAATGCTGAGGATTGAACTTGAGTGTACATTTTACAAATTCTCCAATAGACTCTACCTTTTCCCCACTCTAACATACTTTTAAACAAAGTGGGATGTAGGTTTGAAACCAAGATTCCATAGAGCAAATTAGCAATCTTGAGTCTTCTGTCAATGGGAGTTGCTAAGAGCAAAAAGGTGGTAGTTAACCTGCATCCTACCCTCTCCCCTCCCCCACTTCAGATGATGCTTATTGGTAGAGATCTGGGACCTGCAGAGAAAAAAATGTACATTTTACATTCTGTACAAAATAACCCTTTCTATTAAAAAACAAGCGAACAACCCATTAAGCATTTAATCATTGGCTCCTGCAACAATTTAAATTCTTCTCAGTCCTTACTGCAGATTCCAGCCCAGTTTAACATTGCGTAAACCACAATACAACCAGGAATAATGTCTATGTTCGGAATTGGCATCTGTTTTACACTCCTGAATTCCTGTTGCAGGATTAGTGGAATCTGGTGCAGAGTTGAGGATAATGATTCCCAATAGGAAAACCATGCACTTACCAATGTCACCCATGGCTGTAAGTCAATTGACTTCAAAACAGGTAGCATGGGGCAACATTTCTTTTCCCACAAGTCAAGTTCTAAATGCATCAAATTGAGATTTAATGCAGATCTTGACTGGAAGTATTCTACTGAATACCATCTTGCCAAATAGTGGTTTGGTGCAAGTTCAAGAGCTGGAGTATCTGTCTGCTTGTTTGTCGAGCTGTGTTGTGTTATAAATACGCTAACTGAAGAGTGGTTGTACAAATTAATCTGTTTAAAGAAATGATCATGCGTGGCTTCCATTTTGGACAAGCTTCACCAGTCTATGATATCTTATAAAAAGGGCTGAATAGCATTGGTACCATTAGTGAGTTAGCTGCATGTGATTTATGGCACCAGTCACATATCTTTGTTTGCTGGGCAACAAAACAAGTAAAATACAGTATACCTAGAAACTCCCCTGCTGCAATGTTCTATTTGTCTTTTTGACTCATCATGTTGAAATAAATGATGGAAAACAATCCATTTTAAATCGTAAGCTTTTATTTTCTAATTCACAAAAGTGCGATGAATAGGGATGAAGTTAAATAACCTGTTGATGTGTTGGTGCAACTTTGTTTTTTGTGCAAAGCTATTCCTGAGTTACTTGCACAGTGTTACTGTACCTTTAAATGTGACAGACTGAGCACTTCAAAATAGCAGTGAGGACTGTGAATTCAAGGATGTGTTTCATTTCACTATGTTGTGTATACTGTATAGAGCATAATGAACACCTATAATCATATAATCCATAAATTGCACAGTTTCGGATTTTAATAAGATTAAGACAAAACCAAAGCTTACAAAGCTCAACTATTACAACCGTTCACATTGTATCATCATTTTATTCTCTTATGTATTTGGATGCATCTACCATTTAGCTTCACTGATAATATATTTGGGGTCAGACCTGTCCTGTAACAAAATCTGATGTAATTATTTTTACAGCTCTATAGTATGTTCAGAATCTGGAGAGTAATGTTATTGAAATATAATAGCTGAAATATAATCATTTCTTTGACACTTGGCTTCCCAGTCAATATTCATGTAGGCTTCAATGGGCAGATAGCTGCAGGCATATGTTTATAAAGATAGCAATTGTTTAGAAATGAAGAAACATCTTAAAATTTCTCAACATGACTGCATGGCTGCAGTCAGATATAGAAACCTGCCATATTTTTGTATTATTAAATGCAGTACATTAACCATCAGATCATCACACATTTAGTGTGAAATAATTCTGCATTTTTGCATTTCTTTCCTGCTTTTTAGCACTTATAATGTGCGCTTAAGTCTAACAGTGCAACAATATCAAAGGTGTGCCTTAGTATTTTTCTTCAAATGTCGCAATTTCTTCCTGAATGGAAATGAGTGACTGACAAAGCATGAATGCTGCCCCTCACTTACTGCATAATGCCACATTTGATGCCTTAAGCGCACTTGGAAGGGAGACGTTCTCTTCCTTGAATCTCTCTGCTCTGCTCCATTGCATCCATAGTGGAGTCCTGTAGCTCAGTGGTTAGAGCACTCGCTTTGCAAGCGAGAGACCTGAGTTCAATTCCAGGCAGGGCGAAACCTTGGGCAAGTTTCCTTACTCCACACGCCTAATAATAATCCCTCCAAAACCAAAAACAATAATAAATTGGTCATTTTCAATCTACAACTGTTTGTGGGACATTGCTGTGCGCAATTGGCTGCCGCGTTCGCCCACAAATATACAGTCAATTCACTTTACAGTGTGTTCTGTGAAGCGCTTTGGGACGTCCTCCCGACGTGAAAAGCGCTATATCAAATGCAAGGATTATTATTATTATTATTATTATTATTATTTGTCAAGCATTTGCAGGCCCCCAAAAACTAGCTTTTGCAATGTTGGCTTTCAGCCAATTTTCCCATGTTGAACAGCTGTATTGCTTAATATTGCTCATCTGGCTTACTAGCTCCTGTTGAGGCATGATGAAATCCCAATTATGGTGGCCACTATATCAGTAGCTGATATAATTTTGATAACACTAATGAAGTTGCATTTTCCATGAATGCCATTTATTAATGCCAGGCAATCATTTACTATACTTTCAAAAAAATTACTGTCCACATTTAAATGGAGGTCGAATGTCCGTGCATTTCCAACCAATATTATTTGGAGAGATTTCAATCCATATTGGTTTTAAAGTTCCCCCTTGTTGATATAACTATGCTTTGAATTGTGTTAACAAGGGGGACATTAAAACCTATTCTCATCCAGCCTCTCAGAACAATACTGGTTGAAGAAAACAATCTGAACAATATTTGAAACTTTTTGTTGAGATGCAGCTGCAAATCATTTTACATTAAGTGTATTTTAAATCCTTAGAATATCTCCTATATTAAGTTTGCAGTTCTCACTTTCTGTTTTGATACATTTTCACACCAAAGATTACTTATGTTTCCTTTGGATCAACCTGTACATGTTAATTGGTGCACACTTGTCAATCTTCAGTCATTCAACTTTTTGTGGCTATAAAACAGGCCTGTAAAGCTGAATCAATGCAACAATATTAAAACCAGGCACCCCCATTCTTCAAAGCTCAGTCAAGTGGTTTAATGGCTACAGCTTGAAGCTTATAGTGCAACCATTTCAATAGAGTTGGGAACTGTTCACCTGCAATAGTTATCAACTAGGAAAGAAAAAAACATTAAAGAATAGAGGAAAAAGAGAATAGAAGGGGGAAGGGGTGATAGCCACAGTTAAAGTTTTTGATTTTTAGTGTGTGGAGATGGGGCAATAAATTGGACAAGCCAGAGAGTAAGCCTTGTTGCTTCACCTTTGGTTTCATACTGATAGGAAGAGAGCCTCTTGTTTCCATTAGCTGCGAAGGCCTTGCATGAAATCTGCTTGAGTTCCACCAATCCTGTTCCTATTAGGCACAGTTCACAATTCAACACATATTTTAGATTTTTTCTTAGATCAGGGTATGAAGGGATATGGAGCAAGGGCGGGTAATTGGAGTTGAAGTACAGATCAGCCATGATCTAATAAAATGATGGAACAAGCGCGAGTGGCTGAATGGCCTTCTCCTGCTCCTATATTTTTATGTTTCTAAGTCATGGTCAATGGGAGCGGAAAACATTTAAAATTTCATCCTCAAGCAGAAGTGGAGAAGAAGTTTTGCAACCCTTATTGAGGCAAACTAAAGTGCACCTTACATTGCAATACAATGTTCTGTGCTTGACCCGGGCGACCTTAATGCTGATATTGGGTCCAATGTTTAACTTTGTTCCTTTGCTGGGTTCCAAGATGCTATGAAGGGCACTGTATAAATGCAAATTGTTGTTGTTGTTAATAGGAATCCTTTTAGAATTATCATCAGCACACTCCCAAACTATGCTCCAGAAATAGATCACATTCGAGTGGAGTTCCCACATACTTGTGGTTGCTGGAAGGAATCTCCATTTGCATGAACTGGATATTTATTAAGGGATTCTATTACAAATTACCACAAAACACCACAATTTGGACCCCACTCAGTGAAAAAGGTGTTGGGTGGGGGCAGGCATGTTCCATTCAGCAATATTGATAATCATAATCTTTTATCAAAGAGAAAATTTATCTTTGAAATAACAATGCGAAAGTTATGCTATCAATTGACTGGAACATATCGATTTTATCATGAGGAGTTTGAATGAAAACCCAGCAACTTTATTTTGATTTAGCTTGGGCAGTTGAAGTGCAGACTTTCCAAAATGTGTTACTTCAATCCTCAAATGTTGAGTGTTGTGCTGGTGGCATGATCATGTCGTAAAGCAATGAAGCAAACATTTTCAATCAGGACTGGCTTATTTAAAACTGACAGTGGCTATTGTTAATGACTGTTCCTTTTTTTCTCTTCCTCCATGTAAAATCTAGTATTACTGCCAGGATATATCAAAAGTTCGATTTATTTTATTTTTGCCTAAAATAATAGCAAAACACATCTATCACAGTACAGCTTTCATTTAAAAAAAGGATTTAGCTGCATAATCACTCAGTAATAATCCAAACGTGCGTGGTATTATAATTTGGAAGCAGACTATGTGTTGAAAGGAAGAGAAGGAAAGCTGTATGCACTAATGAAGTGATCACAGCCATTAACAGCCAGGTGCATGGTGTGCCTACTCCTGCTTATCAGCTGCAGCATGAATTGTAGCTTTGTGTACTTTGTGCCCCTTTTACATGCAGGAATTCAAACCGCTTGGAAACTCCCATAACAGAAAAGCCCAGCCGTTTTTTACTGCACAAAACATTGATGACAAAAGGCAGATTGTGAGTTCCAGCTACAATTCACCAATTGGTCTCTATTCTGCTGGCAATATACAAGATGCCCTTCATGGACAGATGCGTGGCCTTATCATTGATCCAAAGGAAAAGTAAGTATGGGGTTTGGATTCTGCTGCGTCTCTATGTCTTGTCTCACAGTCTTTGTTTTTCTATTTGGTCCAGCTCTTGCTACTTGTACCCATTCTCTAACTAAAGTAATAAGTTATCCTCTATGACAATCATATGTTTAGTGGGAAAAAACAACTTTAGGAAAAGTCAGTTACTTTAAACAGGCGACAGAATGGAAATAAACTATAGGAAAAAAATTACCTCGAATGTTATTTGACAAAAGTAAAGGCAGGGTCAAGATTGAAAAAGATTTTGAAGTTCGAGCTAACAATTTAGCTTGTCTCAGTTTGTGTTGTTTTGAAAAGATATATATTTTAATACACACAGGTACGTTTGGTCGATATGATTTTAAGTCAAACTTGTGCACTGTTGTACTGGTGGCATGGTCATTATTTGTTATCATGTGAGGTACGGAAACAAATCATTCCTTTTTTTACCTTATTATAGATATATATATTGTATGAAATCCAGTGTCTAATAAAGTGAAAATATTATTTTGAGACTGAGCATTGAACATCCTGCTTTTACTGCCTATTAAGGTTAGATGTCCTATGTTATCTTTACCCATTTTTTCCTTACAGGAACTAGGCTACTTTGAACACAAGTTCAATGTCAGACCCAAACCCTTCTCAGTAGTTTCCACCTTGACCAGGTTTTACACGTTATCTTTAATAAATTGCATGTGTTTTGTCTTGAATATTTATAGTATTCTGAAAGTGGAACAAGGGAAATTTTACATATGCGTTGCAAAAATTAAGATTTTTTAAAATAAACCTATTCACTTCATAAAGATCAACAACCACATTTAAAAAGAATATTCAATTGCAACTTTTGAAATTTAGCGTGTACTCTGTCAAATTATTTTAATTTCATCAAAAGGATTGTACAGCTATTTTTACAAAAATTTTAATGCAATTGATCACTTCTGTGCGATATTAACTGATTCTCCAAAGATTAATAGCGTTCTCATAACAGACAAAATTCAAAAAATGTTTCATAAATTTAATTTAGGGGGGAAATTATTTAATCCCTTGATCCTCTCTGTTAAAAAATGTGATTTATATGATCTATTGTGCATTTTCATGGTTGAGTAAATTGTGCTGGTATATATATGTGCTTTGATATATCAGCTCTAGGACTCAGCATGTCATACCAAGTCTTGACTAATGTCTTCTCTCCAGTTCTTGCATGTTTGTATATTTCTTATTTATTTCTCCACCAATAGTGACTGTACTTTGTAGGCAAATGCAGCAGCCAATTTTGCACACAGCAATGTCCCGCAGACAGCCATGAAATCAATAACCAATTTTATCTGGAGATTGTTGGCCAATTATACCAGAAAAGATCCCTTGTATTTTTGAATCATTAACATCCACCCACAGGCAAAAGGGATCTTGATTTCACGTCTTATCCAAAGAATAACACCTCCAGCAGATCAGCACACAGCCAGCACTGCCCTGGAATGTCAGCTTAGACTACCAAACAATGTGATCACTATTAGTGTTGCGGGTGTACTGCATTGTCGGAGGTACATTACTGTATAACTACAAATAAAAAGATACATTACTGTATAATTGCAAATAAAAAGATTTATCTTTATCATTTGGGCTAGGTAATCAAACAATGACATTATATGCAAAAATGATAATAAATAAATCCTTTTATTTGCAGTTAGTTATACAATAGTGTTTTATTTTAATTAGTTATCTATTTTGGCAAAGTGTTCATAATTCATGTTTGCTATTAGGCGTAAGCTTTCAAATTTTAAAACAAACTCTAATCCATTCATTTTAAACATTGTTTCACATGAAATAAACCTGTAGAATATCTCATTCAAAATCCAGTTGGATTTTATAGAACTCTTATTGAGTTTTTAACCAATTGTTCAGGAAATAGTATTTGCACTGTTTCTTTCTTGAACGTAAGCCAGTTTTTTTTTGAGGGCTAGTAATACAAATCTTTTCTGTCTCTGAACTCAGGATCACCTAAAGAAAGTGACTAAAGTGTTGATCCTGTACAAAGTGTTAAATTTCAATTCTGGATTGTGCCATTCGCTACCCAAGACATATAAAGTAAAGGCACTTTATTGTACACAGTCCAAAAGCCTCCTACTAATTATAGAGAAAGTTCAAGAGATTGGAATGAAATCTGATGTTATAAATTCCAAAATGGTAATTCACCTATTGAAAAGAGAATAATAAGCCAAGGGGAAATACTTTACACACAAACAAATCTCCAGTCCAAGGAGTGAGATTCTTGTTTAACTATATTGTAGACATTTTCAAAGACTGCAAGGAATGCAGACAGCTTGAAATCCTACTCTGGACAAAGACAACTCAGAGACATTCGTTCCCCTTGCTTCTAGGAAAGAAACAACAAAAGCAGCGGGAAAACCTGTTCCCTTCCTACAGTCTTCCCATTAAATGCCCAAAAGGTTCCAATTAGCTGCGTTCCTAAAGTGATCTTTTCTGAAAATAATTATCACTACAAAGATTTGCATTATGAAGATTTAGCAAGGACAAAAGTCATACAACAGTCTCCTTTGGAGTTGAAAATTTAATATTCACTGTATTAATAGAGCGAATAAAATTGAGATTCGCTGTGAAATTCAGTTTTAGAAAAATCCCGATTCTGAGGCTTTCAAAGAACCATTCTGCAACAGACGTTTACCTTCCAAACATATGCAGGAGGTTTCAGGTTTTTTTCTCATCCCAGAAATGTATGAATGACTTTAAATTGTGTTTGCATGAACTATTAACACAACCCCCTGAAAATTGTATATTTTAAACACACGTGAAAAAAATAGTACCACAATAAACTACTAATCTTGCATAAAGGAAAGCAGCATGTGTAAAGCTGAATCCTGAATGGACCTGTATTGTAATGCATCTTATTATATAAAGTGGACTTTGATCGTGCTTATGGTCACCTCCCCATCCCCCCTCCCCCTGGCTCAGTGTCAGACTCCACCACTTTCAAGCGCTCTGAGATGCTACCCCGTGTGAAGGACATTATATAAATGCAGGTTGTTGTTGATAATTGCACTGCAGTCTGTAAACTGAAAAATTCTTTCAATCTAATAATGTTTGACCTTCTCGTTAACTATGTTTTGTAATATTTTCACCGTCTTGAAAATTAAACTTTTTTATATAAAGGCAAACTAAAAATTAAATCTAAGCCTTAAAGTTGCATTATCTCATTTGTGATAGTTCAGATTTGCCACTTTTCTAAGCTAAATAGAACTTTTGAACATTTGCCTATACAATATATTTCATTGCAGGTATTCCTTCATTTTGTGATTGAATAATATACAAGCCTCTTAATTTCTCATGAAAAAAGATACTGCAACATAAGCAACTATGATATCACATTACGCATCCTAATCCCTAGTGTTTATTGCTCAATATGAGAAACCTTCAAATTGAGACTTTAGGTGAAACTATACAAACTAATAGCGTGTGTTGTGTATGTGTGCTAAAAGAGAAGGCTGTATTACCAGCCTTTCCTTTAGCAATGTCTTTCAAACTCACATTATACATGAAAGAGTTAAGGCAAGCAGATGAATTACACTTTTTGGTGTTGGCAAACAGTTTAGTGGCACAAAGAAACAGACCTTTTTTGTAGTATTGCTGATTATCTATTTCTCCTCTTTCAACCATAATAGCAATATAGAATTTTAAAGCCAACCCTCTTAAGAAAGGAATTGGGATCCCTGGAGCCAAAATTGCAATATTCCTAAACACACTGTATTTCCTATTTTAAGGAACACCATTTAAAATCTATTTTGAAATACTGCTCACATAGTGATAATCCAATAATGGTAACATCAAAACCTGTTAAAAGGCACTGAGCAGTGCCATTTTGGATTCTGCTTAATGGGAAATCATTTTCAAATGGCAAAAAAAAATGCCTTTCTGAGCATTTCCAATGGATGCAGGCCTAACTCAATCTTAACTCAAAGCAGACTAAGCACAGAGAGATAATTTTCCTTGCTCACAAATGGCAACTGTTTGCACTGTTTGTAATCCATTGAATTGTGTTTGGCATAATGTTAACAGGAATATTGTAACAGCATTCTCCCAATAACCTAAGTGACTAAATGAGGGCAATGTTTGTGAGGAATTCAATGTCCAGTTGTTCAGATCACAAAACTAATTTGTCAGGTAATTTAGCTGTGTCCATGTTAAAACATCATCGGCACATTGATGGGCCACATGATTTACCAGGACTGTTATTTCTGAAGTCCGGAATTGTGTGTTCTGTATTAGTTGTCCTGCAAATCTGGATTAAGAATGTTCAGTGATAGCTATGGATTTGCAGGGAAGAAACATGTCTCACTTGAAGCATTCTTGATCTTTAAGCACTGAAACAAGAAGATGTGATTTAGAAATCATTGCTAAGTATTTCTAATGCATCTTCTCCTTAAACTTTTAAAAAAATATTTTCTGTTGTGTATGTGTTTTTAATATTGTATATTTCTGTCGCTCTCTTTTTGTGGCCATGTCATGTCCTTTGCAATTTTCTGGCTCATATTCCCGGTGGCCAGTGATGGGTGCAGTTCACCGTCACTTGTAGGTGGGAGAAGTGGGTGCAATTCTCCCTCTGTGACTGGTAGCGTTGACCTCAGTGAATTGAAAGCTGCAACAAAATTTACCCTCAATAGACCAATCGAAATGGAACTCCCAGGCATCAAGATTACACATGCTCAGTTTAATTCTCCCATGCAGCTGTATTCTGAGGACAACATTGCTGAAGTGTTGGAAGAAAAGGTTACCATGGCTGTTGGTGCACCTTTGCAAATAAGGTAATTGAAGTTAAAGTATGCCCCTTTTGTGATTTGGCAGCTCCAAATCTCTGCCACAAATGCCCTTGAAAACCTCATTGACTGTGTTACTCTATTCTGTACGGTAAATACATTCAAAGTCAGACCTTTTTTTTAAGAGGAATAAGTTGTAAATTACAGGCACCATGATCACCCAGGAATATGTTTTTATTACCATAACTGTACAATAAATGGCTGATAAATGCTGCAAATTGAACCCCAACTTCTGACAGCAAGCAAGTCATCAACCTAATATTCAGACTCCTCTGACATCACTTAAATCGAGCCAACATTCATATATGAAAGGAGGTAGATACTTGGGATGTAAGACTATGAAGAGATACGTAGAAAAAGCAGTGAACAAGGAAATGGATTTAAAATATCTGCCATGATTTAATAATATGGTATAACTTGTTCATTGAGCTAAACAGATATTCCTGTTGCTTTTGTTTTGTTTCTACAAACCATTAATTTTCCTCTTCACGCCCCTGTTCATTAATACTCTAGTACATAATTCATTTTCACTGCCTGGGCTCTGGTTAATTGCATTTTCAGTTTTTCAAGGTTACATATGTGCATTTTGGTTTGTACATTTAGTTCAAACTGCTGAGCAATATGAACAAAACTGAGGCCTAACAGATGTTACAACTTTTTTGGAGACAATCAATCAAACAGAATAAGTGAGAAATTAGATCATCAGAACGTTCTATTCTGTTTAGTGTTAAAGCAAATTTCAGCCTCCTTCATTTCTCTGTTATCTCCTTTTTGCTCGATCCCTCCTTGAGAAGTATAGGCGGTCTTATTAGTGTGTCTCGAGAGATTCATCCAAAGGGAAGGCATATCTACCGTGACATCATCATCATCAATCGCCTCTTACCCTGGTGCATTAGAATTACATTCAATGTTACAGCATAGAACAGGCCATTTGACCAAACTCAAGACCCTGTTAACACGACCAAAAGAAACTTCCACATTACATCTTTAGTTTCTTGAAGATGCTCCTTCCAGTGAAGGGATGAAACACCAAAACATCACCCCAACAATAACTTGTCCTTCATATAAACAGGGTGAGAAGACAGACTTCTCCACCCCAGGTTTTGAGAAATAATACATTAGATTCTGACTGTATTGAAGAATTTCTCAAAATTCTGCACAAATTTATATTTGAAAACCATGTCCTGAAGACTAAGACACAAGAATGTTTTGGCCTTTGATGAAATATGTCATCACACAATGAGCAAACGTTCAATTTAATGGCCTGTTGCAGGATCCAGTGCGATCTTTAGTGAAGGTATATGCATGGAGGTAGTTTCAAAGGCATCTTTTGTGAGCGGGAAGGGATGAGAAATAGAAGGTGTGAAAGGAGATATCCGTTGCAGGGCATCTGCTTCTTTGTTTTCGACAACGAATCTGAGAAAAGTCAAGATTCAATCCAGCATTGTACAAACCCGACACTGAACAATCCAAACCAAAAACAGTTTGACAAGTGAAACATCCTCAATGGCCAGTTAGTTGAAGGCGTTATTTAAGGATTTGCCTTTTTATCTGAAATAGGAGAAGTCCTGGTTAAAATCCTTGAAGATGGATTGTGGAACGTAGATCCATAATTAACTTATTACATCATGCATTATAATTGATGCTAAATGTCATACACAGGAGAGGGGAGCAGAAACCTTCAATATCTGCTTGGGTTTAGATCAGAACCACTTGATCACAAATCCAACCATAATACGGGTAAGAGACAAACCTATTTATTTCTCTGGAAAAAAACATTAAAGGAGCATTGTTCATTAGTAAATATATGCTCTGAGTATAGAAGTAGAAACAGACTGTCCATCAATAGGGCACACTCCACTCTTTCAAATGCCTTTTCAGCATCATCAATTAATGGTGAAGTTGGATCTTTCAGATGGGTTTATTTTCATGTTGACAGTAAAAGTACTTGCAAAACATATGAAGCTTTCTGAGTGGATCATCAAAAAGAATGTCAAGCTCCATCCCAGCCTCAGCAAGACATCCAGAAGAATCAAAGTACCATTGCTTCTATATCTGCTTCCGGATTGACGATTACTTCTCTCTTTCTGGAAATATAGAATGATTTTGCTTCTTACAAAAAAAAGTCTTTACATTTTCCAGCAGCCAAAAAGATGAATGAGATGGATGAATCTCAGAAGTGCAACAGGTCTCCAGAAGCTGTGCCAAATGAAGCTGAATGTGTGCAAGAAATAGCTCACCATCTGGAAGAGTTGCAAGTGATGCCAAACAAGCATGACAAAGGCTGAGATAATCAAATGAGTGTTAGCTCTGGTCAAGAAGGCAATTGTTTAATCACAGACAATTGTATAACCATGGCTGGCATTCAATATACCTGAACTGGATGAAACTCTATTTCATTTGATACCTAATATTGCTTAAACTACAGATAACTAAATGATCTGTTCATTTGAAGCAAGTTTCCTCTTTCAGACATTAGTTATACTTGTTTCTATATTAATGAGCTTGCTTAAGTATTGTTGTTAAGATTGCTTCAATGTAGAGTTAATTGGTGGACTTGCTGAATATATTGGTTGCCTTGTCCATGTTTGCTTAGAGATTTTGTCTGTTTATTGTGGCTTTACTTGTAACTAGAAAAATTGTCATCTTAACCTTATTTTATTATTATTACATTTATTATTATTACAATATTATTATTATTACAATATTATTATTATTATTACAATATTATTACAATATTATTATTATTACAATATTATTATTACAATATTATTATTATCAGTGTTTCCCATAATTCTTCACACTTCCATGTCTCTCAGCTCGTTCGCTCTAGCAGGCTGATAGACTTATCAATCATTTGCTGCAGTAGTAACAAAATGCAATGCTCAAAACTGACTCCAAAATTCTCATAATCACCTCCTAAATACCCACCATGAAAAGTAACAATTATCTTCAAAAGAACTGTTGAAAACCAACTTCAAAATTAAAACTTAATATAAGAAGCTTCAAAAATTCTGAACATCATAAATTTGGGGATAATGGTCTTAAGGCTGAGACCATGAGAAAGTTTGAACCTCTGAAGCTTTAAAAAAGTTAACTTTTCAGATAAAGTGGAACCTATAAAAGAAAATAAATTGTTCACTTTTAAAAAATTATTTTTGCTGTTAACCAGCTTATTACCATTTCACAAAAAAAATCAACAGCCTGTTTAAAAAGTGGGAAGAGGCAAGATACAATTCTTCTAAATCCTGTTTTAGCACCAAACAATATCCAACACTTCAAATCCAATCGCAAACCACTTTGTTTTGAATCCTCAGAGTGAACCAAACTTCCAGCCTCATAACAACAACAACTTGGATTTATATAGCGCCCTCCACGCCAGATGGGATCTCAGAGTACTTTACAGTTTAGGATCCCGGGACCGAGCCAGGGGGGAAGGGGAGGAAGGTGACCAAAGACGCAGTCGAAAAGAAAGGTCTTCAGCAGAGACCTGAAAATGGGAAGGGAGGGAGCGAGACGAAAGGAGTGAGGAAGGCAGTTCCATAGCCTCGGGGCACAGGCATGGCTGCCGAGGGTGGAGCGGAGCACTCGGGGGACAAGGAGGAGGATAGACCCGGAGGAACCAAGGCAACGGGTATTGTGCTGAGGAGAGAGGAGGTCAGAGAGGTAGGGGGGTGCAGAGGAGTGCAGGGACTTGAATACGAGGGTGAGGATCTTGAAATCGATCCTCTCTGGGGTAGGCAGCCAGTGCAGTCTGGCAAGGACTGGAGTGATCGGGGAGCGGAGTTTCGTGTGGATGAGAACACTATCCCACATCCCAATCTTACACATTACAGCTAAATCTCCAGCTTTTAATCCTTGACTTAGATCACCAAGGATTCAAGAATTTCTTTTTTATTAGTTGTTTCAGGCTTTCCTGCCCTGATCCTCACAAAAGAGCAAGGCTTTTCCAGCAGCAACGTGCAAACCCAGTGTCCTCTGTTCAACACTGCTCATATTGTTCAGTTTATTCCGACTAGAAGCAGCTTTATCTCTGAAAGCCTGGTTCCAAACTTACAAGAAGGTTGAAACAAAAGATTCCATATCAGTATCAATCACAGAAATTTGCCAATAGAGTAGAAAAAGTAATATTAGAAAGTGACAAATATTATTAAATTGAATCCTTAGAAGATCTTCATCATCACAGTTCAGTTCAGAGATTTTTGGTTGTTATTCAAAAGCATTTTGCAAACATTGCAAGCTTCTCGACAGCTTATAATGACTTGTGTGTTCATACAGCATTGAGCCAGAACCACCAGCTCAGAACTCCGATGTGTACAAGATGCTACATGAAAATGAGGAGTCCAGTCATGAGCCAAGACAATCTGGGTCATTCCGAGCAATCCAGGATCTCCTGCAGACAGATGAAAGTGGTGAGTGTAACAATCATCCTTGCATTTCATATAGCATCTTGTCACCTCACAACACCTCAGATTAATTTACAATAGTTAGTGGTGTGCAGTGACTGTGTGTTTATAGGCAAAATGTAACAGCCAATTTGCACACAGCAATGTCCTATAAACAGCCAGGTAGTGAATGATCAATCTAACTAGAGGAATGTGGGCATTTATATAGTGCCCTTAACTCGGGTAGCATCCTGGAATGCTTAACAATGGTGTAGATTGACATTGAGCGGGGAGAAGGGGACAGTTGAGGAAAGTCTTCAAGTGTGATCTTGTGCAAGGAGGTGGAAATGTGGAGGGATCGAGGCAGGATATTCCAAACGGCTCAAAGAGATACTCCATTTCTCTTCATTATCCTGGCTCAGTGGTAGCACTCCCACCTCTGAGTCAGAAGGTTGTGGGTTCAAGCCCCACCTCGGGACTTGGAATCACATAGTTTAAACTGACACTCCACTACAGTGGTGGAGATGTATTGCATTGTCGGAGGTGCCATCCTTCAGTTGAGGAATTAGACTGAGGTCTCTTTCTGTTTGTTCAGGTGGATGTTAAAGATCATATGTCACTATTTGAAAAGAGAAGGGAGTTTATTCCTGTGTCCTGGCAATTCCCCCAAATAAAATTGGTTAATCATTCCAAGGCATTGCTATGCTCAAACTAGCTGCTGTGTTTTGCCCACAAAATACCCCATCAATCCACTTTACTATATATCCTGTTAAGTGCTTTGAGACATCTCAACAACCTAGTAAGGAACTATATCAAATACAGGGATTATTACCAAATGCAAGGATTATTATAAATGGTGTCATGGCTCTTATCTCTTGTCTTCTCCGGTCATGTGAGGCTTGGTTACACTCAAATGATTTGGGGCAGGGGTAAGTGGTGTTTCCTTGTAGTTGAGCTGGCTCCAAGGTGACGTGCTTGGCAAATGGAACGTTGGAATCAAATCACCCATATATGGGGGTCTTGGAAATCCAGTTCCAGAGACAAAACAAGTCTAAGGCATTGATGTCATCAGGCTATCAAGCGAAAACAGATATGGCAGGAAGGAATGTGAATTATTTGTTGAATTATTTGACAGATCAACTCTGGAAAATAAATATTATTGGAGTCCTGTAGCTCAGTGGTTAGAGCACTCGCTTTGCAAGCGAGAGACCTGAGTTCAATTCCAGGCACAGGGCAAAACCTTGGGCAAGTTTCCTTACTCCACACGCCTAATAATAATAATCCCTCCAAAAAAACAAAACAATAATAAATTGGTCATTTTCAATCCACGACTGTTTGTGGGACATTGCTGTGCGCAATTGGCTGCCGCGTTCGCCCACAAATATACAGTCAATTCACTTTACAGTGTGTTCTGTGAAGCGCTGTGGGACGTCCTCCCGACGTGAAAAGCGCTATATCAAATGCAAGGATTATTATTATTATTATTAAACAAAAGCAAAGTAGGGGTCAAAACTGGATGTCATCCTATACTTCAAGCACTCAATCATTGTTGGCAGCTACTCTTCCTCCATGTTGTCCCGTGATTATAAACCTTAAAAACAGTAAACATCACAAATATGATCTTACACAACCACTCCAAAGTACTCATGTTGCTTCAAACAAATGTATTGATTAAGTTCCAAAGAAAGCAGAATCTAAGAAGTGAGGAGTTCACTGCCACCTAGTGGCCATATAGCAAAAGCACTAAAATACAACTAATTCTGACTTTGAGTTAATTAATACCAGCAATAATAGTGATTAGAATCTTTACATTCGCTATAATAGCTTTCACGTCAGAATTATGTCCCAAAGCACTTCACAGTACTGTAAAATATATTTTATTTTGTGGGTGAAAGCACTGCCACTCTGCACACAAAGTGAGGGACCAATTTTATTTGGGGGATTGTTGGCCAGGACACCGGGAGAAACTCCATTCTCTTTTCTAATATTGGCATGGGATATTTAACATCCACCTGAATACGCCTTGATTTAATGTTTTATCCAAATGACCGCAATCTCTATCAACGCAGCACACCCTCGGTACTGCATTGGAGTTGTCAGCTTAGACTATTATCAGTTCCAAGTCCCGACATTGGGCTTGAATCCACAACCTTGTGATTCAGAGGAGAGAATGCTACCAACTAACCCAGTCTACAGTTGAACACTTAAAAAGACTGCAAACCTTACCCCACTATTTTTAATCTAATTTTACTTCAGATGATCAAGGTCAACGCCCTACAGGCACTAGAAGCGTGAAGGCTCCTGTGGCAAAAGTCGGTGGTTCCCCAGCAAGTGTTCAAAAGCTGCCGCTGTGTGATAAGTGTGGTAATGGAATAGTGTAAGTATTTGTTAAAGAGTAAGAAGGGTATTTTTGTGTGTTTGGGAGAGGTTTGCCTTTTGTTATCTTTTTCTGCTATGTTTTATTCCTCCACTTCCTTTTTTCGCCATTTACTAGGATATGATTATTTGGGCCTTGGGAGACCTCTGGTGCCTTGACAATGTGTGAGCCTTGATAGTAAGGGTCATACAAAGGAACATAGGAATTGCTATATGAAAAAAGATCATGGACCATCTAATCCGCCTTCTACCATCATAACTCAAAGTGCACTGAGGTCAACTGTAGCAATCCAGTTGTAGCTTTAATGCAGATCAGCAAAGATTGGCTTTTGATTTTGCAACTTTCTGGTCTATATGATCGAGTGCTGCAACAGTCCACATAATAATAATAGTATTATTAAATATTAGGTAAAGAAAGGCTGAACCTTGCATATCAACAACTCTTACACTATCCCACAATAATGTCTAATTCAGAAATAAGTTGAAAATGACGTATGTTATTTTTGGCAATAAAATTCCAGTACTTTTTTAAAAATTGGCTGGTGCCAAAAGTAAAGCTACTTACAATATATTCTGTGAAGCGCTTTGAGATGTCTCAACAACGTGATAAGGTGCTATATCAAATGCAAGGATTATTATTATAAAAGTGGTTTTAAAATAAAACAGTGTTCCACTACAGTCAAGCCTTTGGGACACTACCTGGGATGAGACGAGCTATATAAATACAAGTTGTTGTTTTTGGAGGACTTTGTGATGCAATAGTTGCACTCACTCTCATTTTACCTTTGAATCCTGCATCTTGTAGCACTCCATTGACCAAGACAATAGATACCTCGTAAGTACAATGAGGCGTTTAACGAGCGTTTTTGGGGAAAGTGGCATCTCCAGCTGCAAAAGACCTCCTCGGGATGTAAAACCCTCCCAAATGTGAAACCTTCATCCATAAAATATTCACTTTACAATATTTTCTGTGAGACGTCTCAAAGACGTGATAAGGTGCTATATCAAGAGCAAGGATTATTGTTATTATTATTACTTGGCTCACTCTGGTTGCCTCAGAGCTGAGATACTTCAGGTCAGCTTTTTCTCTGCAGTTTCCCCAACAAATGTTCCCCTCCCCCACTCTAAATTCTTAATATTAAAATAAAAGTTGCTTTTCAAACAATGCTTCACTAATTTCCCACTAATTTTTGTGTATTCCTTTTCATACAGGGGAACAGTTGTCAAGGCCCGTGACAAGTATCGTCACCCCGAATGCTTTGTCTGCTCTGACTGTGATATGAACCTGAAGCAGAAGGGTTACTTTTTCGTAGAAGGGCAGCTGTATTGTGAAATCCACGCAAGAGCACGAACGAAACCACCAGAGGGATACAAAGCTATGCCGGTTTATCCCAACATGAAGGCTTAAATTTTCCAGAAAGATTGAAAAGAACGTAACTGATGGGATGCAGATACACATAAATTTATTTCACCATAAAGATCCTATCTTGCCATTATCTTTCTGAATCTTACACAAATGCAGTAAACCCTTAAGTATAATTATGCTCCCTCCCCAAGATGCATTCACAAAATGCGGCTTGCTGAATTAGCTATGGCAGATAGATTTGCACGTTGCAAACTTGCTAACTATCAAAAGTATTGTACAGCTGACAATTTGATACAGCAAATTAAACAAGAACGTGCAGTAGCCTCATTACAGCACCAATGGGGCTAATTTACTGCCAAACCTTTGCAAAAAATTACACAGCAAATGCACATGACAGGAACTGAGCACATATACTGATTTCTTCTTAACAGGTAGAGGTTATAATTTAAATGTACACATTGGTATTAAGTAATTGTACAAATACACACACACACATCACATATTAATGGCATTGTAGCCATTAGAAGTTACCATCTGGTTACTTTGCTATTTTGTTACTTTACGTTTCACTGGATGAATTTTAAAATAGTCGCTAAATATAATTATACAAGCGCTGAAAATTACAATTCAAATCCAACAAATCTTGGAATTTAAAACTCATTTCATTTAAATCCTCTTATAAATGAAACTCTTTGGCAGCAACAAAACAGGAGAACTGGAGCTCCGAGGTTCAAGTGGTGATGTTACATAGAGCTCAGCGAGGTAACCAGATGGTCTCACAGACTCTACCACTCAGCAAGCAGCTAAACTTGTCTGATGCAAGATAACACACAAAATCACCCTAGTAAAATGGCCTATCTTTATTCCAATCCTTGTGGGCTTGCTACTGAAATTAAAAATGACCACACACTGTTGCTATTTCTGACACTTCCATTTGATTTAATTATTCACTGTTTCAGCATTTTAACACCACTAACTGTCACCATTTGATTGCAGTATAGAAGTATATTCACTGTAGAGTTGGAGTTGATATGGATGCAGCTAAATACAGACACCGACTGTTGCCATATTTGTTTGACACTCCTGAAGTTTTGCTCTGTTTCTTACCAGGATGTGCTTGAACAGTCTTATAAAGGGTGACTATCTTATTGGGTATCATTGACGATAATGTGCAGTTGCTTTGGCATCATTGAAATAAAAACATTTGATTCGAATTATATGCCTTTCTTTTTAAAGAATATGCAAAAAAGTGGTGTATTTTAAATATTTACACATCTATTATGCCGCTAAAATAAATGGTGCAATGTTTGACGTGTTGCTTGTGTTTCCTTTCGTTAATACTGAAATAACTAAACAAGAATATAGCACCATTCACATCAGAAGGAAGTCTCAAAGCACATTACACTTCACCTTGAATCTGGTCACTTAGTTTTTACGCACTATTTACACCCTCTTCCCCAAGATCAAGTTAGAGGACAGGTCACCTGTCGAACACTGATATTTGTGTTTGCAATTAGAAAGGGATTTTACAGTAAAGTGTGGTGTCTAAATAATGTTACTGTCACATTGACTTGCAGCTCCCAATGGTGACTACTACTACAACAACAATAAATTACATTTCTGTAGTACCTTTCATGTTGGGAGGACGTCTCGAAGATGCTGGACAGTCAACGATTTGCATCACTGGGCAGGTCAGCTGTTGAACTCCAAGACAAATCCGAAGTGGAATCCACCTCACTGAGCTGGTCATGACATGGATGCCGTAATTTGGCCCTCAACTGTCCTTTCCACCCCACATCCATGTCATGACCCGCTCTGCCTTCCCCCACTTCCGCAACATTGTCTGGCTCCGACACTGCCTCAACCCTCAGGTCGCCGAAATCCTCATTCATGCATTTATCACATCAAGGCTCACCTTCCCAACTCTTCTCTCCACAAGTTGCAGATCATCCAGAACTTTGCAGCTCGAGTCCTCTCGCACCAGGCTCCGTGACCCTCTTACCCGACCCTCTCTGACTCCACAGGTTCCCAACCCCCAGAGGATAGAGTTCAAAATCCTCGTCCTCACCTTTAAAGCCCTCTACGACCTTGCTCTCTCCTACCTCTGCGATCTGCTAACCCCATATCAACCTGTCCGCTCCCTCCAATCAGCAGGCATCGGCCTGCTTCAAGTCCCCCGCTCTCCTGCCCCACCATCGGCAGTCTGGCCTTCAGTCTTTCTGCCCCAACCTTTCAATACTCCATCCCACAATCCCTTTGCCTTTCTCCCTTCCTTGCCTCTTTCAAGGCACATCTCAAGACTACTCTCTTTGACCGCGCCCTAGCCACCCTGCTACCCCTACCCTCCCTGCCCTCCACCCTTCCTTATCCCAACCCCCTGCTTGGGTCCAAATCCTGACTGTCCAGCAATTTGGGACGTCCTCCTGACATGAATTTGTTATTGTTGTTATAGAATGTAATTTGTTTTTGTTGGAAGGCTTACCAATAGTTGTTAGAGTTCGGGCAGTGAAGTGTGCTTACCCGGTCTCAGTTTTTCCGTGTCAGGCTATGCCATGTCAGTTGCAGTGTTTTCAATTGTTTTCTTTCCACCTGTGTATAGTTCTATGGTCCCCAGAATTCTCCAGTACCATAACCATTATCAGGTGTCCAGCTCGCCTCTGTTGTTAACACTCTTGCCTCTGAGTCAAAGGGTTGTGGGTTCAAATCCCATGTCAGGATTTTGAACACGTATAGTCTAGGATTATACGGTGCGCTGCATTGTTGGAGGTGCTGTACTTCTGATGAGAAATTAAGGTTTCATCTGCCTATTGAATTGAATGTTAAAGATCCCACGGCACTATTTTGAAAACAGACAGGAATAACATGGCCAACTATTCCCCAGGTAAAATTGATCATTCATTTTATAGGTAGCTCCTCAGAAATAAACAAATTGCAGATTAAATCAGAGGCACCTTTAAAAAAGACTATGTATCCTCACTAAAATGATCAGCTTTCACCAGTTACGTAGATTTCCAATTTAACGGCTCATTTAGACATGTCCTACTTGTCATCCCATTGGTGAACAATAATAGCTCTTTACTGATAGAGTAGCTGGGCCTCGGTCAGCTCAGTACAATTTTACTTTTGCTTTCCCTGGCAAAAGCGAGCCAACTTTCTTCAGCTGAACGTCAGCAAGAATAAAGTCCTCCTGATTGGCTCTCGCTAGTGCCTCCACACCTCAGGCTCCGGCAGCATTAGCATCCACAGATACACACTCCACCTCACCAAGCCAGTCAGGAACCTAGGTGTCTTGTTCGACCCTCAACTGTCCATTTTCCCCCATATCCATGCCATTCCGCTCTGCCTTCCCCCCCCCCCCCACCCACCCCTCCGCAACATTGCCCAACTCTGCTGCTGCCTCACCCCTCAGGCCACCGAAACCCTCAAACACGTATTCGTCACCTCAAGGCTCAACTACGGAAACTCCCTCCTTGTCGGCTTCCCCAACTCTTCCCTCCACAAGCCGCAGATCATCCAGAACTCTGCAGCTCATGTCCTCTCCCGCACCAGGCATCCAGGAGTTGATGTCTGACAGACAGTCTGTCAGGGAATAAGTTGTCCTGGAATCGAGGGTGGAGGCAGAGAGAGAGTTGGGTGTCACCCGCGTGCGTACATGTGGAAGTGGATCCCATGTCTGCGGATGATGTCACCAAAATTGTAGACCTTGGCATGTAGAGGTTGAAGAGGAGGGGACCAAGGACAGAGCCCTGAGGAATGCCACACGAGACTGGGCGGAGGCTGGAAGAGAAACTATTGGTGAAGACAAATTGGGAGATGGTGTGGGAGATAAAACCTGAACCATTCAAGGTCAGAACCTTGAAAGTTGAAGTGAGAGAAGGATGGAGGAGGATGGAGTGGTCCACGATATCAAGGATCATTCCATACTGGATGTTTTGATAATAATAATAATAATAATCCTTGCATTTGATATAGCGCTTTTCACGTCGGGAGGACGTCCCAAAGCGCTTCACAGAACACACTGTAAAGTGAATTGACTGTATATTTGTGGGCGAACGCGGCAGCCAATTGCGCACAGCAATGTCCCACAAACAGTCGTAGATTGAAAATGACCAATTTAATTATTGTTTTTGGTTTTTTGGAGGGATTATTATTAGGCTCTGTGTGGAGTAAGGAAACTTGCCCAAGGTTTCGCCCTGTGCCTGGAATTGAACTCAGGTCTCTCACTTGCAAAGCGAGTGCTCTAACCACTGAGCTACAGGACTCCTGATATATGAACTCTGGATAATATTAAACAAAAAAACTTAGAAGCCACTTTAGGACTTAAAATTTACACAATAAAAACTCTTGCTTCAACTGTTTTTTTAAAAAAACATTGTTTAAGGAACAAATCACCTGCTGAGATGGGTGTGCTGCCACCTAGTGGGCAGTGGTTTACACAGCAATAGTTTGAAATGTTGCAGCATTTACTCCATTATCCCCTTCTCAATATATCAGAAGAACGCACAAGTCCCCTACATTTTAGAAACTTCTACAGTTTTAAAATATTCTAATGCATTTCAGTAATGCAATTCTTATATAGATTCACAAATCCAAAGCACTCATTCAGTGGTTAAAAGCAGATTTGAAGAAATAAATTCCCTTTTTTCAACTTGGCTCCCATCATTTATCACACAAATCCAACCACTACAACAATAACTTGCACTTATATAGCAGCCTTCATGCGGGGCAGAGTTTCTGAGCTCTTGACAGTGGCTGAGCCTGACATAGAGCCGGGGTGCGGGGGGGTAAACCGGGTGAAAGAGGAAGGTCTTGAAGCGGCAATGAAAATGGAGGAGGAAGGGGCAAGGTGGAGGTATTGAGGGAGAGTTTCAAAGATTCGAGTCATAGTGGCTGAAAACACGGCCACCGATAGTGGAACAGAGGGAATGAGGGACAAGCAGGAGGCTGGAGCTGGCTGAGCAGAAGCAGCGGGTAGTGGAGTGAGGAGTAAGCAGGTCTGATAGGTAAGGAGGTATCAGGTCATGAAAGAATTTGTAGACAAGCACGGCATCCCGGACAACAGAAATTGCCTATAAATGTGTATGTAAATTCTAGGTCTAATTGTACATTGGAATATTTTATAGAGATCAAATGTTTCACATATGTGTACATTGAATTTGATTGTAATTTAGTGAGGATACATGGTCAATTAGAAGACCCTGTCTGCCCTCACCTTCCCTTCCTGCCCTTCCCGGAGTCCTGATCAAAGCTGAACGCCAGTGTATTTGATGTTGGTACTGGACCTCAGAACTAGTTATATGCCTATTTGGGCTCCCAGGGTTATTTTTGTTTTTTATTTTATATATTGTTAAAAAAAAACTTTTGAGTTTGCATTTGCACTGAGAAATACAAGGCTCAATGTTGCAGTATTTTGTAACGGGATGTTTTTCACTTATTTTTTACGGGAAAGCTACAGCTTTTAGAATGGAATTGCTTTGAATCAGCTAGACATGAGTGACATGATTCCCGTTAGGAGATATCCCTCTTATTAGCAAAATCCCATTAAGAAATATTGCAAAATTGATCCTACTTCTAGTTTAATTTCCTTTTAACTATAATTTATTAAAGTAATTGGTATTTTGTAAACAGTATCTGACTTTCTCATTACCTTTGAGGAATGCAGCATTGCCAATACAATGTGATAGCAGGAATAGAATCTAGCATATTACTAGCCTATACATGTAATATGATTGATGTAGTGCCTTTTACATCAGGAAGATTTCTCAAAGTGCTTCACAGGATATATTGTAAAGTGGAGTGACTGTGTATTTTGTGGGTGAATACAGCACTAAATTTACACATAGCATGACAGAATAAGCTCAAGGGCCTGAATAGCCTACTCTGTTTTCATATTTCTATAGCAATGTCCCACAAACATCCATGAAATGAATTATCAATTTTATTTCCAAATGAGCCAAGCTGACACTAGAACAGTCAATCATTCTTTAGCCTGTTTTCTCAATATTATGTCCAGTTTACATACTTTAACAAGTATACTAAAATGATGTCAGACTGTTAATATACAAAACATTAACTCAATGGATTTCATGGCGGATTTATATGTTGTTTGATGCCTTATATGTTTTAAGTTTACCAATGTTAATGCACATTTTCAAACTTCTCCATTTGTTTGCGATATTTCTGCTATAACCTAGAGCTGTAATTCAGATAGCCTTCAAATTAGCTGCATCTCATTTCAGTAAGCCAGCCCTGTTTGTAACTGCTGGTGAGCATGACAATACTCTGGTAAGTAGAGCCTTAAAATCAGAACCAAAGCTGCTAGAACTGAGGTCAGGAAGCATTTCTTCATAGGTGTTCTGAAGATGTAGCATTTGCAGCCTCAGAAAGTTCTTGAAGCACAATCACGAATTTCTCTCTCACTTGCTACTGCACACCCTCTTTGCTACATTAGATTTCAGAAGAATAATGTATGGAGTGCTACACTGCCTAAAGGAGAAATGGCTACTGGTTTAAATGCTGCAGATTTAAATAAAGAGAAAGGATTCAAAGATGCTCAGAACCACAATGGTCATTATATATTGATAATTTATTTATAAATCCGTTATTTACACAACAAAAATTACATAGGTCTGGCTCAGGATCTGAGCATGTTTCCTATTTCTATGGTTAAAAGAGTGGATTAAAATAATAAAGATTAAGATGATTTGCAGTGATGTTTTATTATACAGGGCTTTCCATCGGTCAGCAGCTATCCACCCAATCTTTAGTATGCCATTACTCGATGGATCATCTTGTAATTTGTGCAGTTTATGGACCTACAAAAAAATAGAAGTTTTAGTGAATTGCAAAATTCTTATACACCGTAATAATCTTGCCTCTGAACTGTTTAACTGTTCCTCTGAATTTCAAGTCATTGTTTTTAAGGTTGTTTCTTGAAAAGTCAACTGAGGGTCAGATTAAATTGTTCAATCAAAAATATGCAGTCAATTCACTTTACAGTATATTCTGTGAAGCGCTTTGAGACATCTCAAAGACGTGAAAAAGCGCTGTATCAAATGCAAAGATTATTATTATGCTTATTGGATACATGTTTTATCTCCGATGATCTGCACCTTTAAGGTGTGCAAAAGACACAGGAGGCTATTTCTCATCATACGCTGACTCTTTGAAAGAGTGTTCCGGAATAATTATCAAGCAAATCCAAAGAAAGTTTGTTTGCGCCAGGCAAAAGGTGAAGGAAGACACTTCTTCATTTTACTGCTCTTAGCTAGACAGTGGCATTTTTCTTATTTTTAGTCCGTTACCAATGTTTTCTCAAAGTGAAAAGACGGTCATCCTGTCAGTCTGAGAGGAGCTGAACTGTGGCATCAAATGTGAAAGTAACTATGCTGCCAAGAGCCATTTAAAGAACCTTTTTAATTGAGGCTATAGAAACTAAATGTGAGAAGCACTTGAAATTGTTTTTCAAAACGTAATTGATTTCTTTAGCAGCTGCAATTTTGCCTTTCTTTCTTTCCGCACTTTTATTTTCTTATTTGCCAGACATGGGTTTATTGCAAATTAGCTGAAGTGGGAGCCATTCTTTACCTGATAACATTGGTCCTGAGGATACTTTGAATCGGTCTGCTTTTTGTTCCAGGATTGGGTCGGAAAATCGCTTTCGTTTCTGGGGCAGATTTGAGCTTTCTACTAAGGCTACTGAAATAAGATGGGTAAGGATCAAATGTGCCTGCCTTCATGCCACCATCCTGAAATAGAGACAAATAAAACATGAACTTCGCACACATGTACAAGAGAAAAATAACTGGTTTACGATCAACTATAAATTCCTCCCTGCCTGAACACATTTGAGTAACAACAACAACTTGCATTTATATAGCACCCTTCACGCAGGGTAGCGACTCAGAGTAAATAGTCTGCCAGCATTTACTGTGAAGGCTCATAGATGAATAATGATCATGTGGGTCAAATAACAAAAGCATTCAATGCCAGTAGAACTGTACCCATTAGAGAGATGAAACATTAGAAAAATTAAAGCAGTCCATTGCCTTCCAGGGAAGTGGAGGTTGAAGACAATTGGAGAACATTAAAACTGAAATTTCATTACTCTTAAGTGAAATTCTCTCCTTTCTACAGATGCTAAAAAGAGAACATGTTTTAGAAAGGTGTTATTGTCCACATATTGAAGTAAGATAACACCTATGAATGAGGATAGGAAACAATAAACATTACAAATCCAGGTACCTGATAAATACCTTAGTGGGCCAAACTACTTTTATCCCAGTTAGAATTGTTTTTTATTTGACATTTTGAATGTGATGCATATACAAACTTTGATGCAAATTCTAAAGTATGTAAGGATGCAAAAACCCATATTTAAGAGTACAACGAGGCAATAAATTATACTGTGAGTGCTTATACATACCCTCTTTGGAAGAGAAGATGGTTTAAAAGGTGTTTCAATAGCCTTTCCAGGGGCACTCTTTGCTTTTATTGGCGGTAAAGGTTTTGTGAGCTTGTAGGGATTATTGTCAAAATAATCTTGAGGGTAGTTGCTTACTTGAAATGGTCCTCCAATAAATTTTTCTACCTGAAGAAATACAGTATTAGACCAATCAAATGAATCACACAATAGGAGTCTACCTTGCACAATTTATTTTGTCAGTGTTTGCTCCTCCTAAAAGCCATCCATCTAATACCAATTCCCTGATCTTTCCCTTTATTCTCTGTTACCCTTCCTCTGCAAGTGCTTGATGAAATGCGGCCAAATTACTGCGGTAATTAATTTGAAGAGATGGTATAGGCAGGTAAATGGCTAGTTACAAAACAATGCAGGCAGTTTAGAGTTCAGATATAAAACAGTGCATATAGTTTGGATATAAAGAAGTACATACAGGTTAGAGATTAGATATAAAGCAGAACAGAGAAGTTAGATATAAGGTATAAAACAGACAGGGTTAGAGTTCACATATAAAAGAACAAACAGGTTACAGTTCTTCACAATGGTATAATCAACAGTGACATAATATATTCAATTAGAAATATGTATATTAATGTATATTTCATGCAAGACACCCACACCATAATAAAACGGCCTATAGGATAACTAACTAATGAATATTTTAGAATACAGATAATTCAAGATCTTTTAAGGCATCCTTCTCAGCTCCCACCAAAGTCCCCTCACTTCCAGCTCTGATCTCCTTAACTTCCTCGCCTCTCACTCAAACACACCAAACTAGTGTGCAACTTTGGCGTTTTCTTCAATTCTCAGCTCTCCTTGGCGTTCAAGTAATCTATTGTTCTCAGAATGCCTTTATTTTGTCCTGGAAATTCTATCGCCACATTGGGAAGGCCTTCTGCGTTTTCCTCTGTAAATCCGTATACATAAAATGAATGTTAAGATATCTGCTACCCCTTGGCCATACCTTCTTTGATTTTACGATATAGGGATCTGGAGCATGGCCATAGTCCTTTCCTATGGTAATATTAGTGTACCTGTGAAAACATTTCAAAACATTACAGTCTGCTTCAGATAACCGTAACTCACATCTTAGTCCATAATGATCCCAAGAAGTAGTTAGTCTTCCCATGTTAAGATTAGCATAACTGAGATTACAAGGTCTAAATTCCATGCAATTCTGCATCAACAAAATTATACAAAAGTAATCGAATTTGAAAACTTCAAAATGTATTTTGTTAAAACACATAACAGAATCCTTTTTTTTGCCATACAACAACAAAATGTTACTTCTGTCCATTCAAGATCTACCTCTTTGATATCACCTGAAGTAGGTGTGGGGGGTGGGAGGGAATGCAAAATGCAAAATTCTGACCATTTAGCATGTATTTTCCTTCCACTCCAGTATTTGTGGAGCCCTGTAGCTCAGTGGTTAGAGCACTCGCCTTGCAAGCGAGACACCTGGGTTCAATTCCAGGCAGGGCGAAACCTTGGGCAAGTTTCCTTACTCCACACGCCTAATAATAATCCCTCCAAAACAACAAAACAATGATAAATTGGTCATTTTCAATCCACGACTGTTTGTGGGACACTGCTGTGCACTATTGGCTGCCGCGTTTCGCCCACAAATATACAGTCAATTTACTTTACAGTATATTCTGTGAAGCGCTTTGAGATGTTTAGAAGACGTGAAAAGCACTATATCAAATGCAAGGATTATTATTATTATTATATATATAAGTATAAATATAGCTTATGGGGATATGCAAACAACACCAAATGATCATCGGAAAAGAATGAGGAAGTCATGCAAAAACATTCTGGAATTCCATATTTTAGGGGAATGGCATTTTTGCATCTGCTGCGTTACGCCCATAAAACATACAGTCTGTAAACTTTGCAGTATATTCTGTGAAGCGCTTTGAGATGTCTTGAAGACTTGATAAGGCGCTACATCAAACGCAAGTATTATTATTATTATTTTTCCTTTGTTTTATGTAACAAAAAAACACGTGGAAAATATCTGGGTAAAGTAACAGTTATTTATTAAATTAAATAAAATAATGGCAATCTACCTTTTGTTTCATGATAGTATTTAAAAAAGGCAATCTCTCTATTTATATAATAAAAAAGGTATCTTTTTATACACACAATATGCACACAATGGTTGGATTCCTACCATCTTTGTGCTACAGTGTGTCCTTCTTTTTCCTACATACCTATACTTCTTTGTGATGGTCCTAGATTCTGACTACCCACATATGGGTGTTTGGTGTGTGTGTGGTGGAGGTGGTGGTGGAAGGGGTAGATGCAGTTGTCCCACTAGATCTATAAACTGTGCAGGAAACATGGTAAATTTATGCTATCTGACGGTCCGATGTTCCCTCCTATGTAGACACAAAAATTAATTGATGCAGAGCAGTAGCCTGACCTCGCATTTTGCCTCATAAGGTCCTATGTGTCCATGACGACCTTGTCGCATGGTGGAAGGGGGCTGTGAGATTGAATGGGCCACATTCCAGCTACCTCATATGGTTCTGCAGTTGACACGTCACCTGAGCTACCTCAAGTTCTTCCAATGACTGAATGATGAACAACAACAACATGGACAGATGAGTGGGCTGATCAGCCAGGTACTCCAGTTCTGGGGTGGAGAACCTAATCCTGGTATTTCACTCAACAGGTCGATGGACATAAGTATCTGACACATCTAATAGGAGCTACTTGCCTCTTGGTCACTCAAATCACTGTCTTGCTCCTGCTCAACCAGTAGAGAGACCGGTAGTACTAGGTCCATTGAGGACTAGGAGGCTGTAGTGTTTTTCCTTTGACATGCACTTTTTGCCAATTTCAATCCTCACCTCTCTAATACTCTGTGTACTGTCAGGTGCTCTACCCTTTGCTACCCGCCAGTAACTTTATCTGAGTGCTCTTCTGTGTGTCATTTTGCAGGACTTGATGGTGGTATTTTCTGGGTTTGAAGTGCTGATGAGGAAGATGATGAGGGAGGAGGTCTGAGGGGGGCAGGTTAATGGACATCGTCTCAGAGAGCCAAATTCCTTTAAGTGGTGGATGGGTTGGTTGGTGGATAGATCTTCCCTTTGCCAGCATCTCTCCTGGTTGATGGCTTGGCAAATATGATGATAAATGTAGACTCGACTCCACTTTTTTTCCCAAGCTGCCTTCCTCGTCCCCTCCTCCTCAGTGCTGCTGCAGACCCTATGGCTGGGAAGAGGTTACTAAAGAAAGAACAATTTGTAATGACAACCATCTCACACCATGAGGCAAAGCTTCAAGCACAATGCATATGAGTGTCTTTTGTATTTATCGGTGAACAAACTATTGTTACCCGCACCAGACTAAGACACCCTAGGGATTCCTAAGTCTCCTCCTCATGGATCAGGTGACAAAGTATTTCCTCAGCCTTGGTGAGCTGCCTCTCCTCAAAGGGACTACAGCTGGTTGCATTGTCACTTATCTTCCCTGAATGAATAAGTAGAGTCAATGTACGCACTTCCTCCCATCCTTGTGCTCAATGCTCTTTCAGCTAAAGGCACGCACCCATTCCATTTGAAAATAGGCCTTTTGTATTTGCCATTAATATATATTAATAATTAATTAATAATAGGTGTCCCATGTTAGCAAAAGCACATGATGTAGGTATGAAATAAAGGACTGCTGTACAATCTTTTTCAAATCACAATCCTTCTGGTCTTTTGAGATTTCTGTTCAGAATCAGAGACTATCATTTACATATCATAATTGATCAGTGTTAATATTCCCATGTAAAAAAGATGCACTCTTTTACTTAAAAACCCTTTAGTTACTTCAGCATAAATGCACCAAAATTTAGACCCTTACATTTTTAAAAACACCGCTTTTCAATCAAAAATTACTTTTGCAGATTTATTAAATATTGGCTAACCAAACTGTAGAAAATGCATGGTGAGAAAGGAAATAGCACAATAAAAAAGATGTTATGCGCAGAAAATCTGACAGCTTTCAGGAAGAAAGAATTGAGGGAGGGAAAGAGATGGGGATGGTGGGGCGGGGGAGGAGTCCTGGTACAGGAATATGTTTGCATGAGAGACAGTAGTCAATACTGTAAAAAAGACAAGGTGGATCACAACAAAGTGATCTTGCGATCCACCTTAACTTTAAGAGAACTTGAAGAACTTGAAGAAAACTACAAAAGGTAAAGTTGACCTGCTTTGTGTTCTCCTGTGCTATCTCACTTTATAAGACTATGAGACAACAACAACAAGATTACATTTGTATAGCGCCTTTCACGTCGGGAGGATGTCCCAAGGTGCTGGACAGAGTACAGCATTTCAGACCCTTAAAACAAGCTTTAAGATGAGGAAACTAACCACTTGCTGAGGGATCTACATTCCAACGTGATATACTTGGAAAGTACATACAGGACCCTCCTATCCACATCGGTAATGATCTGAACATGTATGCAGTTATACCCCTTGCTCTGTTGAAAGCTGCAGGAGTTCCATCCAGATTGAGATGGCAACATGAAGGCCATCAATAGTACCTTGTATCTAAGGCACTTTAGAAATTTTTTTTGTAAACATCCAGTTAATTCCAGGCACTAGAAGCCTATTTCCAATTAGCTCTGACTTTAAGACAATGACCATAACTATAATCCTACACCCATGTCTATTTGTATGTTGTATAAAACACATTAAATAAACGTTTCTCTCAAATACTTAATTTGTGCTTTAAACATTTTTCCCTACAATTTTGCTTACATATTTTTCCACTGCATGTTTTTCCAACCATTTTTACAAGCCTAGAAACTGCAATGTTTTAACACATGCATTGTTTAACACACAACAAAATATTCAGTAGTATTAATGGCTTGCATAAATTTACATTCCAAATCTTACCCATAGCCAGTTCCTAGTTTTCCAGGATTGGTAATGAAATTTTTTTTCTCTGGAACAAATGGCGACTTTTTCTTCATTGCTGCAGAGAATGCCTTGACTGAGCCTCCGATTGTTCCATAATAACTACCCAATCCCGATCTAATAAAAACAAGATGTAAATATTTTACATACATTAGTATAACATACATTTTCACAAAAAGTTAACTTCCAAGTAAACATAAATATTAATTTAATTTATCCTTGAACAGTAAAGTACCGTCTTCAGTAGCAGATATTACAATAGAACTTCAGTAAATCTGTAACTTCTCTTAAAGAAAATGCTGTAATTAATGCCAAAAAAATAGATTATATCATAACATAAGATAGCCTGTAGCAGACCAGTGAGGTTAAGTGGATCATCCTTAAACAGAGGGTGATAAGAATGTAAAACTGTTTAAAGCAGAAAACATCAAAAAACATCAAAAAGATAAAAGCATCCTTCACCTCTTGAATGTGAATTTTAATCTAACCTGGATGGATGATGTCTCCTCTCTGGCAGGCGTAAGGGTACTTAGGCAATATATGATAACTCACCAACCTGGACGATCCTTTTCGAATATTGTACTATTCATAATTTATTCATTTATGACATGCCTACATATATACACACACACACATACATACATAGTACTCCATTGTTAGAATCTTTTTGAAGGATGAATTGTGTGCTCATTGAGATGAAGGACTTTTGGGGACAGATTACAGGCAGTTTTACTGTACATTTAACTGCACGACACCTGATCATGCAATGCTTGATTCTGCTTTAAAGTATTTTATTTTGTTAAAACCTCATAAAATTCACACAAAAGGCCACAGTGCTTAAAAAAAAATGCACATGGTATATAAAACTGATATTTTAAAACTTACGGCTTTTTGTCACCATTACTGGGAAGGAAGATTTTGCCTATATTGCCTGAGGCCTGCTTCATTTTAAATTGTCTTCTTAACTTAATGGGATCAGTGTATCCTTCCTTTTCAAAGATCCGAATGAAAACAGGATCAAAGTATCCTACTTGAAGGGCCGATTTCTCTTTCGAGCCTCCTGGCAGCATCTGTTTACCTTTATATGCTGCTTCATTGAAAGGCCCTTAAAAGTGGGGGAATATACAAAGTTTATTCTGTCAGTCACCTATCCATGAAAGAAAACACTGTGATAGACGGTAAAATGCAAAATATACAGGCAGTTCTACTTATACATATTCAATTTTAACACCGATCTGAAGGTCTTAAACTGAACTTTATGCATATGGATACAGTGCGGATTTGAAACTGTTAATTGTACAGAATCACAACTTAGGCATACTTTTAAGCATGATACCTGTGCTAGTTTTGATAGCTTCTGACATTCTGAAAATTTACAATTATAATTATGTTTGAATAATGGTTAAAAAAAATACTTCTCTGCAAACATCTAGATTATATGAACAAGTTATAGCATTTAAATAATTGTCATCTTGCAAATTCCATGTTTTTAAATATGGTTTGTTTAAAAAAATACAATGCAAATACTTTATTTAGAGTTTTTTCATATGCTGACTACAATTAACTAAATAGAGAAATGGACTATGTTCTTTAGTATCACCTTAAAAGCAAACACACTTACTTGGGCAGTGCCTTGGAAAGGCACTATATAAATGCAATTTATTGCTGTAGTTGTTGTTGTCAATCTGTCCACTCCCTCTGCTCAGCAGGCTTCCACCATCGGAGGTCAGGCCTTCAGACTCTCCTCCCCACCCTCTGGAACTCCATCCCACGTTCCCTTTGCCTCGTTCCCACCCTTGCTTCCTTCAAGGCATGCCTCAAGACCCTCCTCTTCGACTGTGCCTTCAGCCACCTTCTACCCTCTCTGCCCTCCACCCTCCCTGATCCCAACCCCTGCCCCCCTGCTCGGGTCCTAATCCATCAGCAACTTGGGGCATCTTTCCGACGTGCAAGGCGCTTTATAAATGTAATTTTGTATTCTATTGTACTTCCAGGCCTATCTATGACTGGGATATCCTCCCAACATGAAAGGTGCTATATAAATGCAATTTGTTGTTGTTTATTCTTTTATTTATACATTAACCGACAGTGGGAGGAGATGGGAAGTAAGCAGGGTCTCTTGGAACTAAGTGACTCAAAGGCAAAGTGCTGAGCAACAGAATTTTGGAATCGAATCAACCCTCAGTGATGCTTGTCGTGGTCAAGTTCCTGAGCCAGGTGGGTCCACAGTATTACAGAACAAATATTAATGACAGACCGGCCAACTGGCTTGTCGGCAGGACATGGAGGGGCAGATCAAACATTGGTGCAAGGACTCTTACAACTTGGCTCCTGTTAACCCTGCAAGCAAACGCCCTAGTAGTTGGGTGGTCCTAGCTGGACAAGCAGCAGAAATTGTGCCAGAAAGTGCTCTCAATGGTAAGCAATGCAGTTTTAGCTAATTAAAGTCTGCAGTACCCCCCCAAACAGTCCTGCAGTCCTCAAGCCTTCACTCTCACCAACTTGCATATAATATTGTCCAGAATTAGGTATGCAGAGTGCTCATTCTATTACAGACAAATGGAAATTTCCTTGTGTTGGTGGCATTCATATATGAAACTCTCAGTCTGACTTGGATACACTTAAGCATGTTGATGGGTTTGTTTATGTGAATGAAATAAAAATGTAACAGTCTTATGGTCAGATTCTTTAGATAATACTGCATACAATTATAATAAATTTATCGTTAAAAAAAGACTGCATAGAACACAAATGAAACAATAATGAAAAATGTCTTCTAAACTTTAATTTTCATCCAATATAATTTACACAAACTGTTAATAAAAAAAATTAACTTACTGTCCTGTTGGTCTAAATAGTTATCTTTGACAGTGACATAACTCATTTCCTGGAAGAGGCCGACCCTCTCCATATCAGTTTTTCCTTCCGTAGTCATGATTTTGTTAGCGTGGAGCTATCAGATTGTGACTCAAATACTTAAGTGAACTTAAAATGCAGTCAATCGATTAAATCCAGATGAACACTGCTTGCTATACGACCTGCAAATGTCCTAAAAAAAATTATCAATTAAAACAAAAAAATTTTTCTTTAGAATTGCAATATTCACAATACGTAAGCACTTTACACTTGTGACTAATATAGTTACTGGTGTATAACTGTGTTAGTCATTCGCATACTTACCCGCACCAAGCTCCTTACCCAAATCTCACTACTTCTGGCCAGCCTCCACTGGCTCCCCGTCACCAAATGGATCAACTTCAAGATCCTCACACTCGTGTTCAAATCCATTCACTCCCTGGCACCTCCCTACCTCTCTGACCTCCTCACTCCCCAATCCACCACCCGGTGCCTCGTTTTGACTGGCACCAGCCTCCTGCTTGTCCCTCGCACCCTCGCCCCACCATCGGAGATCACGCTTTCAGCCACTACCCTCCAAAACTCTGGAACACTCCCTAAATCTCTTTGCCTTGATTCCTCTCTCCTCTTTTTCAAGTCCCACCTGAAAACCTGCCTCTTTGACCGTGCTTACGGCCACCTCCTCCCCCCACACCCCGCAGGCTCGGAGTCAGGCTCCGCCACTGTTAAGCAACCTGAGACACTACTTGCTATATAAGTGCAAGTTGTTGTTGTTAGTCACAATACTCTTGTCTAAAATATTATCTATTCGGACTTTACAGGTCATTTGGTATGAAAGTCGTATAAGGTTTTAAATGTAACATAATTAAGCATTGATCGTGCAAGATATTTTTGTTCTTCATTAGAATCTCCTCTCTTCCCCAGAGGGCACAAAGTTTGATGGCAAGTGGAACTACGCACCTCCAAGAAAGTCCAGCAGCACCATTGAAGTCTGCTACTGTTTGTGGAATTCTGTTACCCTGGAGATGTGCAGTGTACATTGTCGCAGCAATGGGCTCGTGTGTTAGTCACAATACTCTCGTCAAAAATATTATCTTTTCACACTTTACAGGTATGTGATGTGAAAGTCTGATAAGATTTTTCTGATTGGTGAATTCTAAACGTAATTTTTCTTCAAGTTTCTTTTTTTTTCACCAAAAAAAAGCGAAGTTCTCCGCCCTCTTCTCTTTCTTATGCTGTGTTTTTCTTTGCGTTCGGGAGAAGAAGTGAATAACCTGTGGTATGCGTCTCAGTGATATCTGAGAGTTCTTGTCAGTTTCAACCTATTTCGGTTTTGAAGGGGCGTCAATCTGACGTGTAACTAACATTTAATTACATTAATTCTATCACCCTGCTTCCCCCCCTCTGCCCTCCACCCTCCCCAATCCCGACCCCCAGCTCGGGTCCGGAACACTGACTGTCCAAGTCGAAGAGGTCAGACTGCTCTTCACTACCAATATATACCAGATTGTGGAGCACTTGCAGAGTTCCACTTTGCTTGAGAATCGTATGTGAAGGCAGCAAAATACATCTACATATAAAGCAAGAAAAACAAAAACTCAAGTACAATCTACTGTTTACCCTTCTGCTATCCCAACTATTTAATCTTTTTTTTGTGTGTGTGTGTATGGGGGGGGGGTTCATCATAAACGCTCCTAGTCTCCAGGAGTAATTAAGCACAAATGCAGAACATTTATCCAATATTTCCACAACTGCACCCAGGATTATTACTCCTTGGTTCAATGCATGAGGGAGGCTTTTACACAAACACACACACACACACACACACCATTAATCTCCTGGATACTTGAGTGAGCCACTGAACGAGTGGCCCCCATCCTCAAGTCAATCTAGAACTGGGGATGAAATTATAAAGACGAAAAGTATTCGCTGGAGACGATGACCTTTGCACCCCACAAAACAATCATAGTTAAAAGCACACGGCAATAAATACAAGAAGAAGAAGATTGCATTTGCGTAGCGCGCCTTTCACGGCGGGCAGAGCATTACAGAAATAGATGCAAATATGCACTGATAAAATTGAGAGAAATCCCAACCCTGGCCTGCCCTTTACTGCAATAAAGTGCTTTGCCCCCTGTCAGCCTGTGAGTTTGTTTGGTTGGTTTAATTATTCAGTCCAACCCATGATGGCTGATGTGGTTTGGCCAGAGGGGGCGCTATCATGAAGCGCTGGGGCCGCAGACAATCACAGGCAGTGAGGGAGGCGGCGCCCTCTCTGAGCCTGGGGGGGGGGGGGGGGAGGGGGGGCGTGGCCAGGCCTCACACGTCACCGCCCACCAAGTCAGACGCTGTCGCCATGGTGACCATCAATCGTTTCCCTGGTGACGGCGGGCGCGTCACGTGACGCGCGGCGCGGCGCGGCTCACAGGCCCGAGAGCTCGCGAGAGCCGGACAAGGCCTGAGGGCGGGAGGGCGGCGCCAGGTCAGAGAGAGGCACAGACACACACACACACAGAGACAGAGAGAGAGCCCCGACCAGGGACTAGAGAGGCCGACATGGTGAGTCCCCACTCTGCTCTGTCACTGGGATGAGAGGTCGAGTAAAGCCGGAGGTGGAGGATACGGACTACAGCCGCTCCTCCTCCCTCAACTGCTGTGTCCACACACACACACACACACAGCGCAGTCATCATCATCATCATCATAACAACAAGCCTTTTGCACTTGACATAGCGCCTTATCACATCTTCGATACATCTCACATGTGCATTGTGATGTTCCTTTTGCCAAACATATTGCTTCTCACTGTGTGGGACAGTGAGAGGTGAATGTGAATCAAATGGACGCAGTTGTCGATCGCAGCTGAAATGTCGCCAGATTCAGGTGCACACGTTTGGCCGCTACATTTGCCCACGAATACACAGTCACTAAACTTCAGGGTATAATTCTGTGAGGTGCTGTGAGACATTTTGACGCCGCAATAAGATTCTATATCAAACGCCAGAAATATAAAATGGGGGAGGTATTAAGTGAGGAGCCTCGGGGGTCTCTACTGCGAACCCTCCCGCTCCTTGCATACATTCAATCATCTGCATTGGCACTCAGTGAAAGGAGGTAAATTTGCAGTCGGAAGGAACTGTGGAATTAGAAAGGGAAACAAAGTCTTACAAAGAGTGCCAGATATAATAATAATAATAATAATCCTTGCATTTGATATAGCGCGTTTCACGTCGGAAGGACGTCCCAAAGCGCTTCACAGAACACACTGTAAAGTGAATTGACTGTAAATTTGTGGGCGAACGCGGCAGCCAATTGCGCACAGCAATGTCCCACAAACAGTCATGGATTGAAAATGACCAATTTATTATTGTTTTTGGTTTTGGAGGGATTATTATTAGGCTTTGTGTGGAGTAAGGAAACTTGCCCAAGGTTTCGCCCTCTGCCTGGAATTGAACTCAGGTCTCACTTGCAAAGCGAGTGCTCTAACCACTGAGCTACAGGACTCCACAAAGTCCTGGTCCTGATAAGGTACAAGTAGGAGTTCTTCAGCATTGAAAAGCAATGACTCAGTGGGTACCTTATTCCAGCGCCTTGGGACGTCCTCCTGACGTGAAAGGCGCTATGCAAATGTAATTTTGTTGTTGTTGTTGTTGTTATAGAGGTTTAAAAGATTTTAATTGGGATTGGAAAAATAAACCCTGAAAGAATTATCACATCTTTGAGACATCTCAAAGCGCTTCACGGATTATTCTGTAAAGTGAATCGATCGATGTGCAATGATTATCTACACATGTATAATGCCCCATACACACACACAGAGCAGCAATTAAATGTTGCGGAGTGATAGCTCCTCCCCCCCCCCCCCCACCCCAGGCCCCAGCCAGTGCCTTCAGCAAACCCAAAGCGTACGTGTTGCTTTCAGATACGACAAGGCAGTAATAGTAAGCAGGAGAGGACAAGTTACTTTTGACTCAGAACCAGCAAAAATGCCTTTTGGTAAACAAAAGTACTTATGAATGTTGAGTTATTGAGAGGATAGAGAGAACTTTGGGTTGTATCTGATCTATGCTACACTTGACCAAAGAAGAGTTGCTGCTGAGGTTGCACCCCAAAACTGAAAGTGTACCACCTCTGTGTGCTAGCCTGGCTCAGTTGGTAGCACTCGTTCTTGAATCAAAAGGTTGTAAGTTCATGCCACATGTCAATACGTAGAACTTGTACAGTGTGAGATGATTAAGATGAACTATAAGTCTAAGTCAAACATAGACGATATAAATCAGAGTGGGGCTGGGAGAGCGCTGCATTGTTGAAGGTCTTCTCTGCCTGTTCAGGTGGATAATAAAGATATCATAGGTTGGGATCGGGATTGCAGTGCTTCCGATCTAAGGAGTTTGATCTGCTCTCACAAAGAGCAAGCAGAGAATACTTGAACTCGGAGCTACCTTGAGGACTTGGTCACTAGGCACAGGCTGGGCTTGCCCTGTCAGAGAGGCGATCCGGTTACCTGACTTGCTCAGCTGATCGTGAAGACATGGTTCAGGTCCGCATTATCCTTTGACAATTTGGGGCTTAGAAGAGTTTGTGGGATTAGGGCTTGTCTGTGGGGACACAAACCTCACTCCCAAAGTGGAACGTTTTGGTCTAATTTGGTTAATGGGGAGTGAGCAGGTCGAACCTTGCTCACCAATAATTTAAAAAAAAGATATCAGCACAAATTGAAAAGAAGTATCCTGTTCAACAATCCCTCCAGATAAATATATTTGGTCCTCCTCTGTTCCAGTGAAAACATCTGTCACACAATTAGCTTTTATTCTTTAATCTTATTTCAGTGAATCTATGCTGTTTCCAATCCTGTACTTTTTTTTAATATATTGAATACCAAAAATGGATGCACTAATTTAGCTGTTACCTAATTAATATCTTGTCTACTTGGTTCCTATATTTTGTTTAATGTTATTTGATATTATGTGATACTTATGTTAGGCTGACATGATTAGTCTAACTAATTAACACTATTAATCAGTGTTGCTTTCAAAGGATTCTTTTCATGACCAAGTATTTAGTCAAAATATTCTTGTATGTAGAAGGAAAGAAACTAGAGTCAGAATGCTTCATTGCATCTTGATGTTGCTTGCCAATGATGTGATTATGTGTTTAATTATGATTGAAACAGTTGAATTACATGTTTGTGGACTTCATTAAACAGCAGTTTAATTGATGGATTATAGTTCTATAACTTCATGCAAAAGTATGTCCTGAGATCCTTTCAAGCTCTTGGCACTTAAATTTATTATTGCATTAAGTAGAGATGTGAAGTCTTAAATTGGTGATCCTCTGTGTACAGTTGCTGAAGTTCACACTGTTTTTGAATTGTTTCCTTTTTTTTGCTGGTTGGTAATTGTAATTGTAAACACATTTTCCAAAAAAATTATTTCAGGCATCCTTCACATCCATTGAAAACCAAGAATTAATATTTCGACTAAAAGGTGGATTTTATTTGTCAGGTCTTCTCAGAAAATTGGATGGTAAGTAAATTAGTTTCAGATTCAATTACATTTCTAAGTGTGATTTAGGCATTCTAATAAAAATAATTTGTTTACTGTATTGAATGCTTGAATAATGGTTTGCATGCTGCTTGAGTAGTGGAGCCATATCAAGAGTATAAACTTTTTTAATTACAGCAGGTTTCTCTTGGGTCGGCATAACGTATGCAGCGTACAATGGGGAAAAAAATTATTTTTACTTACTCTTCTTCAGACGTTGAGGCGCATTTACTTTGATTTTCGTATGAATGTTTAAAACCTCAAAGTCATTGTTCGGTGTACTAACCATGTCCTGGAGAACAGTCTGACTACATTATGCCAGACTATATAAGTTAAACGTAAATTGTATTATGAGAAGAAAAAGATTTGGGGCTACAGATTGCAGTGTTGTGTGCATGTACAAAGAGACAGGTGTTCTGACTGCTTTGGCTGAGGAGGAATAGCTAGTGATGGGGATGAGGGGAGGAATGAATTCCAGGAGGATCGAAGCCTGGAAGTGGTAAGGGAATAATATGTCTGCTGGTGAAATTTTCATGTAAGCCTAAGACTTGTCCTACCTGGACAAACTGCAGGAAGCTTTCCAAACAGTGTTTGCAATGACAAGGTTTTAGTTGGTTAAATTCCAGCAGCAGCTCAACACACACTGTGCTTTCCAAGCTTTAACTCTCTGCCAATACTTTCCAGAATTAGGTAAGCAGGATGCTTCCCTCTAGGGTGAGAATGTGCGTACCATTACAGAAAAATGGGAAATTTCCACACGTGGGTGGCATGTATATGTGAAACTCAATCTGGTTTGAATACGCGTAAGCCTGGTCATGCGTTTCTGGGTATGTCAGACATCCAACTGACCAAAAAACCTAATATCACCCTAGACTATAAGTCAGACTTTAAATTCATCAATAAAATTTCTTCTGACTCAGAGATGAGCTGATATTTTGCTGACATTATCTGAAAGTGAATTTCTTTAATTTCTTTAGTGATGCAGGTTTGATAGGGGTGTATTTCTCGGGAAACACAGTAATATATAATGCAACTTTAATCTTGCATGTATGTTTCTCATTTGATGTATACATGATAACGTAACTACTGATATTATATAGAGACACTGAGTAATTAGATTGTGTAGTTAAGCATTATTATTGAGATCCGAATACTTTTAACATGGTTCTTTTTTTTTTGTTGAGACCAGAATCTTCAATTAAGGCAGCCATTTCAGAAGCCATAAATGAGGCTGTTTTTAAGGTGAATTCAGAAGCTTTCGTTGTGAATTCTGAAAAGAGTTCACTAGTTGTATGGCCTAAGACTCATATCAGCACACATCTAGTAGACCTACCAGAGGATGCTGCCTGCAAATCCATTTTAAAATTTGTTACGTAAGTTATTGAACTGAATGTATAAAGTGTTTCATTATGATGCTGTTGCATATTATGATGGGCTGCAATGGTTGATGACTGACTCCTACATAAAATCAAAGTTTGAGACAAACCAAATTCTCCTTTTACCTCTGTTAGCTGTTCTGAATTGCTCATTTTGGACATCGACAGTTTGCTTAATTTATCCCAATTATGATATTTTTGAAAATCACAGTGAATTGATTTCTGCATTAGTTTTTAATTAATGTTTGAATTGATATATTTTTATATGTTGGTTTTTTTTATCACCTGTGCTTAAAACTTCAGATAATTCTGGGCCATTTAATACTCCTGTTTGCTCACATATTTTTCGTGTAGCGCAGTACTTTGTATTTAAAGAAGCATCACAGTTCATTGAATAAAACTGGAGTATATTAAGGCATTTGTATTGACACAGATGAAAGGGGTTTTTATCAGTTGGAAAGTTAATTGGTGATGTATTGCACAATATTTTCATGCATCTGTTTTGTTCCTTGTAATACTTCTTACTCCTGTAAGCGTCTCAGTTTTCCAAAACATTTGAGTTTTTAGTTAGAGCAACATTTACCAACACAAAAATATGTACCATAGAGACTGAATTGAATCCCAATTTAGAGATCAAATGACTGCCAATGCCTTGGGTCGTCCTCCCGAAATGAAAGGTGCTATACAAATGTAATTTTGTATTCTGTTGACCTAGACATATGGTGCAACACACTATTAAATCTGAAAAGAGTAGTGGTCTTTGCTTTTGTCGCTGCTAAAAGGTTAAATGCCAAACATCCCCTCTATCTCTGCAACCCACTGAGGTCTCACACCTCAGGGATTACAAGTTTTTCTATAAATGTGTGAGATTGCTTGTGGTGCATAAATTGAAGAGGCTTATTTTGGCAGTCAGATTCTATTTGTACATAATCTTACGGTAAAACTATACCACAGTTTTCAATATTTATTTCAGAATTGAGCAGGATGAGCGTATTAAAAAGATCAATAAAAAGAAAGCAAAAAAGATCATACCAGTGGTAAGCAATGTAAATTTGACTTGTTTCAAAGATAATTTGGAGTTTTACAGATTGGTTACCTATGCTATATGTTTCTGAAAATACAAAAGCTGTACTCTTAATCTTTACAAACCAGACCTTTCTAATAACAGTAAACAACATTTCTTAGTTGTTATAGGCTTGTTAGTCAAACAATGGCAGTCTAAACTGATCCTCCAGTGCAGTTCCCGGGGTATGCTGTAACGTTGGAGGTTCAGTCCTTTGGATGAGACATTAAACTGACTTCCCCTTTGCTTGTTTGGCATTGAAGCAACCCAAACTGCATCCTAAAAGAGCAATGTTCAATTTGTTTTGTGAATTTGGTTGCCTTCTTCTCTCCCTTTCTTTTCTTGGTTCCCAATTAGTCCATTAACATGTGTATCTGCTCAGATTCCCCTATCAATCTTCTGAAGACTCCATTATATAATTCCAGTTTTCACCTGATCTGAAAGGTAAAATGTATTGAAAGACATTTTAATACATAAAATTAATAGGTATTAATAGGTATTCTCGAGCTATTCTTAAATCTTCTTGTTTCCATAATTAAATAATTTGACAAAAGGCTAATTTATATTTTATTAGTTTGTAAATGACTTGACCTTTCAACAACTAATAATCCCAATTACCATTTGTTTCAGAAAGTAATAAACTTCAACATTTTGTTTGAGATGACAAGGCCTGAAACTGTGGAGAGCATGCATGTTCTCCAAGACAACAAATCACGACTCCACTTCAGTATGATTCTGCCAGTGGATGCATTGATACATGTTAAACCAGATGACACCTGGGGAAAGTATGATGTTATTTTGTCCTAGACATCAAATGGTTTCTAGATTGAATATATTAATAGTGAAAGAGTAGCATATGGTAGCCTGCAGAGAGGGACTGGGACTGTGACAGGCAGCAGTGGGTAGAGAAGGGGGATTTGAGATTAATGACGAAGGGGGTTGGCCAACAGCAGTAACTTGCATTTATATAGTGCCCTTCACATAGGATATCTCAGAGCACTTGTAGGATTATATAGGATATAAGATTATAACTGAGAAAAAAACAAATGGCCCAGAAATGTTTTATTTTCAAAATTGTGTTGTAGCAAATATCTTTATTATTAACAGTAAATTGTGTTTTGACAGAGTGCAAGATCTATTTGTGCAAGCAGTCACCACTCAGCTAGGAGATATGGAGAAGGTAGTCCAGCAATTCACAAAAGGACAGTCTGTTCCAATACCCCAACCATTCCACTTTTCACTGCGAGGCGAAACTACATTTGCTACAGTTGTGTACCCTGCTGGAATAAGTGATGGCGATCTGGAGTCGTATCGAAAAGTATGGCTGAAGTTTTGCTTGTGTTTTTATATTTATAGAGTCTATCCACCAATTCTGAAATTTTTAAAATGCTATGAAATTGGTGTAACCTTTTCTGTCCTTACCATACCTTCTTCAACGTTTCCTCTTTTCCTTACCTTATTCAACTGAAGCTGAAGTTCATACCTTAGATATTAAGTCTTGCATCTAACTTTTTAAAATATCCAGAAAATAGTTCCAGGTGCCTGGTCTCTTGGTGCAGTTCATGTATTTGCCAATCTCCTAAGTTTAGGCAGTTTATTTCTTAATTTTCTTTACATTGCATGATTTGTTGACTTTTTCACATATTGAAGATGTCTGGGCTAATATTACTGGATATGAAATGTGTCTCAATCTCAGTAGTGAGCACATGCTAATTAAAAAAAGTTCAACCAATGCCATATCCTGATCTTCCATAATATTTTATATTCGTTAAATGTTCTATTTAATCTCCTCTTCGACCATGCCATCGGCCACCCACCTTCCCCTCCCCTCCCTTCCCCCCGCCCCCCCCAGGCCTAGCTCGGGTCTGAAATGCTGTACTCTGTCCAGCGCCTTGGGACGTCCTCCCGACATGAAAGGCGCTATACAAATGTAACCTTCTTGCTGTTGTTGTATTTGGCCTTTTTTAAATCTTTATTTTTATTTTCCAAATACAATAAGAAAACATCAAACACTGACTACTGTATTTCATCTTTCGATCACATCAACGCATATCTAAACATGATTTATTGGATCCTTCTTGCTATCTGCACTTTCTGTACATTTACTAGTTTTAATACTCTTAAGTGACTCCCCTTCGAGTTCTCGTTGCTCTCATAATTATCCAATTATGATTTTGTCTGTTGTCTCTTATTTAGCTCAACAACTGCTTTATTCCCCTTGAACTGATGTTTAATAGTGCAAGAGTTATCAAAAAATGACTGTCCTTAACTTCTACCCTTAATACTTCTATCCTATTATTAACCCATCCAATTAACTTACGGTCTTCTGGTACCTAGTTGTAAACTAGTTACACCCCTTGTAGCCCTTACTTAGTTTTAAGCATGCACATCATTCAGAAACTTATTCCTTCAATTAAACTAGGGAGTTACAAAAATGTGGACATTTAAGCAAGAGTTATGCTTTATGTGACTTTTTGCTTACAATGTTTGTAGTATAAATTAAACTGTTACATGATGGCTTTGAAACTTAAGGCACTGTCTTGCAGATTTAGATTTTAAAAAAATTATGTGTACAGACATTGCACCGTGAACTTGATCTGCCAGATGATAGACCCTTCCTTCGACGTGTTATGGCTTATCGTTTTCCTCATGAAACATCAAAGGACGTGTACCTGCCCAAGATGCACCAATTTCTCATTCATCCTGCAACAGAGGATGCCAAGGTACATCCCTGAAGTAACTATACCATACCTTTTTTTATTGCCATAGAAACACACATATAGTTAATTCAAATCTAATAATGTGTAATTACCTGAAAGGCTGGGGATAAGAAACATAAATTCTCTTCGTTTTAAAAAAAATGTCTTCATCCTTTTTACAGGTTTATTTAGTACAGGGGTCGTACAACTTTTATCACTACCTGCAGGATAACATAGAGGATGCAGATTGGGGCTGTGCCTACCGTTCCTTGCAAACAATTGTTTCCTGGTACAGAGCACAAGGATATACTACTAAACCAGTCCCAACACATGAAGAGATCCAGGAGGTATCTGTGCATTAATATCTATTTAATAATCAGATTAATAATAATCTGTAGTAATATCTAAAGCGCTCCGAGACTCTACCCTGCGTGAAGGGCTCTTTCCTCTCCACCCATGCATTATTCGAACCCCTTCAGTCGGGTTTCCGTGCTGCCCATAGCACAGAAACCGCCCTGGTCAAGGTCACAATGACATCTTGACCATCTGCGACCAGGGCTCCCTCTGCCTCCTCGTCCTCCTCGACCTATCGGCAGCATTCGATACGGTCGACCACGCTATCCTCCTCCACCGCTTGTCCTCCCACCTCAACCTTCAAGGCCCTGTCCTTGAGTGGTTTAGGTCGTACCTCTCCCACTGTGTCTTCATTTTGTTTCCACAAACGGCTTTTCCTCCAGCCCCTGCACTGTCTCGTGCGGTGTCCCTCAGGGCTCTGTCCTCGGTCCCCTCCTCTTCACCCTCTACATGCTCCCCCTTGGTGACATCATCCGCAGACATGGGGTTAACTTCCACATGTATGCGGATGACACCCAACTCTACCTCTCCTCCACTACCCTCATCTCCACGACCACCGGTGTCCTGACAGCTGCCTGTCCGACATCGAGTCCTGGACGAGAGACAACTTTCTTCAGCTCAACGTGCGCAAAACTGAGGCCCTCCTGATTGGCTCGTGTCAGCGCCTCCGCACCTCAGGCGCTGACAACATCAGCATCCAAGGCTGCACTCTCCACCTCTCAAAGCCGTCAGGAACCCCGGTGTTCTGTTCGACCCTGAGCTGTCCTTTCTTCCTCATCCGCGCCACAACTGGCACCGCCTTCCATCACCTCTGAAACATCGGCAGACTACGGCACTACCTCACCCCTCACTCTGCTGAAACTCTGGTCCACGCCTTTATCACCTCAAGGCTGAACTATGGGAACTCTCTCCTCGTCGGCCTTCCCGGCCCTCCCTCCACAAGCTGCAGGTCATTCAGAACTCTGCAGCTCGTGTACTGTCCCGCACCAGGCTTCGCGACCACATCACTCCCACCCTCCCTCCCCTCCACTGGCTCCCCATCCCCCAGAAGATCGAATTCAAGATCCTCATCCTCACCTACAAGGCCATTCACGGCCTTGCTCCTTCCTACCTCTCCGACCTACTATCCCCCTACCTACCTGCCCGTACCCTCCGTTCCTCTGGCTCCGGTCTGCTCCACATCCCCCGCCCCAACCGCTCTACCATCGGTGGCCGGGCCTTCAGCCTCTCAGCCCCAGGCTCTGGAACTCCATCCCCCAGTGCCTTCGCCGCTTCCTCCCTTTCCTCCTTCAAGGCCGGTCTCAAGACCTTTCTCTATGACCGTGCCTTCAGCTCCACTCTCGACTCTCTACCCCCTCCTCGCTCTCTCCCTTCCCTCACCCTGACCATTTCCCCTCTGCTCGGGTCCTGACCCAACTGTCCAGCGCCTTGGGACGTCCTCCCGACGTGAAAGGCACTGTATAAATGGAATCTTGTTGTTGTTGATGTTGAGGCAGAGGGAGCCCTAGTTGCAGATGGCCAAAATGTAATTTGTCACTTTCACCAAAGCTGTTTCAGTCGGTACAGAAACCCGGTTGGAAGGGGTTCGTGAAGGGAGTGGCAGGAGCATGAAGGAATGAGGAATGAATGAAGCTGAGAAGCAAAGATTCGTTCCAGAACCTTGGAAAGGAAAGGGAGGTTGGAGATGGGGCAGTAATTTGAAAGCAGGGATGGGTCCAGGGAAGGTTTTTTAAAGATGGGAAGATGAAAGACATTTATAAAGGGGTGGGAATGGTGCCAGTGGACAGGGAGAGGTTTATGATGTCTGTGAGTAGAAGAGCAAGGAGGTGGAGCTGGGTGGTAAGGAAAGGGGTAGGGATGGGGTCGAGAGAGCAGGTGGTCGGTTTTATGTGGGTTATAGTGGTGGTGAGAGGAGGGGGAAAGAGGTTTGAAGGTGTGGATGGCGTGAAGGTGTGATGGGGATGGGGTAGTAGACGGATCCCCTCGACTTTGATTTGAGGAAGTCCAGCATCACCTCACAGTTGACATTGGAGGAGAGAATGGGTGATGCGTGCGTGGGTGGGCGGAGGAGCCATTTAGTGAAGGAGAAGAGGAACCTGGGGTTGTTCTTGGCCTCCAAGATTGACTTGGAGTAGAAGAACGGTTTAGCGGAGCCAAGAGTGGAGTGGTAAGTTTTGATAAAGTCCAACCAGATCTGCCGATGGACCATTAAATCTGGGTTGCTGGTGTACCAGGATGACTTCCGTGAGTAGGTGACAGTTTGGGAAATGAGGGTGGCAAGGGCATTGAAAGTGGTACAGAGGGATTTGTGGAGGAGAGTGACCAAGGAGGATGGCTCATTGCAGGAGGAAGCCCAGAGAGGGAGGAGTTTAGATCACTCCCAAAGCAGCGGAGTGGGGGGGAGATTTTTTTTCAGGGGCGGGAAGAGATGAAGGTGGGTTTGGTGGCGGTGGGGAGAGGGATTGAGGAGTTAAGGGAGATGAAGTAAGATGAATATAACAAGAATGAACCTGCTTTCACGGAAGAATTTCTGTTAGAAAATTATTTGAAAAGAAACACATAACCGGACAGTGGTATATTTTCCTGAAAGTTGTTTGGCAACATTAGGTAAAATTAGTTCCCACAAAATCATTAATTTTTCTGTGTCAGTTTTACATAACCCTCTGTATACTTGCACTGTGAGTCAAAAAAAATTGTTATATTCTAAAGTTTCCTTTTTAGAGAGGAAATAAGATGTTTTAAAAATATCTAACTGAAGTCAAACATTGCTCCAAACGCCATTGAATACTGTGAGGGTTGTGCAGTGCAATGCATTCTATTTATTTCTTTAAGCTATTCAAGACGCTGTCCCACGTGCTATATAAATACAAGTGGTGATTGTTGTTCTATGTTTATTGTCAGATAAATACAACAACAACAACAACTTGGATTTATATAGCACCCTCCACGCCGGACGGCGTCTCAGAGCGCTTTACAGTTTAGGATCCCGGGGCTGAGCCAGGGGGAGGGGTGGGAAGGTGACCAAAGGCGCGGTCGAAAAGAAAGGTCTTCAGAAGAGATGTGCACAATGCAATACAAAAAATGTGCACAAATGTGCAACACAAAAAATGATTGCCTTGGAACCTTGCTGTAGCAGAAATCACTGCTTCAAAAGAGGAGGAAGGAAAATTATGAGGATGTTGTATTGAAAATTGCAATTGTTCATTTTTATATACTATTTTTGTTTTGTGTCTTCAGGCTTTGGTGGCCGCTGGAGATAAAACTTCAGATATCATAGGATCAAGTGAATGGATTGGGTGTTTTGAGATCCAGCAAGTACTAGATTCCCTGGGATTTACAGCTAAAATTATAAACGTCCGGTAAGATAAATGAAGCAAAATGGTCATTGTAAATTCTTCTTAAAATTTTAACATTTCTGTTATTGTATTCACTATATTCTAAAAACTAAATCAAATATGTTGTACCGTACTGCGTAGTTTGAAAGACAGTCATATATTGAACACAGGAAAAATAATAATAATCCTTGCATTTGATATAGCACCTTATCAAGTCTTTGAGACATCTCAAAGCACTTCACAGAATATACAGTAAAGTGACTGTATATTTTGTGGCCGAAACAAAATGCATTAATTGTAAATTAGACTAGAAACAATTAAGGGCAGTGAATACACTTGCTCAACTTTCCCTCATCTATGGAATATTAGTTTTGTTTCCCCCCTGGTTGAGATGCAATTGGCTGCAGTAATTGTAAATATGCAATTTCTACACTTGACAGGAATTATCTGTGAATTATTTTGAATATTTGATGATAGTAGCATTGCAGGGAAACTCCATTATAGCACGGCTTTACTTATAGTACTGGTGTAGTGAGGACCTGTGCTAACTAGAAGTGCGTTACACCCGACTCCAGTGCTGACCGACTCCAGATTGTCACTGATGCTGTTTCCTGTGCCCTCCAAACAAAGAAAGCACTGCATGTCAAACATTTTTTCATGGTTTGTTATAATGCAGGTGCTGAGACATTGTCCCTAGACTGTTGTAACAGTTTGCCTTGCATAACTACTTATTATTTCTTCAGCTGGTTCCCATACAGTACAAGAGTTAACTGACTATGGGAATATTGAAATAGAAACATCTGTTGTTTTTGGAAGAACTGAAAGAATCGCAATCACTTGAAAGTGAAACTCAAAATCCAGGCCATATCAGACTTCAGGAATTATGTAGTTTATTTTGATATAGATTATTTCAAAATCATATTTGAATCTGACAATCTTTTTGTAACCTAAAACTGAATGTTATTTTAGTGAAACTAGTAAGAACATTTCCAGTATCCCCATATATTTATCAGGAAATTACACTAATTTATTTGTGTTTCAAATCTCTTATATGAATCTGTAATACTACTACGTTTCAATTTAGCTATTACATTTGTATTATAGATTCAAAGTAATATTTTAGTAGTTTTCTACATCCTTCAATGAAAGGAAATCATTTCACTTTTCCAGTACAGGTGCTGAGTTTCCTTCAATAGGAAGAGAACTTGCAAATCATTTCACAGTTGAAGGAAGTCCAATTACGGTTGGTAAGTTTGTGATCAGTGTTGAACATCACCATTTGATCTTTTTGAGACAACCGCAGTCAAAGTTACAAATGACCTTCTGTCTATCTGACCAGGGCCTTCTCTGTCTCCTCATCCTTCTCGTTCTCTCTGCCGCTTTCGACACTGTCGACCACTCTATTCTTCTCCACCGCCTCTCCTCAGATCAACCTTCATAGTTCTGTCCTTGCCTGGTTTCTCTCTTGGCTTTCCCACTGTCTCAACTTTGTATCCACTAACTACTTCTCTCCACTGTTACATCCGACATTCCTCAGGGCTCTGGAATGTATTGGAAAGTAAAGCGGAGTGAGTACGAAGAAATGGGGAATATTTTAATTTCAAGTCAGATGTGCATTCATTCGCAACTCTTCTTTTTCCGTGTGTGATTGTTTGAAATACAGCTGGTGATCGTCTGGCAAACACCATCTTGGGAGTGATTTGGAATGAAAATACAGGTGATCTAAAATTCCTTGTGATGGACCCACACTACATGGGAGATGATGAGTGGAATGCTGCCATTGAAAGGGTATGTGGAGATACAGCAGCAATGACTAAAACTCCAATGGACAATCCTGCCACAAACATTTTTGGTAGTGATTCTGTCAATTAATATAAATAGCAGATTTGTTTCTGTTAAAAATCTTTTTGTCTGTCTAAAATAACCAATTGTTTTGGTCAGCCAGGTGGCTAATACACACGGAAGCCCATTATCTGCTTAAGAGTATCCAAGAGTTCTGTGTGCTATACTTGTAGTCTAGAATGGGATGTGCACTCTCACAGGTGCTTACCTAATTTCAGAGAGCATTAAGTGCAGATTGGCAAGAGCTGAGGCTTGATAGACATACCCTAGAGTTTGGGTTAGGGTTTTTAACCCAACAAAAATCGCATAAATTGCCATCGAAAGCACTGTCTGACAATGTTGCCCCTGCTTGTCCAGCTAGGACCACCTCACCTTTTGGGGGTTTGGCTGGCAGGGTTAACAGGAGCTGATTATTATCTATGGGTCTTCTGTATCCAAAATTAAATTGAGCACTGATTCCTCATTAGTTGTTGGGCTGTTGATGCATAGAGTTAAGACTTAAGACTGTTGTATTAACTTTAACTCTCTTGCATGTTTCAGGGTATTGACTGGAAAGGAATAGATTTCTGGAATCCAATGGAATCTTTCAACCTCTGCTTGCCACAAAGACCGTCAGGTGTTTAGAGCTCGTGTTTTACAGAGCTTTAACTGAAAAGGGAAAGAGACCGAATTCTAAGATGCACAGGACTCTTGCAACCTCTGTATGCTTCAATCCAAAAGGGTTACTGAAGTATTGAGTATGATTTACATGGTACTATAATAAAAACGGAGGATAAACATATATTCACTACTTGTTGCTTAAATAGCTTCATGTGCAATGTGCAGTATAATTGTGAAGCTATGCATTTTTCTATTTAGAGGTTATGTATTCAGGCACTTACTGAGGGGACAACTGATTCATTTCCAACCTGGCCTAGGATAAATGTTCTTTTTTTAAAAAAAAGGCTAGATGCATGCAATGCCATATCTGTTATTCATGTTACCTGGATACCAACTCCTCAGTCTTGATACTTCTGTATTAAAACAGTAAAATTGCTATCAGTAGCCTTGTTTAAATCATCTGAAGTTACAATAAAAAGCAATGAATTATAATTGACTGAAGTTTACAAATATACTTATCTGAGAAACTTGGTGAAAAAATCTCTGAAGCTAAACTAATACTGTACACGTTGATGTACCTAAAGTACAGTATAGTAAATCTTTTGCCATTCAAGTATCCTGTTAAGATCTGTCATTGCCACCAAACGCAGCTACTGGTTGCACTTAAACATTCAAACCATATTCAAATGTGATGAGTTTGTTAAAAATATTAACTTGTGAGCTGAAGACTTGTAAAATCAGTTGAAATTCATTCACTTGGAAGGCATTAGAAAAGAAACCTGCCTGAAATACTTCCATTTGTTGCAGCTCTTCAGTTGAAGCCAAGCATCATTTGAGGCAACTTTTCAGCACATTGTCTAAAGAAATATTGTGTATGATTTTTTTTCGGTGTAAACAGATTTTATCTTGATCTAAAACAGTTTTATCACAGTAGGGAAGGTTTGTTTAAAAAAACTATAGTCAGATTACTTTTCTGTAGTTCTACTTATTGATTGATATACTTAGAATATTGACATATTGAAAATGAAGCATGATTTTTGCAGATGAATTTGCATAAAGGCAACAGTTTATTGTACAGGCAATATTGGAAATACTTGGAATATCAAACTGTTCCATGTCAAATACAGCACATAAATACAGCTCTATCTATTGATCTTTGTATCCATTTCTGTAAATGAAAATGTATACTTCCCAGGTTCCAATAATCCTTAATCTAATGACAATTAATTTATGTATATAAAAGTTAATCAATACTTTTTTCACCAATCAGTTCTAAAGTTAAAGCTCTCACACAATACAATGTTCATTTATATTCTGTTTCTGAAGGAAAGTATCGGGCTCAGTTCTCAAATTGGTAGATGTACCATCTAGATCAGAAACTAGAATTATTTCACAAGGCTCTTGTTTTTCCACTGATATAACTGTCTTCAATGTTTTCTGTGGAAATCCTGTCATTCGAAGGATAAGTTGCAAAAAAGACAGATTGTGCTCATTTGGAGCGATCTGTACTTGATTACACTCAAAAATTCAACTTGCAAACAATGTCCACTTCGTCACGAATCATTCTGTTGTCCTCAATTTTTCTCTCTCATGTCCATTACTGTTATTCAAACTGCAATACTAGGCTAGTACATATTGCAGAAAACAAAAAAAAATGATTGCATGACAAAATGTCTTCATTGAACCTTCCATGCACAAGAAAACAGTTTGAGTGTATCCTGCTGTTCATCGTTTCTTTAACATTTTGCCATTTAAGTATTCTGTTAAAATCTGTCATTGTTTCCCAATGCAGCCACTGATTCTGCTAATTCTTCACAATGATCTCACCTCCTGCAGTGACAGTAAATGTTCCGTTCTACCACCTTTACAAAATTCTTTATTCGATTGTTGAATACCTATTAAATGGAAAAACATGAAGGTTAACAAGCCTTAATAAGTAAGTGAAGTGAGGAAGTTTTATATCATCGTAATTCTTGGCATTTGATATAGCGCCTTATCACATCATCGAAAAGTACCATTGGCAGGCGGGCCTTCAGCCACTGCCCCCACCCTCTGGAACTCCATCCTGCAGTCGCTCTGCCTCACCCCCTTCCTTGCCTCCTTCCAAGACCTGTCTGAAGACCCTCTTCGACTGTGCCTTCGGTCACCCTCCCCCCCCCCCCCGCCCTCTCCGATCCCAACCCCCAGCTCGGGTCTGAAGCACTGATTGTCCAGCGCCTTGGGATGTCCTCCCAACGTGAAAGACGATATACAAATGTAATTTGGTCATTGTCTCAAAAAGCGCTTCATAGGATATATTGTAAAGTGTAATATCCTTGTATTTTGCGTTTGAAACGTGGCAGCCAGTTTGCAGACAACATTTCTAAAAAAAAATTAATCTGGATTATAGGTACAAACGGTTTTGTTGGATCGATGGAATCCATTTATATGAACATACCTCGCTGTTGCACAAGTTCATTTTTAACATGATCCTCCATTGGACCCACTTGCCAACTTCCCAGCAAATAATAATAAATCTTGCAATTGATATAGCACCTTGCCCTTGAGATGAGTGCGTGCATGATATACAGAATTACATCAGCAAACATGGGGTGACTTTTAACATGGATGCTGCTGACACCCAAATTCACCCTACTGCTTCTATCTTTGATTCCTTGACTCACATCAAGTCCTGGATTAAAAGCCACCTAAAAATCTACCTCTAGCTGTGCCTACGGTCACTTCCAAACCTCCCCACCCACCCTGCTTCATAACTGGTACCATCTGTAAAGTCAATGGAGATGTTACTGTATATAAACACAAGCTGCTGTTGCTATTATGCGTTTTAGGATTTTATGTACAATCAAATATCAGAATAAACTAGTCCAAGAAAAGTTTTGTCACTGGTAGATACTATTTACAGTTTGCTTTTTCTAATTCTACACTGTACTCAAAAATTGAAAATAATGTCATTGTTATAATTAGTGGAATCAAAAGCAATTTTATCCACCTATTGACTTAAAATTCTTACCAGAGAAATGAACAGAAGTAAGTTAGCTTTCTTACCATCGATTTTGGCCTTCTTCTTGTCAGCTTCGAATACGCCACACATGCGTTTATAGCCAGCTGGCCTGTGTACAAGCCCTCCCCTGTCCCTGCTGTTTGCTGGCAACTGTCCATCGTGAAGTTGGGGCTGTGTGCTTCGTGTCGTTCGTATTGTTGCCAAGAAATTTACACAATCAGCATGTCCGTGGGATAATGCAAGATCTTCTGCAGTCTGTCCAGCACAATTGCAGAGTCTAAGCAGAAATTAGATCTCATTTAATTACTACAAAAGAGAAACATTACTTTTAAGGAAAACTAATAAAAACTCTCTTCATTGTGGCAGTGAACTATCATGTTCAGAAATGAGCTCTGCAAAATTAAGATTTCTTCCTCAACATGTGAAGCTCCTAAAATCAACTTTTAAATAGTCGTTATTATCATCAATATTTAACTAGGATATGCTCAAAATCTCCATAGAGAAAGTTGTAGGAATACTTCACTCGAGAGTTATCAAGTTAGTAATCAGAAATATAACTATTTGTTTAGTTTCTCACACCATACCCTCCTATTAACAACTTACATGGTGAGGAGTAAAAATTAGTTTTTAGGCTTAAAAGTGGCAAGGTAAGTACTGAATAGTGAAGCAAACAAGCCCTGAAAGTTACTTATCAGTCATGTAATAAGCCTATAGTAATACATAATTTTAATAAAAAGATATAGCAATGGCTTGAATAGCCTCCTGCTCTGAAAATTTCTGTGTAACCCACAATTCTTACCACTAAAAGTAAAATGTTAACTTTTTAAAAACTCCCTTTTAAAATCTATTCTTTGACAAATGAGGAAATCCCCTTGATCATCCGATTGTGTTGGTTTCTACTGTTGGATCAATTGTTTCTCTCCACCCACCCACTCATTTAAAGTTGAGAAATTACAAGAGACACAACAACATTTTGTTAAATTCAGCCCAAACATACAAAGATTATGTGCCAAACTATTATTTTAAATGTAAATATAATCAGTAATATACTTTTTTAGCATTTAACCATATGCAACCAATTTAGCAGATATAGTAACTATATAGTAAGTATAGCAAGTAGTCAGCTGCTGAAACTAATGTTGAAGTTGCAAACATCTGAAAATGAATGCAAATCACTTATGGTGCCACAGATGGATCGTGTTACTCAGTGAGTTATTTCTTAGAAATATATAGCATTGCAATCCACTGGATCTATATCTAGTCACTGCCTATGTGGGTATTTGACCAGAGGTATTGCGATGTGATTTTGAAAATTACTGCGAAGACATGCAATCATGCTGCAATACAATGTTTTGAAGTACAGGGCAACATCATTAATAACAATGTATTCTGGGTCAGAATATCTCCAACACTGTTTTATGAACAAAGAACAAAAATGGCTGGCTTCAAGTTTGTCGGGTTGCCACTGATAGCACTTCCTGGATATTCGCAAGCGATATCACTTGCTGCACAGTGTCATTACAGCAAGTGAAATGACCTCCCTTTCCCGCACCATGTGTGATACTACAACAACAACATTACATTTGTAAAGCGCCTTTCATGTCAGGAGCACGTCCCAAGGCGCTCAACAGTCAGGGACCAGGACCTGAGCGTGGGGGGGTGCAGGGTTGGGATGAGGGAGGGCAGAGGGGGTGTGAGGGCGGCTGATTGCACGGTCAAAAAGGAGGGTTTGGAGTCGTGCCTTGAAGGAGGCAAGAGAGGGAGCAAAGCAAAGGGATTGTGGAATGGAGTTCCAGAGGGTGGGGGCAGCGAGGCTGAAAGCTCGGCTGCTGATGGTAGTAGTGCAGGTCGGGCGGGAGACATGGAGCAGCCTGGAGCCTGCTGAACAGAGGGAGCGGACAAGTTGATAGGGGGTCAGCAGGTCAGAGATGTAGGAGGGGGCAAGGTCGTGGAGGGCCTTGAAAGTGAGGACGATGATTTTGAATTCCATCGTCTGGGGGATGGGGAGTCAGGGAGCTGGGCGAAGGGTGGGGATGATGGGGTCATGGAACCTGGTGCAGGAGTGGACATGAGCTGCAGAGTTCTGGATGATTTGCAGCTTGTGGAGGAAAGAGTTGGGGAGGCCGACAAGGAGGGAGTTTCCGTAGTCGAGCCTTGAGGTGACGAATGCATGTATGAGGGTTATGGCGGCCTGAGGGATGAGGCAGTGGCGGAGTCGGGCAATGTTGCAGAGGTGGGGGAAGGCAGAGCGGATCATGGCACAGATATGAGGGAGAAAGCAAACACAGGAAGTTTTGTTAACAGTGACCTGACAACCCAGAAGTTGGCCCTTTATATACGTGGGGAGCTGGCTAGTTAGCACGGGAATTTGGGTGTAACACATTTATCAGCCGGTTAGGGCAGGACCATCAGATACCAGAATGTGAGAGTGCTTTATACTACGGGATGGGAGTTGGGTGGGGTGGGGGGGAGAAGAAAGTATACAACAGAATTTTATTGTCGTCATTGACACACCTAATTACTTACTCAATTCTTGCAGCTGAAGCAACAAGTAAGCTGATACACTGCAAGCTTCCGGTTTTGGCAGCTTTGTGAATGGCAGCCTCTCCCAAATCATCCTGGAAAAGAGTGACAATTCTAACGTAAAATGTTGCTCTTGTTAAACTGTGCAAAGTTGTTTGACATTGGAGTATATGGGTAGATGGGCAATACTATGGGTAGAGAGATGCTGCATTAAATTTATTTCATATTCACAAAAATACCAATGTAAGTAGTGTAATATTGACAAACATTATCTCTACTTCATAGGAAAATATAACGTGATTTAATTCTTGTGGATAAATGTTAATAATTCAGGTTGAGGTTATTAAACATTCTATCCTTAAGGTGAATTAGCTGAATCACAAATTAAACAAGCTAATTTGCATTTCAGATACACTTGTTTTTAAAATGTTGCCATTTTTTCAATTCAAATTCTGATTCTTTAAGCACGGAATGACTGAAATACAACTTAACAGCATTTCATATAGCAATCAAGGCAACTACAGTATATCCAACACATTTCCATTTTAACCAACATTTGGGTGGCTTAGTTGTTTGAAGCCTGATTTGAGATCAGAAACCCACTCACCCTTCAACAACTTGGGATTTATACCGTGCCTCTCACATAATATATTAATTTGCTTGACAAATGTTATGGTGGACATAAAGTATGCAAATATGATATTTAAAGATGATGGTAAAAGTCATGGTTACCAAGATATGTTTCTATGTTCTTGAAGGCAGCGAGTGAGACAAGCAAGCATAGTAGTTTTGGAAGAATATTGCTGAGAACAGAAACACAGTATTTGAAGGCATGGCTTTCAAGAGTAGAGTGAAGGGAATGGGGAGAGAACAACAGACCAGCCGAATGAGCTGGCTGGAATATACGGCTGCACAAAATTAAATTGGTTGGTGGTGTGAGACAATGGACAAATATTAGGATCGAAAGGAGGTTAGTGAAATGGATACCGTCTCCAAAAAAAAAATCTTCTTGAAAGAATGGAAAGCAGTATATGCCCGGAAATCAACTGATTCTGACTCACATCTGGAAAAACAATCAGGGCATTACTGATCCTGCGCAGTCGAAACATGACCTCCACTCCAAAGAATCAAATCAACATTGGCTAAATTAGCTGTACGGTTAGCATTTTAACTGATTGTTGGTGATTTATGTCAGCCAGCTAATATAATTCTTGCACTTGCTACAGGTCGTTATCCCACCTACAAAATATTTCAAAAGTTTCACAGAATTTACTGTAAAGTTTAGTAACTCTATAGTTTGTAGGTGATAAAAGCAGCAATTTGACCACCGTAATTAACAGCCTATACATAAATGATTGATATTTATTGGGGGGTTTTGGCCAGGACAACTAGCAGAAACTCCTTTCTCTTTTTGTAAAACGTTATGGGATCTTTAACCTCCATGTAAACATCCCCCATCAGTTCTGCTGACCCAATGTGTTTTTTATACAGTACTTAATGAGAACAACAACTTGGATTTATATAGCGCCCCACACGCCGGACGGCGTCTCAGAGCGCTTCACAGTAACGGATCCCGGGGCCGAGCCATGGGGAGGGGGAGGAAGGTGACCAAAGGCGCGGTCGAAAAGGTCTTCAGCAGAGACCTGAAAATGGGAAGGGAGGGAGCGAGGCGAAGGGAGTGAGGAAGGGAGTACCAGAGCCTCGGGACATAGTGGCTGAAAGCACAGCCGCCAAGGGTGGAGCGGAGGACTCGGGGGACGAGGAGGAAGCCAGACCCAGAGGAACGAAGGCAATGGGTACTGTTTTGAGGAGAGAGATCAGAGAGGTAGGGGGGTGCAGAGGAGTGGAGGGATTTGAAGACAAGGGTGAGGATCTTGAAGTCGATCCTCTCTGGGACAGGCAGCCAGTGCAGTCTGGCAAGGACTGGGGTGATCGGGGAACAGAGTTTGGTGCGGGTGAGAATGCGGGCGGCAGAGTTTTGAATAATTGGATTTTGTGGATGGTAGTGGAGGGGAGGCTATTAGTATTGATAGGAGGAGAAGCCTATCGGTATTGATTATTTACAGGATTTCTTTCTTTCTTTTACTTTCCTGCTAAATAATAATTCTTGCATAGTGAAAGGATTTCTTAACTCTTCAGGGGATTTACTGTAAAGTTGTAGTAACTGTATTTTGTAGACAAATGCGATACCCCAATTTTGTGCACAGCAATGTCACAGCCAGGAAGTGAATGAACAATTTTATCTGAAGGATTGTTGACCAGGACAGCAGGAAGAACTTCCTTTATTTCTGAATTAGTGCCAATAGGATCTTTAACATTCACCTGCACGGGCAGACAGGAACCCAGTTTAAAGACTCATCCGTAGGGCAGCACCTCTGACAATGCAGCATCCCCAGCACTGCTTCGGAGTGCCAGCCAACACTATGAATTCAAAAGTCTGGATGTGAGGCATGGGGCTCAAACCCACAACTTTCTGACTCAAAGTTGAGAGTATATATAAACCAAATCACACTAAAGAAAAATCATTTATAAAGTAATTTGATGTGATTTATTTATTTTGGGGGGAACGATCCTACCTGTTGGTTGACGTCCGTTCCAGCGTGTAGAAACCAAAGCAAGCAATAGGCTTGACCGCCAAATGCTGCTAGATGTGCTGGAGTCTGGCCTAAACAGCCCGGAGAGTTCACTGCAGTACCTGCCTGCATTAGTTCATTCAAGCACTCGACCTACAAGACAAAAATAATAATCCTTGCAGTTGCAATCAATATAGCGCTTTATCATGTAAAAGCACATTGCAGAATATATTGTGAAGTGCATTGATTGTGTTTTTTCTGAGCATAACGAGAGTGCCAATTCCGCATTCGTAAAATCACGCTGAGGCTACAACTGTACATCAATCCTACCAACAACAACAACAACAACTTGCATTTGTATGGCATCTTTCACGCCGGACAGCGCCTCGGGGGCACTTACCAACACCGTCGAATCAAAGCAACTATTTGCTGATCTGAAATGGGGATTTGTACGATGCTCTTGATGTAAATTGGGCAAGAAAGCCCGCAATCTTAGCAAAGCTACATTTCCCATCCAAAACAGATACTGTAATTAAAAACGCAAAGACAAATTCAGAACCCGCTCTGGATAAATTCTACGAGTTGCAGATTTTGCCAGGCGTTCAAAAAAAAAAAAGAAATTAGCCTTATTTCGAAAATCTCTGGTTTGCTTAAAAATAGATCTGCTGAGAGTCTTTTCAGCACATTGTGGCTGTTGTGGACCATTGTGCCTTCAGGTCATTGTCACATTCCCGACAATAACAACTGTGATTTATTGTGTCATTGCGTTTGTAAATCCCACCCGTGTTTTGCTCGCCGCACACAAGCAGAAAGCCAGTCAGTCAGTCAGTCAGGAATGTTGTGCTACGCGAATGCTTATTTACCTCGGGGTTATAATCCAACAGAATCATAGCGTGAGAGATCCGAACGACTGGTTCAGAGACCCCACTCCCTTCTTGTAACTGCAGCCCAGTATGCGAGGAGCAGCCTCCGACTCTGTTGAGTTATCCGGGCTGTGCTGTGCTGGGCTGAGCTGTGCTGTGCTGGGCTGGGTTGTGCTGTGCTGGGTTGTGCTGGGCTGAGCTGGGTTGTGCTGAGCTGTGCTGAGCTGGGCTGTGCTGGGTTGTGCTGAGCTGGGTTGTGCTGGGCTGGGCTGGGCTGTGCTGAGCTGGGCTGTGCTGGGCTGGGCTGGGCTGTGCTGAGTTGTGCTGAGCTGGGCTGTGCTGTGCTGAGCTGTGCTGTGCTGAGCTGGGCTGTGCTGTGCTGAGCTGTGCTGTGTGGGCTCTGCCCTGTGCAGCTACAAATCGAAGGGGTGGGGGTGGATCAAGGAAACTGCGCTTCGCCTATAAATCATGCAGCAGAACCAATGGTATGTGTGGACTGCAGAGGGACGTGACTATGCACATGGGCTTTGACGGTCCACAGCAGAATTGGCGAGTGGCTATCACATCACCAGCAGCGATTGTGCTGCAATGTGCAGTCAGACACGTACACACGTCCTCCCCCTCTCCCCCTCTGCTCCCAGCAGCAGACATTCACCCTGAAACCTGCACCGCCTATTTCCAAAGCCACACGTAATGCACAGCAATCGCAGACTTGCATTCTTTCTCGGGTGCACACGCATTTTCGGATCCGCTTGGGATCGTTTTTTCTCTCGAGTTTGCAGACCGACCAGGCGTTGAAAAGAGAAAGAAATGAAACCCGCTTTTTTTTTTTGCAAAATGAAAAGAATTGAAATTCGATTTGCTGACCATCTTTCAGCACCTGGACCACGTCTTCAGATCACGTTTAGCCTTTTAATCCGACAATAGCAACTGCAGTTGTATTTGTGTGTTTGTGAAGCACAATCTATTTTGCAAATAGAAAGGCAGTAGCATACTCATTTGGATAGCCTGTTTCAAAAGACCTCCAAAATGATGGATTATCTTCTTTCTTGGGTGTAAAAATACCAGCCCACAACTGTAGGTCCCTAAAATGGTATCATTTTGTCCCTGTAGCACGGTTTGTTACTGCGGATGCTTAATATATTTAAGAAAGCGAACATGAGAAACATCTTTTTGTAACGACACCTCCTACAATATCATGCAATGGTTTCCAAATAAAATTCTCCAGCTGGAATGGCAGTAAAACAGGCATTTTTTATCCAACAACAACAACAACAAATTACATTTGTGTAGCATCTGTCACGTCGAGAGGACGTCCCAAGGCGCTGGACAATTAGTGTTTCGGACCTGAGCTGGGGTCAGGATGGGGAGGGTGGAGGGAGTAGGGTGGGGAAGGAGAGTGATCGAAGGCACGGTTGAACAGGAGGGTCTTGAGATGGGTCTTGAAGGAGGCAACAATACCAACAACTTGGATTTATATAGCAAAGCAGGAGAGCCTCGGTCGTGGGACGTCCTCCCGATGTGAAAGGCACTTTACAAATGTAATTTTGTTGTTGTTGTTGACATTCAACTGCAGGAAGTTAGCTCTCGTCTCGGACTTGATGTCCAACAGGCAGTCTGTGAGGACAACAGTGGTCCTGGAAATCGAGGGTGGAAGCAGAGAGGTAGAGGTGAGTGTCATCCGCGTCCATGTGGAGGTTGACCCCATGTCTGCCGATGATGTCACCAATGGGGAGCAGATAGATATTGAAAAGGAGAGGGCCAAGGACAGAGCCCTGAGGGACGCCATGCGTGGCAGTGTTTAAAGAGCATTTCAGGAGCTTGGTTGCTAAAGGTGTGAATTTGCCAGCAATGATCTACTATTTAAAACATTTCTTTTTTTTACACTGTTCAAAATGAAGACCCAAAACAGCATGAGTGTAGATTAAAATCTGAGCAAACTAGACTGACTGCTGCAGTACAGTTTCCTGAGCACCTCCAGTCCCAGTTTCCTGCCAAGGAAGCAGCTTGCAGAGTCATGGTTTTGAGTGAGATCTATCAAAAATAGCATTTTACTAATAGTTGGATGAATTAAGCCAAAATAGTGTATAACCAGTTTTTTAATGTTTGTTTAATTATTCTATTGAAATATTTAGGAGGGAAGTAGGTGAATATTTGGTAGGCAGGGGTATCAACTGATACATTGAAAGGCAGGGAGATGATATGGTAGACCGCTAAAACTGTTCATTTGAACATTCGTGGATTCCTGTAGCTCAGTGGGTAGAGCACTTGCCTCGCAAGCAAAAGGCTTGAGTTTGATTCCCGGCAGGGCGAAATTTGGGCAAGTTTCCTTACTCCACACGCCCCTGTTTTCCTAGCAGTAAGTAGGAACCCGGTTGTTAGTCAATTGTCGGATTGCTATTCCGGGGATAATAATCCCTAAAAAAAAGTAATAATTTGGTGACTCAATCCATGACTGTTTGTGTGACACTGCTGTACGCAATTGACTGCTGCATTTCGCCCACAAATATACAGTCAATTCACTTTACAGTATATTCTGTGAAACGCTTTGAGATGTCTAGAAGATGTGAAAAGCACTATATCAAATACAAGGATTATTATTATTATTATGCTGAAGCACTGCTATGCATTTTGCCGATAACAGAAAATTGCTGAACATTTGTATAACTGTACCTTTAAGTGAAATTTTGCTGAAAATAATATAATAATCCTTGTATTTCATAAAGTGCCTTATCATCATTGATATGTCTCAAAGCACTTCAAAGATTATGCTGTAAAGTGAAACATGTTACCACAAGGAGTTTTTGAGACAATTGGCATAGATGTATTTATGGGAAAGCTAGATAGGTACATGAGGCAGAGAGGAATAGAAGGTTAGGCTTGAAGGCTTAGTTGAGGAAGGGCAGGAGGAGGCTCATGTGGAGCATAAACACCGGCATAGACCTGTTGGGCCGAATGGCCTGTTTCTGTTCTGTATATTCTAATGTATTCTAATGTATTGAGTGACCACATTTTTTTTTAAGGGATTATTACCCCCCGGTTAGTGATCCGCTAATCGAATAGCAACCAGGTTCCTACTTATTGCTAGATAAACAGAGACATGTGGAGTAAGAAAACTTACCCAAGGTTTCAACCTGCCCAGGAATTGAACCCCGACGGTCCTCTCACTTGCAAGGCGAGTGCTGATAACTTTGTAATAACCTTGTTAGACCTGATTAATGGTTGCTTGGCTTTTCCTTGCTCAGTTTTGTGCGGTAATGCACAAAAAGAAATGTGCAAACTTTTTCCTTATCTAACGTCCTTGTTTTTGCTGATGTAGTCATGTAGAGAAGGCATGTTAATTAAATCAAATCATCTTTGTTAGGTGAGGAGTAAGAGCGAGAAAAACGATATCTGTGAACCAAACCAGATGATATTGTAGTTAGAGTTGAAGGAAAGGCTAAGTAAACAAATTAGGTATAACTGTCGCCAGTGTAGCTGTTGCTTTTCAATAAGGTTAAACTCATATAAGTCAGATCAATCAGGACCATAGTATTTAATATGATTTAGGCGAAGACCGAGTTACAGTATGTTGTATAAAGTCTGATTTAATCAATAATCTACACTGGGCATGCGTAATTCAATGCACCCAGTAAGTGCACATGTGGTAGTTTGTCACCAGCCAGTAAATGCACATGGGGTGATGGGTCAGACGACATTTCCCGCAATTCAACGCAGCCAGACAGTAAGGGCGCATGCATCAAAGAGTCAGGGTGCCATTTTTCGTGATTCAATAAAACGGTAAGTGCAGGAGTAATGGACGGTTGGAGAATGCCATTACAATCACATTAGGAGGCGATTAATACGAGGCATGCAAAGAAATCTAAGTGGTTTTGATAGAAAACTGAATGTTTCTCGGATGAATGTGCGACTTCAGCAATTATACGATTTAAAACGATAAGACTTATGTGAGTTCTACTGTACAGACCTAGGAAGACAAGAGCACACTCGAGAATACAGCACTCTGAAGCCACTGTACATATGTTCTCCAGAATAAGTAACTATGTCTTTCCTGTACCTTTGGAGTTCCAATAATAAATTGTTAAACTAAGTTGGACTCTGTGAGCTTGATTATCTGGTGTCCGAAGCCACATGACTCAATCTTTAGATTAAGTATTAATTTGCAGTTCAATTATCATCCACTAAAATGGTGAGCGTGTTAAAGGGCTGAATGATCTGCTTCTATTCCTATGCATTTATACGACAGTTAGGTGTCAGCCTGGCTCAGTTGCTACAGTATATTCTGAATCGCTTTTAGATGTTTCTACAATGTGATAAGATGCTATATGGGCAGACACATTGCAGATGAAGTTTAATCTAAAGAAGTGTGAGGAAGAATGAGGAGAGGCAATATACACTAAATGGTACAGTTTTAAAGGGGGTTCAGGAGCAGAGAGGCTTGGGGGTTCACATACACAGGTCTTTGAAGGTGGCAGGAGAGGTTGATAGAGTGGTAAAAAGCATATGGGATCCTTGGTTTTATAAATAGAGGCATAAAGTATAAAAGCAAGGAAGTTCTGCTAAATCTTTATAAGTCACTGGTTAGGCCTCAACTGGAGTATTGTATCAATTCTGGACACCACACTTTAGGAAGGATATCAAGGCCTTGGAGAGGGTGCAGGGGAGATTTACGAGAATGGTACCATGGATGAGGGACTTTAGTTATTTGGATGGTCTAGAAGCTGGGGTTGCTATCCTTGGAGCAGAGAAGTTTAAGGGGTGATTTAATAGAGGTGTTCAAAATTGTGAGAGGTTTTAAAAGAGTAGATAAGAAGAAACTGTTTCCACTGGCAGATGGGTCAGGAACTACCGCACATAGATTCAAGATAATTGGCAAAAGAACCAGAGGGGAGATGAGGAGAATTTCTTTACACAGAGAGTTGAATGTAATCATGTTGTTGTTGTTGTTGTTAAGGTCTGGAATGCACTGCCTGAAAGGGTGCTGGAAACAGATTAAAATAGCAACTTTCAAAAGTGAATTAGATAGGTACTTGAAAAGGAAAACATTGCAAGGATATGGAGATAGAGCAAGAGAGTGAAACTGATTGGGTAGCGCTTCCAAAGAACTAGCACAGGCACGATGGGCTGAATGGCCTCCTTCTGTGCTGTAATATTCTATGATGTGGAACTATTGTAATCAGAACTGAATTATTGTTTGAAATATTGTTTCAGTTAAGTTAGATATTCTCATGCATGTTAGCCAATGACAAGCTGACCTGGAGTATGATCATTTTGACTATAAATTGGAAGGGGAGTGGGGGGGAAGAGGTGGACAGTTTCTATGGTGACTTTGAGTGGGGGGGTGTGGGGGGCGATCAGTGGAAAGCCTGGGTGGGCGTTTTCCATGGTAACAATGAGAGGGTGTGAGGTGGCGGGTCCCATAGTGATGGCTGAGTGAGGGGAGGGGGAATTATCAGAGGGGGTGTTTCAGCAGCAGCATGAGGTGAGTGAGGATTGAGCTCCAGATGGGCTGACTGAGACTCACTGTTAGCCCTGTCTGTAATCACTCAGAGGGTTTCACTGCCTTTTCTATCTTTTTGTGATGTACGTGTGCTTCATTGAATTGTGAATATTTTCAATGGCTTCAAACAGCCCTCAGTTCTCCATGTGGCATAATTATAGTTATATAGTTAATAATAATTATAGTAATAATCGCCATATCAAGATGTCAGCCTGGGTCTCTGTAGCACTTTGGCCTCTTGAGTCCGGAGGTTCCCCTTGTTGGGTGTTTAAAATTATAGCCTAGACCAGGGGTGATAAACATATGGCCCATAGGTTAGCGTCTCGTGGGAGGATATTTGGCAGTCCTCCCAATAGTTTCTAAAAATCTTATTGATATAATCTACTGTACAGTTTTTTTCTGTACAGTACATTATATCATTAATACCAACTCTTCTCTTTTTAATATGAGACATATATTCAAACCTGTGCATTCTGCATTGCATGCGTAACATGCCCATTAAGCCAATGATAGCTCACAATGTTAGTAAAAATAGCCATTCAGATGGTGCATATGGTGGAAATTGGCACATTTGAACAAATATGCACACAATGACTCTAAATATTTTCAGGTACGTATTGTGCATGTTTAGAAAATATTACGGTGTGGCCCACCAAGTGAACAGTGGTAACTTAAATGGCCATCCCATCAACACATGGAAATTCCAGAGATAGATTGTTGGACCGAATGCATCCTGCTTACCTAATTCCGAAACATATTAGGCGCAGGTTGGCAAGAGCCAAGGTTTGGGGACCCTAGAGTGTGAATTGGGGTATTGCAGGACTCTAAGCAGCTAAAATTGCATAGCTTGTGTTAGAATATACACTTTTTGTATACTGCTAGAATCATAATAGATGTTGTGAATGGGTTAACTTTTAAATTAAGTGCAGGGGACAACTGGACTGACAGTCATGGGATAGGACACATCTGGTTTTCTCTGTTTTTGAAAGAATAACAGACAGCGGCAGGGGGTCACCTCTTATCAGTAAATGACAACAAGCCCACAGAGGTAACGGTCCAAGATACCAGTCGACACAGGATCTCGACTGAGCAATATGTTGCTAGATTCTGACAGGGCCTGCCAACCGACAGAAGGCAACCCTCAAGAATAGCAATTAATGAGCAAGTTGCTTAAACTAGAGGACGTTGGTACCATCCCGGGATACTGATAAGGAATAACCAGTCACTTAAAAGGAATGTACTAATGATCCCACACCACAAAATAACAAGCATCAGATAACAGGGGTCTTAAGGACAATGTGTATGTGCGCTGAGGCACGTACACCCCATGAGGTGTTCACGTGAACCCAGCATGATTTCGACCGGGTGATCTAATGTCCGCACCATGATTGGATGAACATTGGTATAAGAGTTCCGTTAACTTTGTAAACGGGGCCGTCCCGGGTCGCGGAGACAAGGGTATGGGAGATGGGGCCATCCCGGGTCGCGGAGACAAGGGTATGGGAGATGGAAGACTGAGAGCTGGAAACACTAAGACTGAGGATATCAGATGGAAGATTGAAAGCTGTAAGCAAGAAGACTGAAAGCATGAAGAATCAAGCTTGTGTGCTGTAAAGACACACTGTTGAACTCTTGAACTCGAGATATCTATAGTGGTGTTATTCTGTTATAAGATCTGTTGATTGTACCGGCCTTTGGTCTGACCCATCGGGATATTGGGAAATAACGAACGAATAATAATAAAACAGTCTGATATCTGGTTAGAGGAATTAGCGTTATTTCCTTACAGATTTGGCTGATTTTATTTTCTTACACTTGCAATTGATAGCGCTGTCTGGCAAGCTTTCCCGCTGCTTCTCCAGCTAGCACCACCTATCCGTTAGAACTTTGGCTTGCAGGGCTAACAGGAGCTGAGTGGGATGACTTCCTGCCCCCAGTGACTGGTCTGCCCTTCCAGGTCCTTTTACCTTCACAATGAACCTCCCAGTTGGAGGCTTAAACCTAATGAAAGAGCAAACAGCAATCACTATGTTTACCTTTACCTAGTATATCAAGCTTGCTGACAAGTGTAACGCAGATCACGAAGGAAGAATCAGAGGTGCTGAATAATGTTGTCCAGAATGCAGGTAAATAGTAATACTGTAACAAGAATATTTAGAAATTGGATCTACTCTAATTCTTTTGAAAAATGATTCAATTTATAAGGAGTAGGTGTAACAAAAAAAATACATTTTGCACATTCTTGATCCTGTTGAAAACCATTGAAATTGTATGTAAATTTCTTTCAGATAAATAAAATAGGACTTTAGTTTCAATTAGTGCTACTAATTATTTCAAGTTTAAATACACAGGTTCAGTACAGAGGTAAAGCTGCGATAATCAGGATATGTAGTCATATTTCACTTAATTTTTTTACCATTCTACATTTTCTCAGTGCTTCGTTGAATCAATTGTAAAATTTGCATTAAATAAACAGCATAATTTGAAAGATGAATGCTGATATGAAAGTTTAGCATTCTCTAGAGTTGCTAACAGGTTAGGGAGTGGAGGCGTCATCTAGACTCATTGGCTTTGTAAATGATGTTAAAAGGATCTTCAAACAAGATGGACCGACTGCTGACTCAGTAATTCACACATTTTGGACATAATAAGCAGATTGGTGACATCGTTCGTATCTTAAATTATGTGGAATTGACTAATATATACACATGGCTGGCACATGCAGGCTTTTCCTGACAAATTCTAAATTGTACTTTCTATTGACTTTCTTATTTTACAGTACTTTTCTCTCCTGTTGTGCCATGCCATCAACGTTCAACTGAACTATAAACTTGTCTTCCACCCCTATTAGTACTACTGTATATCCACTAATGGGAAACAATGATTTGTGCTATGCAATAGGTTTCCCAGTTGCCTAGAATTTAAGAAGGCCTCTACACAATCAAAATCTTATAGAAGAGATTATTCCCCTAGGGTTGATTACTGTGAATTTCTCTAGTCATGCCCATTTGATTTTGGTTGATTTCTTTGAATATGACAATTAGTTCTGCAAATATTCTCTTTTACAGGGCTTTTAAGAGAACAGATTGAAAAAGAGGATGCAATGTGTTTCCTCAGTTAGACAGTGGTTGGATTTTATGAAGTGGCATAGACTGTAGGAGCGGAAATTCTCTCACCTTGTTTGGAAAATTTGTGGTGTTCAATTCAGTTATTTTCAGATCAAGTGTATACCATTTTTTTTACCCATCTTATTACGCATCACATTCTTGCTATTTTCTTTTGCCAAACGTAATGAAAACTCATAAAAATATAGTATCGCATAGAGAAAATCTATTAGCAGAAGTGTATTGTGGCCACCCTTTTAACCTAGTCATTTGTAAATTTGTTTTAAATTTGACATTCGTAAAAAAAAAATTCTCCTAAGCCTTCTCAGATTTCAATGCTTTGCAAAACTCTGCTTGTGTCTCTGTTGTTATTGATCTGGTTGTTGTGAGGTACAAGATGACTTGGCTACAGATTTACTATTTATTTTCTCTTCCTCTCCTCCACCCACACACCCACATACATATGTACTGTATTTCCCAGTCGCTAAGTGCTAAGCCTTGGCTCTTGGACTGAAATTGGAAACTGAAGGCCCGTGAAGTTACAAATGCAAACCTACCTACACCTTGGTACCAATCTCCCATGGTACCAGACCATAGTTAACAGTTAACCGGTACAGATTATCTGCGCAAATGTTATTCTATTAGAAGCTGTGTGTATTTATTCTATTCTCAGATTTGCCGCCCAGAACTCTTACTGATTTTGAAAAGTCTGAACAAATCTTAAAACAAAGGACTGCAAATGGAGATCCAAATGCTTCTTTTCTTCTCGGTCAGCTTTACTTTGAAGAGGTGAGCAAAAACTTCATTGATTAATAAAATTATGTTTACAGCTTGCAATGACATCTGGAGATAACATTGTTAAACTGACCAGGTCAGTTTAACAATGACAGTTTAACAATGTATACACTGTAGACTGACATAACTGACATTTGAAAGCTGCTTCCAAACCTGTTCGCCCAAACAGTTCACATGAGATAGACTCTTGTTATCACTTTTATACAATGAATAAGTCATCCATGTGGAAAATACTTTTTTGCTGGCTATTTTTCCGTGATGAGGAGTAAGCCATAGCTACAGTTCTGCTTTCATTTAAGAATGAATATCAACACATCCGTCTTTTACTCTTGAGCAACCACGTTGTACTTCCGCCAGTTCTGTCCCAACAACATGTTCAATTATTGAATCTTGCAGTTCACTGGTAACCACATAGCGGTCCAGATTCAAATGAAAATGTTCTGTGATACTCTTCACTAATTGGTTCTACTCCCCCAACATCTCTCAAAACATGCAGCTCATGCATCCAAAAAGATGGCATGTGTTGCAAGTGACAGTGGTCTAACTCAAAAATAGGTTGGCTTGTAAAAAATAATTACAGATTTAATAGTTCCTGGAGCAAACTTGCAATGCCTGAAGTGAGAATGTTTTATCATTTTAGGGTTTGTATAAACAAGCTTTTCAAATATTTGAGAAAATCAAGGATACTGATTTCCAAGCTCTCTATCAGTTGGGTGTGATGCATTATGATGGTTTGGGGACCATAGAAAATACTGTGAGTTGGATGAAACACTTTTATTTAAACATTATTGTGTATACTATGTTCTTATGTAACAGTGATATCATTTACAAACCTTATCACAAACCGCCAGCAGTACATCTGCACAAAAGACTTCTCCCGCTCTTACCTGCGGGGTATCCCAAGGATCCATCCTTGGCCCCCTCCTCTTTCTGATCCACATGCTCCCTCTTGGGGATGTCATCCACAGACATGGGGTACATTTCCATATGTATGCAGATGATACCCAACTCTATATTACCACCTCTCTTTGCGACCCCCAGTCCCCTGATGTTCTGTCAGCCTGCCTGTCAGATCTCAGGGACTGGATGAGTGCAAACTTCCTTCAGCTGAACGTTGACAAGACAGAAGCCATACTCTTTGGCTTCCGTTAACGTCTAAAATCTCACGACTCTCACCTCCTCCACCTACCCGACCTCCCCTAAAACTCTCCGAACCCGTCACAACCTAAGCGTCAGGTTCGACCACCAATTATCTTTCCTCCCCCACATCTGGTCCCTCACCAGCACTGCTTTCTTCCACCTCCGATGCATCGCCCGTCTCCACCAATACCTCCCCTCAAAACCGCTGAAGCCTTCGGCCACTATGCCCCGAGACTCTGGAACTGCCTTCCTCACTCCCTTCGTCTCGTTCCCTCCCTTCCCATTTTCAAGTCTCTGCTGAAGACCTTTCTTTTCGACCGTGCCTTTGGTCACCTTCCTCTCACCCCCTTGGCTCGGTCCCGGGATCCGTTACTGTAAAGCACTCTGAGACGCCGTCTGGCGTGGAGGGCGCTATATAAATCCAAGTTGTTGTTGTTGTTAACCATTTCAAACATGGAAGGTTTTTGTGTTCTTAAAGTGATATCCTATTATTCAGAAAAAAGAAGTGCAAAATGAGAAAATATTTATCCATCTCCATTTTAAATATCCCAATTGATTTCTGCCTGAGTTGATTCAGGCCTTATGGGGCAGTGCATTCCATATTTTCACAGCCTTCCTTTTGAAGAAATGCTTTCTGATCTCATGCCTAATGCCCAGCTCTAACATTAAGATTTGTTCCTTTGTCCTGGATTTTGTTTCGCCCACAAAGTATAGTTAATTCACTTTGAGATGTCACAAAACACTTCACAGAATATATTGCAAAGGCCCTCTATCAAGTGCAAGGAAGATTATTATATATTATTATCCTCTACTAGAGGAAAGAGATGAGTACCATATAAGATTGTTAATATCTTTCATTATTTTAGCCATCTCATTCACATCATACTTGGGCCAGTGTTGTACTGGACCTGGGAGTGCTCATTGGAGTACTGAAAATGTGAACATTTCATATGTTCCAATGTTCCAAAACTAGCAACTTGCCTCATGTTTGTATAATCTTGCCTAACAACACTGTGCTTTTGGCAGGCACGAGGTATAGAATGCATGAACATAATCACACAGTCTGATGATCCAAAAGCAAAGTATTTGAAATATCCAGCGTGGTACAACCTTGGTACAGCTTACTTTGAAGGGTATGGTGTTCAATGGTCTGATGAAGAAACTGAGAGGTAAGATAGGCATTCTGTTCAAGACATACCTAATTTCGTTGATCATTACTTTCACTGTGGATTACTTTGCTTTTTGAAGACTATGGCTTCTTGCCGCAGATGATGGGAACCCAAAAGCCAGTCTGAAGGCTCAAAGTTCTCTGGGAATGTTTTACTGTAGACCAGAAACACTTAACTTGAAGAAGGTAAGCATTGTATATATGTCAAAATTAGAGAAGTATCTCTATGTGGAGCATTTATTACAGAGTGAATTTAGATATTAAGGATATTATACATTGTAGAATTTTTTTGATGCATGTTTGTAATGATATTTTCCATTCTAAGCACAAAAGTTATCGAACATCGCAGGATAAACTTCATTTTATAGTTTTGAGCATCTTACTTTCAAAAGGACTTTGGTGTGTTAGAATGGTTCAGGAAAGAAAGACCAGGATTACAGAACAGAGGCTATTTTCATTAATGTACATTAATGTAATGAAAATTGAGGGATATATGATTATGAATGGGTAATATAATACAAGAAGCTTATTAAACATGAACAATAAGAAAAGTGAAAGAAAGAAATTCAAAAACTCATAATTAAATAAAGTTTGAGATTAAAATCTTTTCTTCCCACTGGATAATGGATATGTAAAAACATTCCCAGAATATCTATTTGTGTTGTCTGAACGTTTATATAAAGAACATATCTATTTATTTCTGATAAGGCCTGCATCAACAACAATCATTTACATTTATATAACAGCTTTCACATTGGGATGACATCTCAAAGTCTTTTGTGGAACATTAAAACCAAAGCAAAATACAGTAGGTGGCTACATATCCTTATGCTGATTATCCATGTGACCACTTAGCTGCATCAGGCTGCAATGTGAAAGTGAACTTGGGATGTGGCACTGCCCCAAAAAAAATCCATCCTGCGCAGCATGGCTTTGAGCCAGCAGAGCAAAGGTAAGTATTTACCAATCTACAGTGGAGCTTAGTGACAAGGTGAGCCATAGAAAAGAAAGTCATTGGATCAAGGTAGAAAGTTAGAGAGATTCAGAGAGAGAAACAGACTGAGAGAGAAGGACTGTTTGAAAGAAGAGTCAGAGACAAAAGGAGGGAATGAAGGAAATAGAGAGAAAGCGAGATATCAAGAGAAGCGTGGGAACAGTGTGGTACTATAGTGAGAGTATAGCTTCTGAAGGCAGACATTTTTGATGAGCACTCCAGCCCATCGGTTTCCCAACTGGGGTCCATGGACACTTAAAGGACTACAAGATCAATTCAAAAGGGTCGTGGAGCTGGGAGACACACCAGGGTCATCAGGGAGTGCAAAGGCTGTGTCTATCTCAAGCCCTGGTGGGATACGTAATGTCATGGGGGAGCTTGAGCCCAGAAAGTTTGGGAACCCCTGCTCTAGCCAATATGTATTTTACATGATGACCAATTATCCACACTGTTTCTTTACCCGCATTGGGGCCTGTCCCAATTAGCACAGATAACTAGCTCTCTATTATACATAGTGCTATTTTTCTGTGCCCTAATATTAAAATCCAAAGCAACTTTGAATCCATAGAATTTTACATAATAGATCTGAGAAATTAGATTTCCCAGTCAAATCCTTCATATTTGAGTGATTTGAGAGAGCCAGCAAATGAATTACATCTATCTGCTTTGTTTAAACGCTGAGATTGATAAAAACTGATACACAACAAAAATGAGTTTTAATCAATGGCCAATGAAAAGATGATAAACTATTATGTTTGATAAATATTTTTGTACAGTTTTTTTTGCTAATATAAAACACAATACACGATGTGTATTTGTATGTAATCACAATAATGCAATAGTGCTTTTAATTGTTTTGTTTTACAAGACTAACTTTGAATATGGATTGACTCACTATACTATGAAAAGGCTCATTTGTTTTGTTCATAGTCCTGCAAAAAGCAGAATCTAATTTTGTTTTTATTATAATATCCTTGTACGTGCTATTTCTATAAATGACTCATGTGCTTCCCAACCTCTAGGCATTCTTTTGGCATTCAGAGGCCTGTGGCAATGGGAGTCTGGAGTCTCAGGGTGCATTGGGTTTACTGTACCTGACTGGGCAGGGTATTCCCAAAGATACAAAGTCTGCTTGGGAGTGCCTGAAGGAAGCATCACAACGAGGCAATGTTTACGCACAGGGCCATCTTGTGGCTTTCTATTACAGCCGTAAGATGTACACTAAAGCCTATAAACTTGCCAGAAGGTAATGAGAATTATAAAACAATATAGCCATATAGAAATGTAATAGCTTTGAGGGAAAGATAATGAAACTTAAAAAAGAGACCAATGAGCAGGAACACCTTTGTCATTCTCTAAATCGGCTCAACATACAATGGCCAACTCATCATTTATAGTAGTCAATTTTTTTTATTAAAACGTCAAAATGTCATTAGGCAGTAATAATGACCAATATAAAGTTCATAGGATTTAATTTGAATCAGCACCTTCCTGTATTATTCATTTCACTCAATAATTTTGTATTGTGAAGGAATTGTTTTTTAATGATAATACTTTCTCCATGTCCCCAACTAGGTCTTCGACTATCTCAAAATGAAAATTATGGCTGAAAGCCAATGTTGTAAATTGGCAAAAAAATTCATTTCTAATTGAATAATAGTATAATATAATCATAATAGTATAATGCAAACTTTCTAGTGTCAGGACAGTGGTCATTTGAAGTTTCCTTTCACCAGAATATCAGTACATATATTTATAGTATTAGAATACATTTTGTGTACTCTTAATTGTCTCAAATTTGCACTAGGGTTGCAGGTTATGTTGATATCGAAAACATAGCTAAGGAAACCAATTGCCTGCCATCTTACATAGCAAAGGGCATTGCCATGGGTTGTTTTTACTTAGCCAGATGTCTTCAATTGGGCTTAGGGATAGCAGACGATCTAGAAGAAGCCAAAATATACTATTCCAAGGTACGTTCTAGAAAATGCTAGCACATCATGTTTAATGCATTAAGAAAATATGGAGGAAATAGAAAATAAGTGGAATAGTAATCTTTACCACAAAACATGCCAGTGTAAAGCACTCATCGCTTTGCTCAGTTACGTACTCTTAAGGACTTTACCTCTGAGGTTGTACCAATCTGGAAGAGTTACAGAGTAGGTAAAAAGTTTTATTTTGATGTAAAAAGTTATTAAAAAATGGAGAAGTTACAACAAAAATAAAATTTTAAAGTGAGTTGAATAGCTATTTGAAGAAGATTAATCTGAGGGTACTGTGGAAGATTAGAATTGAAAACTGTGGTAAAGGATATGGCGCCAGTAGGAAATGGGCAAAATCATATCCTTTAGGGTTGTAATTTCTATGTCTGGTTGATGAGTTGTGCAGGCTAGTTAGCTCTAAACAGTTCCTTGGGTTACTGCTGTCCTCCATTGCTTCACCATGTGCTGCCAGCTAAGTGTTATGGAATACTTGCTCTGCAGTGTGTGTTAGAGTTTTTGCAATGCTACAAGGTTTTAAAACAAATTGAGTCAGGCCCTTGTTTGTACGCACGAAAGACCTGAAATTTCTTATAGTATTAGCGTTAGCATCATTGCCTTAAAATTATGCAGAATTTTGCAAAATTCATAAATTGACCTTGGAAGCCAGTTTTGGTACTTATTAAACATTTCATTAAAACAACTGCAGAAAAACAGCTTCAGAATTAAGACTAAATTAAAAATTGTTTCAAAATTCAGCATAATTTTAAATTTAAGGATGAATACACAAGAAATTATGACTCACAAGCTCCACAACTTGCTGTAGTTTTTAAGATCTTTGGCTCAAGAAAAATCACTTTTTAAAAAAATTACTTATAACTGTGGTTTAAGCACTGTTCATTGTTCCAATATAATCTCTGAGATATACAGCATCCATTCTCAGTTGTAGTATGTTGCAGCAATGTACACTAAATATAGTGAGAACAGAAACTATATTTAATCTGATTTCTTATTTTTGTTATATTTTTAATCCCAGGCCAACCAAATTGATAATGCCATATCTGGTGACCTACAGTTTGAAGTGATAATGGAAAAGATTTAAAAAGCAATTATCAGGGTGAATTACTTGAATAATCTCAGTTCCCCTGGATTGTTACGAAGACAACGTTTTCAATCATTGGAGGTTTTCATCATATACATTTCATCATCATTCGGAAACAATAAATTGCAATGTTGTCAGAAGCTCCTCAGTAAAAAGTTTCAAAAGGTCATGCTTCCTGCAAAGTACTGTCAATACCTCACTGCTAAAATAATGTCCTACCTAATGCAGACAAGCATGAGTTTGAATTCTCCAGATTGTAGAGTAACATTTTAGTCCACATCAGATCTGAGAAAGTGGCACCAGCATTAAGAGCTTTTCAGCAGAATCTGTTTTAGATATAATACACTATTGTGCTGTTTATGAACAAACACCAGTGGGGCAGGGGCGGGGTGGAGGGTGGGGGGGTTGGTGACTCTACGTTTACCAACATTGGGAATGTGAGCTGATAATAGGAAACAATTTACTTACGAATGTGAATAAGACAACATCTTGTCCCCGCCACAGTACCTGACATCTAAAAAATATTCCTTATTTCAGTTTTATAGCTGTCATTCTGGCTCAGTTGGCAGCACTCTTACCTCTAGATCAAAAAAGTTTTGGTTCAAACCCACTGTTGGAACTTTGAGCCCATATATTGACATTTCAAAGCAGTTTTACATTGTCAGAAGTGCTGTCTGTTAGTTCAGAAAGATATTAAAGATCTCATTGGCACAGCTTGAAAAGAGAAGGGAATGCTGCTTTACACTTTACAGAAAACTCTGTGAAGTACTTAGAAGCATTTAATGTTAAATGCAAGGATTATTGTTGCTGTACTAAGAAATTATGTCTTCTATTGCTATTTTTATATATTAAACAAAAGCTTGTAATGTAACTTGTTAAGCAATGGTCAACTATTCAATCCGGCTTTAATTTTGATCATTTGATGTGATGCTCAATTATTTTTCACATACTGAACATTGGTTACAAGTAAAACAAAATGCAAATTAATTGCTACAGTTGACAGGAAACCAAACAGCTAAAGATATTATTTAACAAATAATGAGGAACGTTTTAGAACCAAAATATAATTGTACAGCTTCTGATCAGAAAATATGTGTTATATATATACTATAGATACACATATATATTATATATAAAATATGTAAACACTTTCAAAATAGGTTTAAAAGAGGGAATATCTGGAGAAAAATGTTCTATTAATATTGATGTACAAAGGAAAGTGGAAAGATTTATTTGCAGAAATATGAAAGTTCATCTCTTTAGAATCCAAACTATAAAAATGTAATATAAAGCTCTCCATTGAAAGAAGTTTAATCTATGAAGTTGTTGAGCAACATCTTTGAAAAGATACTGGGTAAATGCCAGGTTAGAAACAGAATTTAACAACAAATTGCATTTGTATAGTGCCTTTCACTAGAGGACGTTCCAGTGTGCTGAATTTAAGGTTATAAAATAAGAAAAGTAGTGAAATAATAATTATTTATTAATAATAAAGCTTGCAATTGATATAGAGTTGAGGATCTCTAATTGCTGTGCAGAATTTACTGTAGTTTGTAGGCAAACGAGGCAGCCAATTTGCGTAAAACAGTGCCTCAAAAACAGCCGTAACGTGAAGAACCAAATGTTGGTCATTTGGTTATTCCTTTGGAATAAATAAATGATGGCAGGCATATTATAGTCACCGAGTAGCTAGGGCTATCGAATGGTCATGTCAAGGAAGACCACTTGCTCCAAGATGTAAAAGAATAGGCTGTAATGGTCAATAGATATTAACCAGGAGATGTTCTTAGAAGGTTCAAGGCTGACAGAATGCATTGTAATTTTTTGTCATACATACACACATATACATACATAGATAGTGGGACGTTGCTGTGGCTGCCACATTTCTCCCACAAAACACACTTTACAGTCTATTCTGTGAAGCACTTTGAGACGTCTTGAAGACATGATAAGGCGCTATATCAAATGCAAGGATTATTATTATTATTAATCATAAAGTGAAATTATAAACCACAGCCTGTCTGTATATTGTATGCTTTATAATCAAAACCGAATTTACAGTTCTAGACAAGAATATTCTCTTTCACTGACTTATTTTTAGTGATCATACACAAGATTTTTTTTCATGTACTTTTTTATTCCTCTTTACAAGTATCATTTAAAACTGATTAAAATATCTGTTTGCAGCACCCCCCAAAAGGCTGCTCCAACAGATAAAATACTAGGTTAAGTTAGAACTGAATTATTTGCCTTATTGCTGTTGGATATTAAATAAAAAGTAAAAACTGTACAAAATGTTTCCCTTGTCTAATTTCCATGAAGGAATTACTGTAAAATATATGGAAATGAATGGGCATGGACATATTCTGCAATGAGTATGTAGTGTGTATTTTATCAACAACTTCACGCAGGGCAGCATCTTGGAGCACTATCAAGCAAAGGAGATCCAAATAAATTTGCAGAACAAAATCTTTACATTGATGAGGTAGTACAGTACTGCAGGTGCTTGTGCTATACAAGATGTTATGGTACTGATCGCTCAAAGTTAAAGTCCTGGTGTAAAGTGCCACCTGCTGGAAACTTTCTGCAATGATTCAAGGTTTGTGATCTGTGCAATACTCAGATAAGGTTATTCTGCATATAGTCCTAGACACTGCACTACAAGGGGAATATGTAGAAGTCATTCACCCAAACTGCAGAACAGGCCACACTGTATACTTTTTTTTTTAAAAAAGAGTATATATTTCTTTTTAAATATTCTGAACCAGATAGTGTAGACACTAGCACAAAATAATTACAAATGGGCCCAAAAGTAGCTGAGTCAGAAGCTTCTGGATTCAAATCCCATATCACGACTTGAACTCACATAGTCTAAGGTGATATTCCAATGCACTGCAGAGGTGCCATCCTTCGGATGAGACGTTAAGCCGAGGTCCCGTCTGCCTGTTCAAGTGGATGTTAAAGATCCCGTAGCACTACTTGAAAAGAGAAGTTCTTCAGGAGTCCTGGCCAACAATCCCACCAATAAAATTGGTCACTTAATCCACGGCTGTCTGTAGAACATTGCTTGTGCAATTGAATTTGGCATCGTTCTACCTCGTTTGCCAACAAACACAAAATCACTCCATCTCACAGTAAATCCTGTGAAACCTTTTGAGACATCCTTCAATAAGGCACTATACCAAATGCAAGGATTGTTATTATATCATTTAAAGGAGATTTGATTAAAGTCAGTTATCTGTAATCCATATCATACCTTGCATGATATGATGAACAAAAGAAATTTCCACTGAAGAGTTTCAATGTTTTGTCATAATTTATTGCTTATAAATCATCTACACCATTAAAATCTTTGGTAAAAATAAAATCTAGCTCTATTTAACAATAAAATATTCACAATAGTTCTACATAAATATTGCACACTGAGGCTATTCAACGATCACCAACAAAGAAAGGAATGTTCAAAAGTCCTCTGTGAGGAAATTGCAACTTATACGACACTGGTCTGTACCACCGACAACAAAATAATACAATCCTCAAGTTGCCTTAAAAAATATTTATTCAGTTTCTCACAACATTAATTACTGGCATTTGAACTTCTTAAAGAAACATCAACTACCAGATTTCATGAAAAAAAGAAAAAGTAGCTTTTATGCATTGATTTCACAATGCTGGGACATGGTCATTTCACTTTGTGCTACATCAGTCATTGTAAGAGGGGAAAACACCAAATATTAACATATTCAGCCCAAGTGTTCCTCTGGGAAAGTTGCTTTTTTAAACAAACAACAACTTCATGTCCATTAATCCCTTCCATCAATTCACATATAATGATGAGGTGCTGGATCAACTTGGGCAGATTTTGTGCTCATCCAGATGAGTTCGTAGTTCTGGGCACAGCTCAATCAATAGGAGCTCCACCAGCATCTGAAAGGTAAAGGTGAAAGACTTAGACATGGAACTGGCATTTTATGCCACCGATAATGATAATAATAGTTGTATTTGCGTTTTATCACATCGCTGAGATGTCTAAGTACTTCACAGAATATACTATGTAGGTGAATAACTTCAGAAGATCTCAAACTCTCAAAAGCTATCACAGTCAATGTACATTTGTAAGCAAACACGATGGTTATTTTGCACGAGGTAATGCCCTACAACAGCTGTGAGTTTGACGACCAATTTTATCCAGTGGATTGATGGTCAGAACACCAGGAATAACTCCCTTCTCTTTTGGAATAGTGTCATGGAATCACCAATGTCCACCTGAACAGGGAAACAAGACACATTTCACCTGAAAGGCAGCACTTCCTAGATACAACAGTCCTCCAGTAATAATAATAATAATAATCCTTGCATTTGATATAGCGCTTTTCACGTCGGGAGGACGTCCCAAAGCGCTTCACAGAACACACTGTAAAGTGAATTGACTGTATATTTGTGGGCGAACGCGGCAGCCAATTGCGCACAGCAATGTCCCACAAACAGTCGTGGATTGAAAATGACCAATTTATTATTGTTTTTGGTTTTGGAGGGATTATTATTAGGCGTGTGGAGTAAGGAAACTTACAGTATAGCATTTGCAGTATCAGCCTGGACTATGACTCATGCCCTAACATGGTCTTAAATGCACAATCTTCAGATACAGAGTCAAGAACGCAATAACCAGCCACACTGTTACAAAACATATACTGATAAAAAATATCAGTATCTACTCTGTTGACCCGATTCCACTGTATAATTTAGTCATATAGCTTTTCTAGATATGAAAAATAATCTCCAACAGAGGGAGCTCTACCCACATATATCACCATCAAAAAGGAGGTTTTGAAGAAAGCCCCACGAAGCCCATTCCCTCTCATTCTTTCTGAATTTACTGGGTGAGGGTTTAGAGTGGGGGCATGAGCAGAATGGGTGCTCTTTTGGTCACATTTGCAACAGCTTCCGGTGACTTTCCGAAATTCCTCAGGCAGCTCTTGGCACATATTTCCCCACAGATGAAATTGTAATTTTTTTACTTATTATTCTAAATTATAAGTGGAAAGCAGAGAATGTCAGAACGATCTCCAGGTTCTGTGATGTGAAGCCCAATCAGTAGGGTTGGCATCCATATATATATTTTTTAAAAATCGCTAAGTTAATTTTTTTTATGATGCAGGCAGATGAATGACCGAGATACAAGTGAATTAAAACATGGCTGAAATGTGTGCAGGGGTGGGGGAAAGAGGAGCCTTAAAATGTATCCGTGTAGTGAAAGTGGCCAATGGATGTCTGAAACGTGTTTACTGAGGCAGCAGATGTCTGTGGCTACTTCTTAGCTCAAAGGACCAATGGGCGTCTGATAAAAAATTCTGTTTGGAAGATTCCATAAGGATCGTCTGGCTATGAAATTCAATAGATTTCAGAGCCACAAGTGTCTGATGTAAACACTAGCTTGGACTGATTTCAAAGGTAAAGAAGAGATGCTCAATTGATTCAATGGAGGAATCACGTGTGCCCTTAGTGAGTCAATGCAGGAGCAAAGAGTGACCAACAAATATAAGAAGTTGAAGAAAATTGCTAAACCATGGAAAAAAATGAAGCAATAATCAATGTTATATAACTAAAATCAGAAAAAAAAACTGATTTCCACCAAACCTAATTATATGCACTGCAAAGATTTGCTGCTGTACTCACATAGAGGAGATGCTTGTTGGCACTGGATTCTTGGAGTGCATTGAAGACTTTAATGATCCCATGTCGAGCATTCTGCTGGCCAACAAGGTTTTGCAGTGCATCTAGAGAAGAAAGAACTCTCCATTTTACACATCAAAATGCCTCAAAGTGCTTCATAGTAATTATTCTCAAAGGTTAGTTTGTAGAAGGTAAATACAGCAGCAATTTTGCACACAAGGTCCCAGCAACTGCCATGAGGTGAATAATCAATTTATCTGGAGGACTTCTCCTTCTTTTTACGAATGCTGTTGCAAGACCTTTCAAATCTACCCATTGTCAGGTGGACGGGACCTCAGTATAATGTCTCATCCAAAGTTCTGCACCATCAAAAATGTACCATACCCCCTAACACGGTACGGAGTGGCAGTCTAGATAAGAAGCTCAAATCTTGACAAAGGGATTGAACCACCAAACATCTGATCCAGAAGCCCTTAACTAGCTGAGAAAAGCTCTGAAGTTACAGCTCTACTTGGCAGGATTTGAGGTCATAGAACTAATCCACTCATACATGTATAAGGAAGATTATTCTTCAGAAGGCAAACTTGATTTCTGACAACATAAGGGTTAATTGAGGTTTCCGGTTCAAAGTCACTGATTGTTGGTTCGTGGTTAGCATTCAGTAAATAAAAAACACTAAGTCAATATCCCACTAACAAGCAGACAAATATTCTGATTAGGGAGTCCAATGTCCCACTGCCTTCATGGTTACCATGAGAAATGCTGTGAAATGCCTCTGGGTACATTCAATGCACTAAATATCCACTACCATTAAATTAACCCTGCCACTTTCTTCCCCCACTCCTCAGTAAAAAAAACTGAAACCCTGAGACCAAGCAATTAGAGCACAGCATCAGTGCAGATATGCAGACAAATTTAACTCTGAAAATAATAGTCTTACATTAACCACTGTTTCATGGAAGCACTTCAGGTATCAAGAGAAATTCTGCCCTGAATTCTGAAAACCAATTTGGATCCACTGTAGAAAACTACATGAAACAGGCTGAAAGTTAAATCTTGAATTGTCTGCTATACATTAGCACCAGTCCCTCAATGAAAGTATTCAACTAGTGCAGTGTGCATATTCTTTAAAAGGGGAAAATGAAATGAAACTGTTTTAAATCCAATTTGGTTTGGTTCAAAGTACCTTTGCAGATTTCTCACAGTCTGCATACCAGCACAGAATGATTTAGTGTTTAAATAAATCCTAAATTTAACAAAATTGGATTCAGTATTTCTAATTTTGTTTCTTTACCATACCAATTCTGATCATTATAATGCATTTGCAGATGACAGTGTGTACAGTCAAGAGCACTGATTAAAGCTATCAGTGCAGTCCTTGCAGAAGGGCTGAATGCCACACCTGGAATGTTGTCGAGTAGTTTCTGCTGTGCCTTGTTTTTGGTCTCCAGTCGTTGCTGCTCACTTCTGGGGCCTGTAGGGGCCGCTAATTTGCCATCCGGCCAGAAGGCATCTCGAAAGAGATTGATGTAATAAACGATCATTTGCTCACCGATGATCCAATTGATTGTGTCACGTATTTGCCTGAAAATAAATTGCAAATTGCACAGCGTCAGATTTTTTAAAAATTACACGCAAGAAAAATCCAAAATGTGGCAACCAATTTGCACACAGCAATGTCCCACAAACAGCCATGAAGTCAATGACCAATTTTATTTGTACATCTAGCTGTTAGAAGAAAATGCTACTGACTGAAGTGTGGGCTGCAAATGGCATTTTTGAGGGAGAGCGTGGGTAATTGAAATCCCTGACACGGCTGGCTATTTGCTGTCAGACCCTATTTTGTTCTGTGGGTCCGAACAAGCTTTCCTCTGCCCCGTGGAGTAATAATTCATCCAAATGAAAAACAACAAAAGGAAATTCAGTTGCTCGCACAACCTTGTGAAAATGTTGGCAGCTTTTAGCAGGTGTTCCAGAATCCATTTGTGCTGCTTCAAAGGGCTCATTTACTCCCACAGTCCAAAATACTCATTAGATCATGGTGACATGTCTAGCAGTACTGTGATTGCCTTTACCACACCATAATAAAAAAATTCACTCACTGCGAACATTGGTGCTTACTCTGTGTAACTGGACATTAAGAACCATTATACTAAATCAAGCGTTCTGGGACTCTACCCTGCGTGAGGGACGCTATATAAATGCAAGTTGTTGCTGCGGGTGACCTCTACATGCCCAGCGCTGGTACAATTATTAAAAGGATGGTGTCCTACAATGTAATAGTCAGTGACCGCAATCTGTTAACCTAATGCTTCTCCAGCTTCAGTATGTGGGGGTGGGGGACGACAAAGGGGAGAGATCCCACCTCTGGTCCATTCCCTATGATGTCACATGGCCCGCAAATATGACTCCATAGCTTCATACCCAATAATATCAATATTGGGGTTTAACATGTGATGATTTGTACTTGGATTCCTTAATAGGAAAAACTAATGCGGCCACTTCCGGTATCTCCAGGTACATCACATAGACTCGCAGGATCTCTGTTCTAAAAGTAGTTCCTAGTTTCCTTATCAACGAATCTTATTAGAAATCGCTGCTTATTAGAAATCCCGTGTTCCACCAGATATCATCTTCTAATAGCCTGACTAGACTTCAAATCCACAGAATGAATGTGATTTTCATATTTTGTTGGTGTAAACATTAAAGACCATTATACTATTTGGTCAGTTGGAGATACCTCTTTATGCAGGCAGCTTGTTGTTTGTTTTTTCGTCCGATGCTACACATTGCTAAAGTGTACTCAGCATGGTGCCACATTAGCACTCATGGTAATAATAACAATAATAATTATAATTCTTGCATTTGATATAGCACCTTATCACGTCATTGGGACGTCTCAAAGCACTTCACAGAATATTCTGGAAAGTGGATTGACTGTGTATTTTGTGGGCAAAACATGGTGGCCAATTGCACACAGCTGTATCCCACAAACAGTCATGGATTGAGTGACCAAATTATTTTTAAGGGATTATTACCCTCAATTTGATGAATTTATTACATGAATTTGGGGTGGATTTCAATTTAGAACATAGTTAACAACATAGTAACTATTTTAGGCAGGATTGGCCAACCCACCCAATTTTCCAGGCTGTGAGGAATCCACCTCTAACTCCGATAACTCCGGTAGCCAGAAATACATTTATCTAACTTTTCTGGTCAGCCTTATTAAATCCCTTTGTTATTTGCCTCTAAAGCAGCAGCACAGGGACATACTTAGCAAAAAAAAATGAGAGCAGAAAAGTGGCCCGCAAGCTTTACAGACTACATTAAAATCAACAACTATATTTAAATTCCAACAAATTGTGCCTATCTGGTATTAACCTGTACCCTTATTTGCAGTTAAGTAAATTTATTTTTCAACGCAAAAAATCTCACTTTCACAGCATATCAAAGTGGCAAAGATAAATTCAATTTCTCTGAAGAATCAATATTACCATTAATTTTCAGTCCACGTTAATAAACTAGAATTGTATTCAATTTCTGAGCTGGGTGGATGCGGAAGGTGGGTGGGGATAGGTTAAAGATGATCAAAAGTGCAGTCAGAAAAAAAAGGTCTCAGACTGGGCTTTAAAGATGGGAAAGGGGCAAGGAGGCAGAAAAACTCTGGGATGAAGTTCCAGAAAGTAGGGGCAGAATGGCTAAATGCTCACCCATTGATGATGAGGCAGATTGGGCGGCGGACATAACAATAATATTAGTCCTTGTATTTGATCTAGCACTTTTCACGTCTTCTAGACGCATCAAAGCGCTTCACAGAATATACTGCAAAGGGAATCGACTGTATATTTGTGGACGAAATGCAGCAGCCAATTGCATACAGCAGTGTCTCACAAACAATCGTGGATTGAAATGACCAATATATTATTGTTTTTTTTTCTTGAGGGATTATTTTCAGGCCCGTGGAGTAAGGAAAATTGCCCAAGGTTTCACCCTGCCAGGAATTGAACCCAGGTCGCTCATGAAACTTCGCTGAGTGAAAGGAGCAGCCAGGTCTGTAGGGTTATAGGAGGTCATTAGAAGTTGGGAAAGGCAAGACCATAGAGGGGTTTGAAAGCAAGTTCCTTTCTTTAAAGGAAAGTGCTCTGACAGAATAATTAAAAATTGAGAACTTGTAATTTTGGCTGCATTGCTAACAAACTCCCAGTGCAATTATTTTCCACATGGAATACAAATTAGGATGACTCAATGCATTACTTTTAATTAAGTGACTGTCTGTGACAATACACATACTGCAATATGTGACTTTCAATTTTAATCCAGTCTCTTTAATGAATTCCTTTCTGAATTTCCACTTGAAAACGGACTCACACTGAATTAGGGAGAAACAGGGGAATTCAACATTTCATGCCCATGAGTTTTAATCCCTTTCACAAGGAATATTTAGAGCAGTTGCTCAACAGGACAAACATACTGTTGTTTCCCACCTTGACAATTTTTTCCAGTTCTCCCCATTCAATGGACCTCCAAGTCATGCAGGCTCCATGAAAAAGAGAAATCTACAGAGCAGAAGGAGGCCATTCAGCCCATCAAGTCTGCACTGGATCACAGAACAGGGTGATCAATTCAACCCCACTGCCCCAATTTATCCCCATATCTCTTCAAGCCCCTCTCTTTCATATGTCTGTCTATTTACCCCTTGAAAGCTACAATAGATTCCATCTTCATCATCTTAATCAGCAGGGCATTCCACATCCTAACAACTATCAGGGTGAAAAAATTCTTCCTAAATTCTCCCTTCGCTTGTCTTATGGCTTTCTTCACTATATTCTCTTGGAGCACCGTTCACTCTCACTCTTAGAGACAGCAGGAATTCTCAAGGTGACTGGGAATTTGCCACACATGACGAAAAGCCAAAGGACAGATCTGGGTCAGCAGAGTGGAGGCAAAGCCAATAGAGGATGATTTAGAGAGAGAAACTAAAGGACACAGGATCTCATATTTGCTGAAGAACGATTTGGGAACTAAAAGCGTTTATATGCTGAAATTAAATCTATTCAGTATCCAGTATTTGATTCTGAGTTTGGGAGCATCATCCTAGGTGGGGGAGGGTGGGTTTCGCCCACAAAATATAGTCAATTCACTTTAAAGTATATTGTGTGAAGCTCTTTCCAGAGACGCCTCAAAGACGTGATAAGATGCTAAATCATATGCAAGGATTATTATTATTAAAGAAGCTGTCAAATACTGATGCAATTACTAGGTGGTTATCAACCATATTATCCGGGATAAGAGTCCGATGGCTGTTTTGTGACTTCAATTGGTCCACTAGAGCCAAGCTCAGTGTCATGTTGTCAGTCGCAGCTTGTTGCCAAGTCTATCAGGTTCAGTGTGACAACATCATAGAGGGGGGAGAAACCTAATTCAATGTTAGACACGGAGTACAATTGGCAACACAAAGGAAACAGCTCAACAAGGGCTCAGAGAAGTGACTGATGCAGTTTGGTGGAAGATTTTGATCTCAGAAGTGGAAGGTTTTTCTCTGGTGATGACAAGGCTCAACAACAAATACTCAGAGTGAGGATAAGTGCTTCCTACATAGCTTACCACATGGACTTAGTTTCTAGGCAATCATTCCCCTGAAATGTATGCAGTTCAACAGCAACAACAACAACTTGCATGTACAGGCGCTGTACAGTGCCAGGGTTGGACACTGAGCAAGGGAAGGTGACCATAGGTGCAGTCAAAGAGCTAAGTCTTAAAGTGGAATTTATTTAAAGATAAAAAGGGGGCGAGGCAGAGGAATTGAAGCAGGGAGTTCCAGAGGTTACGGGTATGGTGGCTGAAAACATGGCCATCATAATTAGGAGGACATGCAACAAGCCTGTACCAGCTGAGCGAAGGGCAGGCAGCGGAGTGAAGTATGAGAAGCAATTCACCTACTTCAGTGAAATATTGTGTCAGTCCAGTCAGCTACTGCAATTTCCAGTGTGAGCATCTCGTGAACTGAGGCTTCTGGGTTATAGAGCAGACAGTATACTAACCTTTTAGGCTCCCCTAAAGGCACGTTCTAACATAATCATTAATTGCAATGGGAATATTCTGTTCAAATGAGGGTAAAAGGTTTAAAAGCCAGAAAATGTGCAGCATTGAGAATGCTCTCAAGCACTTACTTGTTAATCGTTCTTCCAAATGTAACTTGAACTAGAGCAATGAGCGTCTTCCTAACCCACTTGAACACTGGAAAACACAAGGAGGACAATAATGATTTGGTAACATTTACATATTCTATGCACAATTTGATTCCACAATTGTATATGGCAACCATCAACTGGGCGCTTTGTAAATCTCTTCCATCTATTTAAACTGAGCCTTCTCCTTTATCTCCACTGTTGCTCACTATTTCCACTCGGAGAAGGTGGAACTCACTTCAACAGGCTTTCCAGTAGAGGTGCTTTGGGTCCAATACCCTCTTTATGCTGTAATTTCTGAAATTCTATGATGAAGTTTTGCCAAAGTCCCTCAATAAAGAGCCACTAGGAAGAAAATGAGAGCACAGCACTGGTAAAATATCATCTAGTTCATTCTCCCTGTGCTTTGGATTCTGTCCTGCAAAGTAAATGGGGCAGGATCCTAATATAAGCTGCCACTCTTCTACTTTAAAACCAGATACTAAAATGCACCAAAACAGTAGAAGGCAACATAGGTTTAGAGATGTAAAGGGCAATTTCAGGACAGTTACAAGGAAGCTTTCCTTTACCTAGGGAATTAACCACTGGAATAGGTGGCCAGGAAAGGTAGTAGAGGCCAGGACATGGACATTGGACACATTTAAAAAGCAGTTTGATTCTGTGATGGGAAGACATTAGAGGGTGGGTATTCGGCAGGATGAGACAAAACAGGTTGAAGAGCCATCTTCATCTAAATTAATGTTGTGATCTTGTATCCTACAATATAAGTAGTCAATCAGGCTGGTCCTGTCACAAAGATCAGGTAGGAATAAGAAATTCTCCATAAGCCTGAAACTATTTTCTGTAACACTGGGATGCTGTTCGAGTCACTCGCATTTCTGATATTTATAGATTCATTTAGGCTGCTTTAAACTAATTACAAATATAAACTGTGCATTATCACTTTGATGACAGGACACACTCACTTAAGGACCAAGTTCAAGCGGTGTCAATCTCTGCAGCTGCAGCTCAAGCACTGGTTTTATCCCTACTTTGCTCAGTCTCACTATAGAAATATTTATCTGCATACAAGAAATCAAATTGGTTCATGGTTGCAGTACGTGCTGAATTATATCCCAACATGAATTGTGTGTCTCCTGCAGGTGTTAAGTATGTATGTGTTATTGGACTGCTCGAAAGATAAAATGCAATTGAAGACTGTCTTCTGGCAGAGGAGTATCCATCAGCACACAAGACATGCAACACACAGGAGCAGACTGGGTTACACAGTCAAACGTGGCATGCAGATAGGCACAGTGTGTAAAAAATACACACAAACAGGCAATGCACATAGTAATACATAGTCAGGCAATACATAGAGTAAGTGTGTGCAGACAAACAGGAAATATGCAAATAAAGGCTATCAGGATAGCAAGAAGTGCAGAGAGACAGACAGGCATGGTTTGTAGACTGGTATAGTGTAGGTATTTTGCTTTAAGAAAAACTAAAAGGCCTAATCATTTTTTCAAAAATGCAAAATCCATATGAATTGATACTGTGGCAGGATTATAAATTAGAATTTAAACAGATCATCCCAGTATAGTAATTCTGCTCCATTCTAAACATCTTTCAATGGGAACCTGTAATATGATTTCCTGCCATAAACACAAGTGAAACAATTTTCCATACATCATGAAGCAGATTGAGCTGCAGCCATGAGCCTAGCACGTTACATAACATTATAACTAATTGAGGTTTAAATCAAAGTTATCGGTTGTGCTTGTTTTTGGTAATTCTCTCCTGGGTGGATGTGAGTTCAAACTGAAATTGTAGAATATAGATAGGGAATATAACCTTATAATTTTATGCATTGTCTCTGCCCTTCCATTTTACTCATTTGATCATTTGTCCCAATACACTTGGTTCTGTGGAATTTCCCTCTGTTCCACAACTAACCAACACAAGGTATAACCACACAACTAGATTGTTCCACTCTCTCGCTTACATACTAGAAAACCTCTACCAGCCTTCTGAATGCTAAGTACCTGCTGTTAATTACCCTTTCTGTAAAGCAATACTTCATCCTGAAATTACTCTTCACAACTTTGAGCCCATGCCCTCTTGCCATGTTATTCTTTCAGAGTCTCTGAAAGTAAGAGAAGGGAGTTTCTCATGGTGTCCTGACCAACAATCCTCCAAATAAATTGGTCATTCACTTCATGGTTGGTTGTGGGACACTGTTGTGTACAAGTTGGCTGGCACCCTTTGCCTACAAAGTACACTTGCACTACACTTGACAGCAATTACCTGTGATGCCCTTTGAGATATTTTGAATGTTGTAGGTTCTATATGAAATGCAACAAATACTGTTATGGTTTACTTTTCCAATCCCATTTAGCTGCTTATATGCCTTAAAGATTAAAACCTGTTCATTAGCTTTGAATACAGGAGCTCATACATTAACCTTCTACACAGTGTCAGCAAAAGGGCAGTGCTTACAATTACACTCCTCAGCCCAGTGCCTCAGCCACCTGCAGTACTGGGGCAACACATAATGATGGCTGCAGGAGCGTGACAAGCATCACATTTATAATCTGCTCCTTTCTACATTTAATCAGTTAATCTTTTTAGTCAGAAAAGCACAAAAGGCTTTTACTGAAAGGCTTTTCTGGGCTGGAAAGATCAGTGCACTCTCAAGGGGAACACAGAGTGCCATATCATTTTTTTTAAAGTGCTAGTAGAGGTCTCTATCGCTGTCTTCTAATTGTTCATCTGAACCATAATGGTGCTTAGGAGCAATAATGGTTAAAGTTTAATTTCCCACTAGAGGTATCCATGACCTTAAAATAAACATTATACACACAGCAATAATAATGGTTCAGTCATTTACAGGGGGTTATTCTGCTTTATTATACATTTCCTGTCCTTGGAGGTGTGTGATTATAATGAGACTTTCCAGCACACACAAGCGTAGTACACTTCTAGATAAGCAGAACATGGCCCTTTTAAGTTAAGAGATTCTACGAGTGTTAGTGTAATGAATTCAGGGCTTTAACAAAGTTTGGCTCACCTCAGTGAGACATTTTTTCTAAACAGCTTTCATGATCAACAACAAACCAATTGCAAATGCATCAAATCTTCTGTCGCAACATTTTCTGCCCTTTCTTTCCTCTTTCTGGATGAAAAATAGAAATAGTTCTGATGCATCTAAAACACAGGAACAAATAGTAATCGCAAACTAAATCCACTTACTTCCTCTCAGCTCAAAGATCTCTCCGATGAGCATGAAGCAAGGCTCGGCGAGAGAGTCTTTTTTGCAGTCGGGCTCGTCCCCATAATCAGACAAGTCACTGTCGTCCTCTGTATCCTCCTGAATCAATGATCGAGAAACAAACATTAGACACATTTTAAAAAGCCAATGCTGCACAAAAATAGACTACGGAAATAAGCTTCTTACCATAAGGAACTACCTGTTAATGTACACGTAGGCAGAACAGAGAAAATGTATCCTTGTAATTTATATCATAATAATAATAAAATTATTAAAATAGAATTTTGCTTTGATGTTGTTATGTCTACTCTAATGTTGAGCTTATGACAGGATGTGACTGATCTCTCCTGCACTAATGTGGGAAGGAATCAAATGGTAGCTGTAAGGAAGAGAGATTTTAAAGGAAGACTACCTGGCCTCTGGCTTATGATTGGGGCCTGGGAAAAGACTGTGACCAGAATGGCATCAAAGTTCATTAGGTTATGGTTAGAAAGTGATTTTTTACAGACAATTTCTGCATTCAGTGATAATCTATGAAATGCAAGGTTATCAGCAGCCAACACACCATAAACAGAATTTATTGTTAAATGTACATTTTCCTCTAGGTGTGTAGAGGAACACTGTAAACCAAGTACAGTATTCCATTAATTACAGCTAAGACCACCCTTCCTGGTTAAAGTCACAACAATACTCAGGAAATGACCACTGAAATAAATTACATTCCTTAGCCTCTTTGTACATTGACACAGGTTTAATAACAATATTAGGAGAAGGCTAAAAGCCTCTACAATATGTGCCGTGTCCCAAATACAGAGTCTGCTAATGGTTGAGGGGGAAGAGGCCCTGTACAACAATTGGCCATAAAGAGAAGGCTGCTGGTTCAAATCCCAGTCTTTGCTATATTAGCTGTTCTCTGACCTCAACAACAACAACAAATTACATTTGTATAGCGCCTTTCACATCAAGACGTCCCAAGGCACTGGACAGTCAGGGATCTGCACTAACTATGCCCATAAAATACACACGGTCACACTACTTTACAATATATCCTGTGAAGCATTTTGAGATGAGATGTCTTGACAATGTGATAAGACCCTATGTCAAATTGTAATAAAGAGAGGAATGTGTGTGTGAGGCACTTATCTGCAACTTAGAAAAACAGAAAGATAGTACCAGATATTAGACAAAGCTATCAAGAACTAAGACATAATCCATTGTGGACCTAACAATAGAAGAAGTAATGTATAACGAGATAAGGGCAGAACCTTACAAAATGGGAAAAATACAAAAATACAAATACAAAATTTCTGATGATCCCACACATCAGGTCAAGCTAGTACCATCCATCCTTGGGTGATTGAAGACTACGGTCACGGGTGTAAAGAGTGCAAAATCAGCACTCCAGATTGGGGATAAAGACCCAGACTTGAGACAAAGGACAGCAATGACTGTACAGAAGGAAGGCCTTTCTCTAACAGAAGCAATCCCAGGCTAGAGTCACGGGTAATATGGTTTTGGTTGCTGCGTTTGCTGAAGCTGTTTGCTAATATGATAATATAATATCAATATTAATGCAGGGAATGTAACTTTGTGTGCTTGAATAAATCTTACGAAAGGTTGATGATCTTGTGTGTTTAAATCCTTATTGAGTAAACCGGGACAGTCCTGAATTCCTACAAAATGGAATGATTATTTTATTATGAAAATAATGTAAAGGTTAATTCTGATTTGAGAAAGGCAGATTGCTCTCTAGGGCAGACTAGTAACCACCTTTATGGGATAATTGATGATAGAATCATTTGGCCACCAATTTGACCCACCAGATAATTTTATTTTGCATTTCTGGGGTTAAACAGGCCATTGCCACAGGCCATTGCTGCAGTCATTTAAAAACAGTAAAAGCCTATTATTGCAGCCTGTCTCTGGGTAGTGAAATCAGGTGGAACATGCACATAACATTCTCCATATGACAAAAGTTACGTCCACGCAGCACAGATGTTTTAAACACTGCGCCAAAGCACCAAAGCACCTTCAAATAAAAAGGGTTCTTCAAAGCAATTTCAATAATAATGTAACTAAAGGTTAAACAACAAAGCTCAGCTAGTAGCGAATATACCCAAACCCTTAAATTATACACATCACAATCATAACATTGTACCATCACAGCAAAATAGAGAGCAAGACGACAATGAGCTAAATGTGTGGCTTTATCACTAGTTCCTGCCCTAGCCCAACCTTTATAACATTATATGCTGGCAGCATACTTCTTATTGATCATTATGTCAGTCACACTGAAATATATAATGCGTAATTCCCAGACTGAATCATTAGCACTGAGCTCTGCTGCTTTCACTGAACTATATTAAATGTGCTTTGTGCTGGAGGAAAATAAATAAAAATATTGATGTGGCCAAGTTCCCCAGTGAAATAGGTTTGTTTTTATCAAAACAGCACTGCCTACATATAAAAAGAGCATCAGCAAACTGGTTTATTGTTCAGGGGGGATGAGAGAGAGAGAGAGAGAGAGAGAGGAAGAGGCTGAGAGGGAGGGGGAGAGGGAGGTAAGCCACCTCATAGCAACATTACTGTAGCAACACACTGAGATACTCAGACATCATAAGATCACTGTAGCTCAGTTGTTAAGAGCCCTGTAGCTCAGTGGTTAGAGCACTCGCCTTGCAAGGAGGAGACCTGGGCTTGATTCCCGGCAGGGAGAAACCTTAGGCAAGTTTCCTTACAACAACAACAACTTGGATTTATATAGCTCCCTTCACGACGGACGGCGTCTCAGAGCGCTTCACAATAACGGATCCCAGGGCCGAGCCAGGGGAAGGGGGAAGAAGGTGACCAAAGGCGTGGTCAAAAAGAAAGGTCTTTAGGTCCACATGTCTATGTTTACCTAGTAAGTAGGAACACTGCTATGCACAATTGGCTTGCGCGTTTCACCCACAAAAAATACAGTCAATTCACTTTACAGTATATTCTGTGAAGCACTTTGAGACGTCTCAAAGACGTGATAAGGCATTATATCAATTGCAAGGAATATTATTATTATTTCTATTATCACAGGATTGGTTCTGATGAAAAAAGGACTTATCCTTCTGGAATACATACCCTACCATCGCAGCGCAAAGCTGTTTCATAAATCAGTCCACTGTCCTGGCCTCAACCACCCTTCCTGGTAACTTGTTCAGTTTGTTAATTACCAGGTGGATAAAGAAAAACTTTCTGGTGGCTGTGCTGAAATTGCCCTTCGTAATCCTGAACTCTCCTGTTCTGCTGCCTTGGGATAACTGAAAATATTCTTCTGGATGTACTTTCTCAATTCCATTTACAATCTTATATAACTCTGTAAGATCCAATCTGAGCCATCCCTTTTCAAGGCTGAAGAGCCCTAACCTGTCTAATCAACGTTCATAGCTAATCCTCTACTGGGGTTCATCCTCATTGTTCTACTCTGCACTATTTCTATCGCCTCATGTGATTCATGTGTGACCACCTTGTGCATTTGCAAACAATACATTTTTCATGAAGGCAGTATCTCATTAAAGACTTCATTCGTTCAGTGCTGCTGGGGCTGCCTGGTTGCTTGCTTAATATAATATGATCTGAGTATTAGTATACTTCACAACTGTTTGCAATAGTGATTCCATCTCTCCTGGAACCAAAGACACAGAAAACAAAAGGCCCTCAAAAAACTTCTAGTCATTTTTCATTGCAGGTTAACAGGCTGCCCTCACTGGCCAGCCTATGGCCTGATCCCGACATCACAGAAACTGCAACTTATCCAATGCAAACCCTTCTCAGGCCGTGCAGACATCGGAATGTGCGCACCTCTTGATGAGAGAAGAAATCTCCAGGGAGCCTTTCTAAAAAGGAAGAGAGCGAGAATGTTGACTTCTTCCCCTGTACATCAACAACTTTCAGGTATTCTGGGGAGGGGCTCAGGAAAGCGTAGAGAGCCTCACTTTGACAGAGTCTCTCGTCGGTCAGGAGTTTCTGGAAAAAAAGTACAAATGACATCAATGTCAAAGCTTGAAGTGCATCCTCATCTACATTTCATCCTGGGTCAAGTTCACAGTCTGTAAATACTACATCATACTCAAAACAGCTAAGGGATAGAAATCGTTTCCTGGACTTGAAGAAATAATAGGCACCCATTTTCTAAACTTTCAGGAGGAGTTTTCATCTCACCAAATAACATTTGAAATGTCCAAAAACATAGCCCTTTGCTTTGATGCTGTAGTTATGATTTGACTATTCAGACATTGGGAAATGTTCCTGTGCAAATACTCAGGCTTTTATGGAACTCTCAGTCTTGCTTGGATACTCTTAAGCACGACCCTGGGTTTCAGCATGTGCAGAACTCAGCTGACCAAAAAACATTATGAATAGCCCTATGTTTTAGGTCTTAGCAGTTGTCTTGTAGCGAACACTAATACTCAGACATCAGTGGAGCATTAACCCATGAGATAAAAATGCTCTTAAAATTTAAATTTGCAAATATTTGTGGAAAATTCCTAAATCCAGTCTGGAAGCAGGTTTTCTCCAGCTCTTGAAAGAACTAGTTTCCAAGTTTCCGAATTAAGACTAAATTGAAGAATTTACCAAAATTGTACTGATTTTTTGAAACCGATCAGTTGACTTTGATTTCATTCTCACCAGAGAAGGAGTCTGGGCAGACAGATTAGACATTAATACAAACTATACCTGGAAGTTGAAATGCAGTGATTCACTGAGCTACACAATATCGAGGGATTGCTTTTTTAATGTCGTCAGATCTGCTCATGCCAAAAAACTAGCACCAGATTTCATAAGGCCTAAGACAGTCCTGCACAGCCATCTAGAATGGGGGTTGAGTTTATCAGCTCCCAATGCACTGAAACGCAGGCAGTATAACTAGGAACATAGGCAAAAAGGAACAGGAGGAGATCATTCAGCCTGTTCCAACAGTTTATTAGATCTCAGTAGATCTTTTAATCCCAATGTCCTGTCTTTTTGTCACAGCTCTTAATACTTCTGACATCCAGTATTACTGTGTGTGCCATTTGCTCCTTACCTGGAGAAAATTATTCAGCTGATTTTTGGACTTGTCCAGGAATTTCTGGTCAATGGATTTAAAGGGTAGTTTACTGATAGAAGGCAACTGAACCTTCTTTAATGTCGGGAAACACTGCAAAACACAACATTAAATACAAACTGGTATGAGAACACAGCATTGTGAAAATGGGAAACGATTATTCCGGATTCTGTTCTGATCACGTTAAGAGGGATTTGCTACCCTCTCTGTAGAAGCAGCTCCACTGCCCTCACTAATGGAGAAGACTCAAAAACAAAATCCAGTCTAATGTTAGAACCCTTTTTGAGGCTCATCACAAAGGGATTGGGACTTCATCACGATTGACAATAAAAACACATTAATGGAGCCTTAGCCTTGCTGGCCTCTAATGACTTGCTGCCACTGCACCAGAATTTATTCATCGCATTTTACACTGAATTGGAGTCCTCCCAGCCCACTGCTGAAAGTCTCATTACAAAGCATTTCTCTAGAGAAATGGCAGGATTTAACACAGGCTTCAGCATTACTCTACACTGCTTCCATTGTGCAAAAAAACGTAGCTACGTTTGTAACTTGGTTCTTTAACAAAGCCAATTATGTAATTACCATTAAGCACTGGAGACATCCAGAGTGAATGTAGGTCAGCTCCTTTGCAACAGGCTTGAGTGAATTATTAAGCAGCTAAGGCACTGTACTTCACAATTTGAAAACCAATACATATATTGCCCATGGTAATAAGTGTTAATGGATGGATGTGAGGAGACAGTAGATGTATTAACAATTTTCTGGAGCATTCCTGAAGACACACAGGAATTATCTTGGAAACGCTAATGATTGCATTTGATGTAGTAGTTTATCATGTCGGACTGACGTCTCAATCTGCTTCACGGGATTTTACAGTAAAATGTAGTGATGGATTTGTAGACAAAAACAGCAGCCAATTTGCACACAAATAGCCATGAAGAGGTTGGTCAATTTTATCTGTATGCAAAGCAAGTCTTAACGTGGACATTAAAAGTGGGTCAAGGCAGTGGTACTCTAGGATTGAGTTCCACAGAGCTGGTGGGCAGGAATGGCAATTTTGTCCAATATTATAATATGATCCATAGGAAAGATTTAATGCCAACATATGAACAACAAGTGCCAGTTCTTGATCGCATTCACCAGTTTCACTCACTGGCATTTCTCAGCTTCCTTCGGACCAACTTAAGAAATTCAGCTTCCTACGGTTGCAAGAATGAGGATATCACAGGGAGAGGTAAGTGCAGGCAAGTGGTTGGGATCTTTTAATTGCCAATAACTGCAGAGCTGCAGAGTATAGTGGCGAAAACTAGCCTGACTCAAAGAATTAGGTGATGTGTAAAACTGCCAGATATGAAAAAATAAAGGTGGTTGGAAAGAAGAGCTACATTACTGCCCAATTTACACACATACGCACGCATACTATATACCACAGCCAGGCACTTGTATTGAATGCAGTCAAGAAGTTTAGAATATGAAAAGTGGAATTGATATTTATGATTCAATTTATGAAAGTTACATAACTACAACAATAACAGCAATAATTTGTATTAAATTGTCCCTTCACTCGGCTGGCATCTTGGAGTGCTTAACTGCTGTGTGGCTGGGCGCCAAATTAGAAATAGGGGAAAGTCACATTTGAAGAGGAAAGTCTTCAGATGTGATTTGAAGATGGGCAAAGAGGGGGTATTACTGAGAGATTGAGGCAGGGAGTTCCAGAGATTCGGGGCATAGAAAGCATGGCTGCCAATAGTGGAGCAGAGGGGACGAGAGACACACAGAAGACCTAAGCCAGCTGAGAGAAGGTGGTAAGTATTGTAGTGGGGCATAAGCAGATTGGAGAGGTAGGGAGATGCCAGGGTTTGTCGAGATTTGAAAGTAAGAGTGTGGTTGTTGAAATTAATGGGGGTGCAGAGCCTGGTGTGAGTGAGGACATGGGTGGCAGAGTTTTGAAGCATTTGAACCTTGTTAATAGTTATACAAAACCTACAACTATCTGGAGATTTGGAAATTCAATGGTATTTCAAGTATTTTTTTTAGTAAGATTGCAAAAGTGGGCAGGCGAAAGCAAGGGAGGTTGGTACTAATACGTCAAGAAATCAGAGCAGTTGGAGTACCTCACAGAGTTTCCTGTGGAGATTCTGGAACTCGCTGAGCTTTCGGGATACTGTCCAGCCATTGTTTTCAGGATCGGATGGACTCATCTGCACCACAAGCCAGTAGCAGGGCATTTGCTCCCCATTCTCTTCCACAACCTGCCAACAAAAGAGTAAGAATATGGCTGACTCTATGCAACATCAACAAATTACATTTAAATATCGTCTTTCACATCAGGAGAACGTCCCAAGGCCTGGACAATCGGGATTTGGACCTAAGCTGGGGCTTGAGATCAGGAGGGGTGGAGGGCAGAGAGGGTAGAGTAAGAGGTTAACTGAGGGCGTGGTCAAAGAGGAGGGTCTTGAGACATGCCTTGAAGGAAGCAAGGGAGGAATCAATGTGAAGGGACTGTGGGTTGGAGTTCCAAAGGATGGGGGCAGAGAGGCTGAAGGACTGTGACTGCAGCCTGCTGAGCAGAGGGAGTGGACAGTTTGATATGGCATTAGCAGGTCATAGAGGTTGGAAGGAGCAAGACCATGGAGGGCTTTGAAGGCGAGGATTTTGAACTCTATCTTCTGTGGGAAGAGGAGCCAATGGAGCCGGGCTAGGGTGAGGGTGATAGGGTCACGGAGCCTGTTGCGGGAGAGGACATGATCTGCAGCTAGTGAAGGGAGGAGTTGGGAAGGCCAATAAGCAGGGAGGTAGCGTAGTCGAGCCTAAATGTAATAAATGCATGGATGAGGGTCTCAGGGGGCTGAGGCAGTGGCGGAGCCAGGCAATGTTGCGGATGTGGGGGAAGGCAGAGCAGGTTATGGCATGGATGTGGGGTTTAAAAGACAGGTGAGAGTCGAACATGACACTAACATTTGGGAAACTCTGAGTTGTAAATCAACACCAACCATAATAACTTCAATATATATAGTTCTCTTCATGCAGGTTTTATCTCAGAGTGCTTAACAGTAGTAGAGCTCAATGCTAAGCTGGGGAGAAAGGGGAGGTGATCGTAGGCATAGTCTTCAGATAAAATCTGAAAATGGGCAAGGATTGGGCAAGGCAGAGGGATTGAGGCAGAGAGCTCTAAAGTTTCAACAGCTTGGATTTATATTGCGCTCTCCATGCAGGATGACGTCTCAGAGCACTCAGGGCATGGTGGCTGATGGTGCAGCAGAGTGGATGTGCAATTTCCCCAGGAAAATCCTTTCTTTACTATGGAAAATAAATTACTGCATTACTTTTGTGTATTAAGACATTAACTCAGTTAATGAAGCCAGTGACAATAACTGCACTAAGATATCCAGACAAGGAAGGTCCCAGGTTTGATCATAACTGTTAGGCCCATCAAGTCTGCACTGCTGATAGCTTATCCACAGGAAATAATTACAGTGGAAGCCGGTTAGTCCAGACACATCGGGGACAGATATTTTGTCCGATTTTGGACGGGAAGGGATCAATTAGCGGCGACAATGAGGTGACTGACGGCCCGCAGCCACTTGTGAATGGCTGAGCTCCAGCCACTCACAAACTGCTCAGCTGTCAATCAATCGCAATTTTCCTCTCTTGTTCTTCCCTGTTCCTCCGCCAACCCCCTCCCCACACACACTGATTGACAGTCCAACTCCAGCCGCTTCTGAATTTGCCTCCTCGTATCTACATCAGCGAGCCCCTCGTGGCTGAATGCAGCCACTGGACACACAGATGGCCCCAGTGCATACATTCAGTGGTGACCAGCAAGGCATTTTGCCCGGAGTAACTAGATTTTCATCTGAATTAGCAGCCATATTTAAAACAGGTAAGAATACAAATGAATTGGGGCCAGACATTTTGTTTGTTTTACCCGACGTTCATGATTAATCAGCATCCAGCATAAACAGATTCCACTGTATTCTCATGTTAGTTTCCTTGCCCTTTAACTGACAGAGGCTATGGTTGAAACAGAAAGCATCAACAGTTTCAAGAGAAAACTTGAATGAGTACATGAAGGATAAGGGAACAGAGAGATATGGGAGTGGGATAGGAAGAGGGGATTCATATGGAGTATAAATACTGACATGGATTAGTTAGTCCAAATTGTCATTACCCTAATGTATAGTCCATGTAACTCCATACAAATCTTCTGTCCCTTTATTTTACTTTTATAATAATAATATTATTATTTATTTTACTTGATTCTTCATTTGAAGGTTCAGACCTCAACAAGCCGAGTTAGCTGATCTCAGCCCGACAAGAAATGGTCCACTACAATTGGCCTTAATGCCCCGAGCGGATGGGAGAAGGGGGGGGGAAGGTAAAGGAAGAAAATTCAGTCAGGATTCCCTCTCATGAATTGCTAGTCCAATAAATCGTCCTAGAAAGGGCAGTTGAATGGCTCAGATATGATCCGCCCCAAGGTTACATAACCTGCAGACACATGTTGGGGTCCAGATCCAAACAAAGAATAAACAAAATAAAGAGATAGGGGAAAGGCCAAGGAACTGGCCTGAGAGTAGTTAGCTCCAATGGAGGAGCCAGCACCGGCATGGACGTGATGGGCCGCATTTCCAAGATTCAACCTGTGAGAAATACGTGTCTCACACTGTGTTTGAAGACTAAGACTAACTTTGAGCATCAGAAGGCATTAATAAACCACTCAGCCATTGTATGAATTTAATCTATAGTGAGGACTTAAAAAGATCCATTAGAAGTTCAGCATCATTGACTGTTTAAATGTCTCTTTAATCCTTTCTGTAGCTTTCTCCAATTACAGGACTGTTAGCATTTACAATAACAACTTGCACTTATATAGAGCCCTCCTCGCAGGATAGCATCTCAGAGCACTTAACAGTGGCGGAGCCTGACTCCTAAGCCGGGGGTGGGGGAGGGAGGTGGCTGAAAGCACGATTGAAGAGGAAGGTTTTCAGATGAAACTTGAAATAGGGGAGAGAGGGACAAGGCAGAGGGATTGAGGGAGAGTGTTCCAGAGTTTCGAGACGTAGTGGCTGAAAGCGCAACCTCCCATGGTAGGGCGGAGGCTGCGAGGGATGAGCAGGAGGCCGTTGCCAGTTGAGCGGAGGTGCCGGGTGGTGGATTGGGGAGCTAGTGGAGCTTGGCCAGAACTGGTGAGTTGTGGGTACGGAGTTTGGTCCGTGTAAGTATGTGTATTACTTAAAAGTAAAAGTATTACATTTATATAGTGCCTTTCACATTCGAACGACATCTCAAAGCACTTCACAGAATTGGCTCAGACCCCAAACTGGGGGTAGGGGGAGGAAAAGGGGAGGGGGTGAAAAAGGTGACCAAAAGCGTGGGGGAGAGGGGACAAAGTATTTAAGGTCTTTGTTATCCAAATTCAGACAATTTTTTATCAAAGAAAGATCTGAGTTACCATCAATCATCAGCTAACAGGTGACCTTTCTGCCAAGATTTGCTGCACAACTTTCATGAGACATTTTCCGCAATAAAATGGAATTATTTCATCTAAATTCCATTGGAGCTCTAATGGAGGAGTGTAGGAATAAGAATGTGCAGAATCTACATAGCAATGGATAGACTAATCATGCTCATCCACACTCCTCCTTCAATCTGCATGCTGGTTTACAGTAATAGGATTCAACAATGAGGGAAAAGAAACCTTACATCCATTTCCTTCACTCAGTAATATTGGAGTGGTTTAGGCAAGCACGTTCACTTAGCTTACAATAGCATCACTTCCAAAGCACACAGCAAAACAACACCCAATTTCAATTCTCAATGCTATTCTGCCGGCCGGCATTCAAAGCTTCACCCAATTCCTCATGTTGCATTAATCCTTGGACACCACACCAACAGAACACCTTACTATTCCATAGGGCAGGCAAGTCCCTGTTGCCAATTTTCCATTTTCTTTCCGGCTTAAAGATAGTCAGCAGCTACCACAATGACGAAGCCCCTGATAAACGTCATAGTTACATAGAGTGATATGGCAGAGCCCAACTACTGTGTGCTGGTGTTTATAACTAAACACTGTGTCAGTCTTGAGCTAGAATTACAATCTTAAATATGATGTTCTCTCATTTTCTAAAATGGATGGTAGTAAATGAGATAAGATTTGTGTTCAAGCATGCTTCCCACTGCACGACAACAGAACAGCAATGGCCACTGGTAATTGCTGGCTGGGTTATCCCTGGTTCTTATCAACAACAGCTTGCATTTAAATAGCTCCCTATACTCAGGGTAGAGTCCCAAGCGACAACCTTATTGTGGAGAAAGAGGAATAAAATAGTCAATCTCACAATAAAATGTTTCACGTTTTATCTTCAATAAGGAACACCATAAGAAAAGTACAATGGTTGTATACTGCTGTGTTTATTGATAAACCCACCTCGCTGCTGCTAATGGTGGCTTTCCACTGCCCCAGGTTCTCACACCACCAGTCTGTCCGGGTAATGTGCTGCTGGAGGTCACTGTGCTCCTTTTCCATCGTGCAGATTTCATCCCTCAGTTTTGTAACAATCTGAAACAAACCATTAATAACATTTATTGTTCAGTACTGTTCTTCACACACGCTCTAGGGAGATCATAAAAATCATAGAATTATACAGCACAGAAGGAGGCCATTTGGCCCATTGTGTCTGTGCCGGCTCTTTGAAAAGAGCTATCCAATTCAATCCCACTCCCCCGCTCTCTCCCCATAGCCTTGCAAACTTGTCCTCCCCAAATAATTATCTATTTAGGGAGATAAAAAGGTTGCTCTAATTTCTGACTTTGCTTGAAGTCTACAGTTTAAGTTAAATCTCGGCCTCCCAACATGAAAGGCGCTATATCAAAGGCAAGGATTATTATTATATCATTCGTGATAGATTTTGTTTCTACCATTTCTGTTTTTCAGCATTTTAAAATTGTAGGTCGTGATCCCTCTCATTTTTTTTCTTTAATGTAAATGAGTCCACATACGTGGGTCTTCCTTACAGCTTTTCCATTAAGTCTGCATCTCAGTCACTCAGTTGTTATGATGACCGCTACTAAACTCTGGAGCGAACAATGATAGTGACAATCACTGCAAGTGTTTGCGATTCCCAAATAAAACACTTTAAATAATTATTTTCCTGCAACATTTTGTTTAGTTCCTCTGAAACTGAAACTCCCCTCCTTGAGCCACTCAGTCCCAGTCAGAGAAATCACAGAACAGATTGGTAACATGGGACCAGTGTGTGGTTTTGAAAGAAAGAATACTAGCTGGCATTCTGTTGCATAGTGCACAGTTCAACACCACTACATACAGGGTAGAGAACGAGCAACAAACAGCATAATACAGTATGTTCTAAATATGGAAGCAGTGAACTCAATTTTCTAGATCAAAACCAAAAAATTAAAACTTTTTTTCTTTGCAGTTATTTACTTCTTTGCAGTTACTTACAATTATTTTTAACTGTCTGTAAAGTAATGGTTTGGCCATTCGTAAAATAATTCTCCATTTTCAAAACTCCACTGTTTGCCACAGTGGGCTTCAGCCAATCTCATTCAAGAAACTATCCATAGTTGCACAGAACAACAAAATAGACATTTCTGAAAAATCGCTAGACATTGGGATGTGAATTATTCAATTATGAAAAACATAACAGTATTTCACAGATCTGTGACATATTGTAAATCATGCAGATTTCATCCCTCAGTTTTGTAACAATCTGAAACAAACCATTAATAGCATTTATTGTTCAGTACTGTTCTTCACACACGCTCTAGGGAGATCATAAAAATCATAGAATTATACAGCACAGAAGGAGGCCATTTGACCCATTGTCATAACAGTATTTCACAGATCTGTGACATATTGTAAATTGTTCACGAAAAAAATTCATGCTTTGGCAGAAATCAAAAGTAAAGCTCTGGAAAATTATATTTTGTATTGAAACAATGAATCCTCCAGGCAAAGCTTATCCAAAAGAAAACAAAAGTCATAGATGTAATCCGTGAGAATATTACACAAGCACAGATCAGTTTATACAGTCTAGGAATATATTGAAAAGAATGGATTCCTTCCAAAGCATAACATATTGAACACTTCAAACACACTACTGCCACCAGGCAGCCATTACTCCAGGAGCCTGAATTATACCTTCTTGTCAGGTTTTGGTGAATTCTGTATCGAGCCCAGAGCTTGTCTCTTGTATTCAAGTTTCTCATTTAACTGCCGTAGTTTGTTTACAGCGTAGCTGGCCTGCTCATTGATGCCACTGCTCCCCTCGTCCATCACCTCTTCGCCACTTTCACACACCTGATTCTGGAAGACAAGAGACACAAGATGCTTAAATAATTGGTGTGATGGGGGTACAGAGTTCAGTGAGGGCGAGAATACATGCAGTGGAGTTCTGAATCATTTGTGGGTAGTGGAGCTGGAGAGACCGGAGAGGAGGGCATTGGAGTAGTCGAGGCAGGAGGTAACAAAGTTGTGGACGAGGGTTTAGGCTGCGTTGGAGGTGAGGTATGGTCGGAGGCGGGCAATGTGACAGAGGTGGGCAATCTGACAGAGGTGGTGGAAAGCGGTTTTGGATGTGGGGGAGGAACAAACCAGGAACACAGCAATATATAGGAGCGAAAAAGTAACATTCAACATCAGAATTATCACTTTATCGGGCGTTCCATCCCTGGTAATGATAGGTGGTCTTGGATTTTTGGGGGATCAGCTGGGCATGTGTAAACACCCATCACCTTCTCAACAGTTCTAAACCAAACAGAGTTCCATCCATCCCACTAAGACATGGAAATTTTTCCATCTTGGATAAAGAATGATCTTTCTCCCTAATTTCGGCAAGTTTACTGGCCACAGAGTCATAGTCAACACTGTCATTCTTAACCATGTGTCCAATGCCCCATTTATAATTTGACTGTCTCCAGAGAAGCACCAAGTGCAACCTCTCTGCTCAATCAACCCCAGCCTCAATGTTGGAGATGAGAGATGGCAACACAACAACAACAGTTCGCATTTATATAGTGCCCTCACGCAGGGTAGCATTCCAGAGCGCTTGACAGTGGCGGAGCATGACTCCGAGTTGGGAGGAGGGAGAGGTGACCGTAGGCGCAGTCAAAGATGAAGGTCTTCAAGCGTGACGTGAAAATGGGGAAGAAAGGGGCAAGGCGGAAGCCTGGAAGAAGAGTTTTCTAGAGGTTTGGGGCGCAGTGGCTGAAAGTGCAGCCACCAATGGTGGAATGGAGGGCACGAGGGATGCAGCCAGTCGAGCGGAGGCAGCAGGTTGTGGGTTAGCAGGTAGGAGAGGTAGGGAGGTGCCAGAGCATGAAAGGATTTGAAAACAAGTGTGAGGATCTTGAAATCAATCCATTCAGCGATAGGGAGCCAGTGGAGGCAAGCTAGAACTGGTGTTATGGGGGGACGGAGTTGAGTATTACCTCATTACTTTGTTGGTTTGTAGAATTACTAAACTTGCCAGTGTCAGGTTAGCATCAGTGCCATTAATAACGCACATTCCCAATTTACCAACCAGCAGAGGATGCACCCCCACACCCCTCCTGAGTGTCCTGATACTCCGATTTGTGCAAACACTTAATTTCTATCATATTATATGCAGTTCTGTCTGCATGTTTTAGGCCATTCTATTTTATCGATTGTGTTACAATAAGCAGGTTAGCCATGCCAAGAAAAAAGCATAGAATGCAGGCTTGCCCCTTCGAATAGTCAGTGGATGAGTTCCAATTCCCAACCTGATCATCAGGAAGATGTCCAGGGGAGAGGAGACCTCTCCAGTAGAAATAGCCTGCAGAAGCAGAATCAATAGAAATGTTTTAAGAGATAGGCAGATATTTGGATAGCAAAGGTATTAAAGTGTATGGCGAAAAGGTGTGGCACAAGGATTAAAATATCCACCAAGATCTAATAAACTGGTAGAACAGGCTGGATGGGCTGAATGATCTCTTGCTGTTCCTGTTTGCCTATGTTTATAGCAAGAGAAAGGCCAGTTAAGATAGTGTTAATAGCAGAGTGCTAAAAAGGCAGGGGAGAAAATAAATTGGAAAAACTATTTGGTTTTCAAACATTTGGAATAAAGGAAATGGTTACTTAATGAGTCCCAAAAAGTATTAAAGGAAATGGGATATTACTTGACTATAATCCTTTGATTTATCAGAATGCAGTGCAGCATATTAAAGGCCTGAAATTTACACAGACTAAGTCTGTTACCACCATTTTATCATAAAAATGAAGGTGACCTAAATTAACCTGGTTCGATTTAAAATTTTAAGACAAATAGATCATTCCTGTTAAGAATAAATTGGAATTTCAGACCTCAAATCTATAAGTAAGCAAGTGGACAGGTGAGAGAGATGGTGTGATGTAGAAATAGTTGAAGTTAAAGGTCAAGGTAAACTGTATAAAAGGTGCAGGAAAAGAGCAAGAATTCTACTGAAATTTTACACATGCGGCTTACAACAGCCTCTGCATTTATTATAATAATAATCCTTGCTTTTGGTGTAGTGTCTTACACATCAGGAGGATGTCCCAAAGCGTTTCACAGGATTTATTGGGAGTCACTGTGTACGTGTGGGCAAATGCGGCAGCTAATTTGTCCACAGCAATATCCCACTAATAGCCAAGAAACAAATGACCAATTTTATTTGTGCGATTTGTTGGCCAGGATACTGGGAGAAACTCCCTTCTCTTTTAGAATAGCGTCACAGGATTTTTAATGTCCACCTAAACAGGCAGACAGAGCCTCAGTTTAACCTCTCATTCAAAGCAAGGTAGCATCCACAATGCAGGACTCATCCAATAGTGCATTGAACTATCAGCTTGAACCCACAATCTTCTGATTCAGAGGCGAGAGTGCTACCACTGAGCCAGAAGATGTTGGTAGAGTCTGGTACACCCTTTTGTGGTGGTTTAGGCTGAGGACTATTTAAGGATTTGCACATGCTCAGTCGGGTATTTCTGATTGGAAGTGAGGTGGTAGCCCCTCATGCTTGTTTTGACTGAGATAAAACAAACTTTATAATTTGTGTTAGGTGTGTAGATTATATTATAAATAGGGTCCCTAGCGAGAACTCTTCTCTTACTTGGAAGCAATGTTATAAGGCAAAGGACGGAATTTCAGCCGCTTTTGAAACCTTACACCCAGAACTCTAGCTTTATGACCTTAACTAGAATCCTGAACTACATCCGATTTTATGTCGGACATTCGACATCTACAAAACTGGGTCTTACCACATCATCTCTGCTGTCAGGGCTGGATTGTAAAGTGCTTTTCTCCTCTTCTTTTTTAATAAGTCTTTCATACAAGTCGCTTACAAGGAACGATGGGTAATACCGGTCCTTTAGAGTTTCATAAACATCACTTTGAATCTTGTTGAAGACGTCCGTTCCTTTGTTACCCACGAGGCTTTGCTGAATTTCTTTATAAAGTGCCTTCTCCACAGGAATTTCTCGGCTTTCCACAAAATAATTCTGGTAGATTTCACCGACCAGTTGAGGTATTTCGGTCTAGGGTCAGAAGACAAAAATGTTATGCATCAGCAACCGTGTAGCACAGCACACTGTTAGCCTCCTCTGAACTATTTTCCCATTGCTCTTCTAGCTCACGATTGGAGTGTGGCTCCACAGATGCCATTACCCCCTTCAACAGTAGCTTTCGCACATAGCTATTCTTCACATATGAGCTAAGACATTGAATAACACCATTTTTGTTGACTGCTTTGAGGGCATCACAATGGATTCTGATCCTTACCCAAGCATTACTTTCTAGATGGGATTAGTTAACAGTCAGAGACAAAAACCCTGTCTTATTCTTTCCAACCTTCTTAATCTGTATACGTCGAGTCCAAAAGTTACAAATCTACCATAGTTTGAGAGCTGCTAAATCAGCAGAAAACAAGATTCAGACCAGACAGAAAATAAGGAGGCAAGGATGTGGGGGGGGTGGGGGGGGAAAGCGACGTGATAGATCCACTTAATAACAAAGGATACCTGCAATGTCAGTGAGACATGGGTACAAACCTTTCAAATACATAAGAAAGTGATATACTATTTTTGAACATCCATTCAGAATTTTTAATACAGAAGGCTTGTGACAAATCTATGGTTTCTGGGGTATAAATAGCACCTCAGAAACCACAGATTTGTCTCTTTAATAAAAAAACTCATAAGATCAGAGCTATGAATTGATTCACTGAAGCCAACATATCATTTTACCTTGTTTGCATTTTTCAAGTATTCAACTGACTCCCAGAAGCTTATGAGAGCCCTCTTGTCCACCCTTTCCATGTACACACGGAAATGTTCCCTGTAGGATGGATTTGACAAGATCTCTTCAAGCTGAAGAATCTGCAGTAGAACACATTACACAAGATCAATCAGCAACTTATTACAACTCATACAATACAAAACTACATTACGTCCCAAGGCACTGGATAGTCAGAGATTTGGATCTGAGCAAGGGGTGGGGGGGTGTCAGGGGGGTCAGGGAGGGTGGAGGGCGGAGGGCAGTGAGGATAGTATATTGTATCAATGATAATCCTTGCATTTGATATAGCGCCTTTTCACGTCTTTGAGGCGTCTCAAATACTGTAAAGTGGGCAAAACATACTGGGCGAAATGTGGCAGCCAATAGCGCACAGCAGTGTTCCACAAACAATCGTGGATTGAGTGACCAAATTATTTTTTTTTTTGAAAGAATTATTACCCCCGGAAAAGCGATCCACCAATCAACTAACAAACGGGTTACTACTGTGAATGCGCCCCTGAATATTTTTTTCTACAGCAAAGATATACATGCCAGTCCATTTCTATTCTCAACAAAAAATGGCCCATTTAGTAGTGCTCTCATCTATAGGTCAGGAGGCTATGGGCTCACACTCCAGTTCAGTGCTGATGGTGCACTGTGAGATGCATCACCTTTTGGATGAGAGATTAAACTGGGGTCATGTCAGTACAATACTGAAGGATAATTATGTTGTCTGATGGCCATCCTTCAGAAAGATGTTAACCCAGGGTCCCATTTACCATTATAGGTAGATGTTAAAAGCACCGTTGCATTGTTTGAAAAGAGAAGGGTGTCTGATTCGGCTAACAAAAATTTCACATAAAATTGGTCAATCACTACCCGGGTGATAATGGAAGTTCCTGGTGCATAAACTGGCACCTCCAACAATACAGCATGCCTTCAAATACAGCCACTACCATCTGTGTAGAACTTAGAGATTTTTTTTAAAGTTATAAGCACTTTATCTACTGCAAGGATTATTATTAATATCTCCTCTAGTTTAAACCGATAGACTGTACCGCATTTCAATCTGCTTAGAAATACTATACTACAATGAAAGACCAATTTTCACATTAATTTGATTGCTTGTTTAGTTAGTGGCAGTCTCCTAACCGGGTCAGAGGTCATGGATTCAAGCCCAGCCTAAAGATTTGAAGTCAAATTTCAGGCTGACACACCAATATAGTACTGGGGAGTGCTATATTGTTGGAGGTGCTATCTTTTGAATGACAAATTAAAGGTACAATCTGTCTAGTTCATGCAGACGTTAAAGATCGCAAGACTTTATCCCATGCCTCAGATTTTTCTCATTCTATGGGCCTACAATCCTACAGGGAAATCAGTCATTCATCTCATGGCCGTTTGTGGGTCCTTACTCGCGCAAATGCCTCCCGCATTTGTAGGAAGTGAAACTAAACAGATCATGTTTTTTCAAAGAGTCGAGACTTCTGTGCTGAAAATTCTAAGAGTCAAAATTGTTAGTAATTGTTTATCTTGGGTTCAATTCCAGGCAGGGTGAAACCTTGGGCAAGTTTCCTTACTCCACATGCCTAATAATAATCCCTCCAAAAAACAAAACAAAAAAAAATAATAAATTGGTCATTTCAATCCACGACTGTTTGTGGGACACTGCTGTGCGCAATTGGCTGCCGTGTTTTGCCCACAAATATACGGTCAGTTCACTTTACAGTCTATTCTGTGAAGCGCTTTGAAACGTTGCGAAGACGTGAAAAGCGTAATATAAAATGCAAGGATTATTATTATTATCTTAATTAGCACAAAGAATATGTAAATCAAAACCTGCAAATTTCTTCCTTTTCTTAATTAACGACACACTGAGGACTTATCTACCCTGATCATCTTGTGTCAGGTCTCCAATAAGTCAAAACCTGGGATTTTAAGTTGGAAATTAAGTTGGTTTTCTTTACTAGAATGAGGTCAGCTGACCAGAGGAAGCCGACTGTAGGGGAAGGGGAAGGTGAGAACATTGCACAGAACACAGGTGAATGCTTAAGAATGACATTAATTCAAGAATTAGTAAGACATGTGTGAATATTCCTTAAACTGTGTTAACACAAAACTGATTAACACAAGGATTGGGTTAAAGAATAATACAAATTTTGCCCCTATCATTCAATAACATATTTCCGGATCTCAACACAACAGTTTAATTTAAAAGCTAAATAATCAAAGTCCATCTCAAGACGTAACTCTTTGACCATGCTTTCGGTCATCTTTCTCTTCCCCCTTTGGGCCTAGCAGCAGCTCAGGTGCCCAGCCAGCAGTGTCAAGCGCTTTGAGATGACCTCCCAATGTGAAACCCATATAAATGTAAATTGTATTGCAATATATCAGCTACCGAGGAAACAGGTCAAAGAGGAGGATTTTGAGATGGGTCTTGTAGGAGGCAAGGGAGGGGTGAGGCGGAGATGGAGTTCCAGAGGATGGGGCAGAGTGGCGGAAGGCCTGCCAGCCAATAGTGTGGCAAGCGAGGCGGGAGACGTGAAGCAGGCCAGATAGTTGAGGATGAAACAAAGGTCCCGGACCTGCTTAGTAAGGTAAAGTGTGCAACCATGGATGGTGATGCTGCCAGCACCTGAGGTGAGGAGGCGCTGACGGGAGACAATCAGGAGAGCCTCGGTCTTGTTGATGTTCAACTGAAGAAAGTTAGCTCTCATCCAGGACTTGATGTCTGACATTCTGTCAGGACAGCAGTGGTCCTGAAGTCAAAGGTGAAGGGCGAGAGGTAGAGTTGAGTGTCAGACGCATACATGTGGAAGTTGACCCCATGTCTGCGGATGATGTCACCAAGAGGGAGCATATAGAATCATAGGGGCAGATAAATTGCTCATTTACTTCATGGCTGTCTGTGGGACATTGCTGTGTGCAAATTTGTTTCCCTGCCGACCTACAAATACACAGTCACTATATTGGACAACAATTCTTTGTGAAGCGTTGGAGACATTTCAATGTTACCGTCACCTATATCAAATGCAGATCAACTCTAGCAAGCCTCTTCACAACTTTTTCTCATGTCCAAATCACTTATATACAAGGAGAACAATTGGGCTCCCAGTGCAGGCCTCCTCCTCCCAGGCCACGTCATTTGCTACATCTTGGCACTTCTGGAAACATCCATTTACTCCCACTCTTTGTTTCACATCCTTTAGCCCAACCCTGGAGCTACGGTGTCATTTTGCCTTTAATAGAATGGACATTATGTGCAAGAGTAATTTTTTTTATTTCTTCCAGCAGATTTCCTCTAATAGTCTTCTCATTCCACCTCCTCTCCTGAAGTTGTTTCTGACTCATTTTTCCATCTGCAGGTGTACAGTTTTACAGGAGCCTTTTTTGACTCCTCTAGATAGCCATTATTCATCTGTGAGCTTGACACGAGCAGGCTATTAAACAGTGGAACGGGGTGGGTGGGGCAAACTAAACTCTAGCATATCCACACTTAACTCATCGGCGTCCCAGTGGAGTCTCTGGATAGCATTTGGAACTGGATGATTTTCCTCTACTAATCCAAGGCACCAAGGCTACATGTAATGGTTTATCACTCATTGATCTGACTGATAATAATATAATCCTTGAATTTGATATAGCGCCTTATTATGTCTTTGAGACGTCTCAAACCGCTTGAAAAAAAACTGTCAAGTGAATTGACTGTATATTTTGTGGGCGAACGCGGCAGCCAATTGCGCACAGCAGTGTCTCACAAATTATCACTTTTTTAAAAAAAAACCTTGAAGGGTTATCGCCGAAAAAACGATCTGTCAATCAACTAACAATCGGGTTCATGCTTACTGCTAACTCAGGATAGTCCATGATTCAAATCTGTCAATTCCTGGTCTAATAATTCATTGAGTGTTGAATTTACCCAATGGAAAAGGAAACTAAGAATAACTATTTCAAACAGTTTTTGAAAGTCCACAAGTAGAAATATCCGCTGTGTTCTCCTTAGCTACTTTTTTTTAAGTAACCTACTCCAAAAAGTTCTACAACCCAATTATATCCAGCTCATTTTCATTTCCTGCTCCCATTTTCCTTGGGTATATGGGCTAATGGGAACAACCTAAATATATGAAGATTTTTAAAAATGTCCATTGAAATCCTCCAGCTCTCTCTTTGTTTACATCACCAGACCTGCATAGACTACTTTTATCTCCTTTTTTCCCTGGCCCTAAACTTCTCCACACCACCCCCTCCTTCTGCCACAACCCTTACCACTCCCTCTCCCTACACTCCTTTGCCCCGATTACTCCCCTTACAATTTACTGTCCCATTTCCAACCTGCCCTTCCTTGCCAAAGTTTTGGAACGTGTGGTTGCGAACCAGCTTTGCCCACCTTCCACAAGCCTCTCCATTCTAGTTTCCACCCTGCCCACAGCACAGAGGCAGCATCTGTCAAAGTCACAAACAACGTCCTCTCTCTCTGTGACCAGGGTTCCCTCTGCCTCCTCGTCCTCTTGGACACAGTCGACCACGCCATCTTCATCCACTGCCTTTCCTCCCTCATCCACCTCAGTGGACTGGCTCGAGTCCTACCTAACAAACTGCCTTCACTTTATCTCCTCAAATGGTTTCTCCTCCTTTCCAATCAACTGTGGTGTATTCCAGGGCTCCATCCTTGGCCCCCTCCTCTTCCTCATCTGTATGGTCCCTCTTGGCAATGTCATCCACAGACACGTGGTCAACTTCCACATGTATGCAGATGACACACAAATTTACTTCTTCTTTCCAGTTGCAACTCCAAGTTCGTCGATGTTCTGTTGGCTTCTTTGGCCTGGATGAATGCAAACTTCTTGCAACTAAATGTTGACAAGATGGAAGCCATAGTCCTTGGCTCCCATCAATGTCTTCTGTCCTGGGGCTCTGACCTCTTCAATGTCCCCGGCCTATTCTTCAGACTCAATGAACAGGGGCGCAACCTAATCGTCAGGTTCAACCCACAGCTTACCCCACAACCAGTCCCTGACCAAGACGCCTTCCTCCACCTCCGCCACATTGCCCGCCTCAAACTGTACTTTACCCCAAATGCAGCCAAAACACTCATTCATGCATTTGTCACTTCCTGACTCGACTTTTCAAATGCCCTCTTTGCCAGTCTCCCCAGCTTGCCATCCACAAGATCCAGCTGATCCCAAACTCCACCATTTGTATACTCACTCGTATTGAACTCTGTACACCCATCACACCAGTTCTAGCCACGCTCCATTGGCTCCCTATCACCGAACAGATCAATTTCAAAATCATCACACTTGTTTTCAAATCCCTTCATGCTCTGGCACCTCCCTACCTCTCCAAACTTACCACCCAGCCCACTACCCGCTGCCTCCATTTGACTAGCACCAGCCTCCTGCATGTCCCTCATTCCTTGCGTTCTACCATCGGTGGACACACTTTTAGCCACTACCGAAACTCTGGAAGACTCTTCCTCTATCCCTCCACCTTGCCCCTTCCTTCCCCATCTTCAGATCATGTCTGAAGACCTTCCTCTTCGACCGTGCCTAAGATCACCTCCTGCCTCCTCGGTATAGTGCTCTGCGACGCTCAAGCTCTCTGAGGGGCACTATATAAATGCATGTTGTTGTGCAATTCAATGAACATATGAACAGTTTTCAAGCGTTAATGGACCATTGGACCTTATTCCCAATCTCCAGGTTGACACTGTCCACAACTTTTACAGGACTTTAAGTCTGCAAAATGTTTATGTCTCTGATTTATTTTAGTTATATATGAAGTGTAAATAAACGTGCACAAGTCGCAACAGTCGGGACCATAACATTTAATACAATGCACGTCAAATAAGAGTTATGCATTAAGTTTACCTCGTAGAATTGGAGAATCCGGTACCTTTCCTGTTAGGTCTTTGTGACTATCTTGCATTTATTGTTTGGGGGCATGATGACGGGTAACAAGTGAACGATTCATTGACTGCATTGACTACACAATGCTCCTGTGATGCATCTCACGTGACCAGAGGTGCAAGTTAAAACATGACAAACTCAAAGAAATGCACCACCACATACGAAGGGGACTGACAACACAATAGGAAAAAACACTTAATTCAATTGATAATTTGATCCCTGACAGGGAAGTCAAAAATATTAAATAGAAAAATAAATCCTGGCATATGATCAGCACTTTTAAAATAAGAGTATTGTCATTTTATCAGAAAAATATTCTGCGCTCACGATAAAGTAGTATCTCTAGACATGACCTCATTTACTGAGCTGTAGTGTTTCAAACATAGAAGTGTTTCATCAACGCAGCCAGTAGATGAGCTTGTGGTGATAGGAGATAATTTTCATTAGGATTTACATTACTTGGGATCAAAAAATCATTATGACTTAGTCATGTATCCGATTTGTAAAATTCAACTAGTGCAAAGAATTCAAAGTAATTTTTAGTAGAAAACTGAATGGGGCTTAGGTGCATGTACAACTTAGGCAAGTGCACTATTTATAATGAGATGATTTATACAAGTTCATTTATGTTGGTGTGTGACTTTGCTGTGTGCAAAATAACTGCTGTGTTTGCCTTCAACATTCACAGACACTTCACTTAATAGCAATTACTTGTGAAACCTTTGGGTCCATTTCTTGCTGAAAAATTATATATTAGTGATAAATATAATTCTTAATAGATTCCACCAATACATCTTTATTTCGACTTCCTTTCTGAAACCTTCTTATAGTTCCTTCTTCCACCACCTGTGCTGGTAGTTCGTTTCATGTGCCAAGAAATTATTTTAGTAAGAAATAATGTTATTTCAAAATTATTTTACAAAAATAATTTCCTGTACATAACAACCAAATTACATTTGTGTAGCACCTTTCACGTCGGGAGGATGTCCCAAGGCACTTTCTATTCACTCTTGTTGTCCTTATTTTAATGCTCCTCATTTGAGTTTTCCACAAAATAGAAAACCTTACCTGCATCCAAATTCTCTAAAGCCATTAATTTTAAACATGGGCTCTCAAGAAACTTCCTTTTCTTTTCAAGTAGTACCATGAGATCTTTAACATACATTTGAGCAAGCAGACGGGATCTCACTTTTATGTCTTGTTCAAAAAGCAGCACCTAAAAACAATGCAATGTACCACTGGATTGGAGTGTCAGCCTAGACTATGTAGATTCAAGTCCCGACATGGGTTTTCAACCCACAACCTTCTGACTCAGAAGTCTATCACTTATCCTCTGAAGCTCTTTTGACGCAACCATCCAAAGTGAAAGGTGCTACATGAAATGCAAGGAATACAAGGATTAGTGTATTCCAACTAAGCACTCAGTGCTTACAGAAGAATTTTTCAGGTCTTCCCATAACAGGCAGAATAATAATAATAATCCTTGCATTTGATATAGCGCTTTTCACGTCGGGAGGACGTCCCAAAGCGCTTCACAGAACACACTGTAAAGTGAATTGACTGTATATTTGTGGGCGAACGCGGCAGCCAATTGCGCACAGCAATGTCCCACAAACAGTCGTAGATTGAAAATGACCAATTTATTATTGTTTTGGGTTTTGGAGGGATTATTATTAGGCGTGTGGAGTAAGGAAACTTGCCCAAGGTTTCGCCCTGCCTGGAATTGAACTCAGGTCTCTCACTTGCAAAGCGAGTGCTCTAACCACTGAGCTACAGTCCCTTTAATAGCATTAAAGGGACTGAAAGATCAGAAGTTAAACTGCCACGGGGAGAACAAAAAATCCTCCATACATCAAGTAAAATACCAAGAGAGGCACAGAAAACTGCTGAGAGGCATCATCAACATGATGAGTGACATGATGTTATCACCACAGGCACAGTAACTCCGACTAAAGAAAACTCAAAAGTGTTCCCAGAGCTGTAAAGGTTGATGGAAACTTTGGTGTATGGATCATAGTTTTAATGACTGAGAAAACTGACTGACTCTCTTTCCCTATTTTTTCTTCATGTTCCTTACTTCCCAAGTCTTGATCAATCTATTTCCATTTTAAACATCCCAATCAATATGCGTTCTACATTCGCATAAACCTCTGAGTAAACAAAATTTTACTTCTAATTGGTTTGGATCAAAATCTAATACCATGTCCCCTTGTTTAGATCCTATCTAGCTAGTAAATTCCCCTCACTGTTTTAAACACACCTTCATCCTCCTCAGATCTTGGAAAACATTATCCAACCTCAATTGAACTAAACCTTTTCATCTCAGGTATTATTGCTGAAGAGTTGATAATTACCGAGCATCTAAATGTTTCAGATATAAGTTCAGATGGTGTGTTCAGGAGCCTAACTGACACATCACAGATAAGTTCTTGTTCAGCCTTCATCTGCAGTCCTTACACACCATATCACCTTGCCACTGCCACTGTCTGGACAGATGAGGTCTGCTAACTCAGCATAATCCTAAATGCTACAAACCAGAACCAATTGGCAATAATAATTTCACTCATTTGAGTAGAACTCGCTTAAGGTCTGAAGGAAAGTCCCTTTCAACTTCTCAAATTATGATACCTTGACTTTGTCTCTTTTACCTTTTGGTTCGAAGGTGCATCTGTTTCATCGCAGACACCATCCTCTTGCTGGCCATACACTGGACCCCCCAGAGATTTTATTCGCTTCTCACACTGTTTCTTGGCAACTGTGAGCTGGTTGATGTATCTCTTCATATTACGAGCACGCAGGAGATCTGCTTTCATAGCAGCAGCTTCTTTTCCTTTGCTATCTGTATTGGGCATTAAAGCAACAAACTTAATCATTGGGGAAAGTCCATAGATTCTGCACATCATACGAACCAGATTTCTAAATCAATTTACACCAAATGTCAGCCTAAAACAACAACAAATTGCATTTACACAGTACTTTTCATGTCAAGAGGTCGTCCCACAGTGAGCAGTAAGTTAGCATAGTCAAGCCTGGAAGTGATGAAAGCATGGATAAGGGTCTTGATGGCCCAAGGCGAGAGTTAGTAGCAGAGGCAGGCAATATTGCAGAGGTGGAGGAAGGCTGAACGTGTCAAGGCACAGATGTGGCACAGATGCCTTGGTAGCACTTTCGCTTCTGAGTCATAAGGTTGCTGGAACACGATTTGGAGTCTTATAGGTTAGAGGCTACACAATTCCAATGCTGTACTGGGGGAGTGCTGCATTGCTGGAGGTGCTCACCTCACTTAAGATTTTACATTGAGATATTTACTGCCTGCTCAGGTGGACATTGAAGATCTCATGACAATATTTGAAAAGAAAAGAGCATTTCTCCCAGTGTCCTAGCCAACAATTCTCCAAATAAAATTGGACATTTACTTCATGGCTATTTGTGGGACATTAGCTAGCTTGCATGAATTGGCTACTGCATTTGTCCGTAAGACTTCTTGACAACAATTACCAATATACATCCAATGTATATTGACAACAGTATACAGTTGACAACAATATACACCCATGCAAGGATTATTAATTAAATGGGAGATTGGTCTGGTCTCCAAACTGCTGGGGCGTAAGAATAGTAATATTAGAAACTCAACCTGGGACAAGATTTATACTTCACATAACAGAGCATTTAATGAGTCGCAAATTATTAAATTTAGTTTTAACTTGAAGTCAATTTCTGCAGCTTGTTTTAAAAATTTACAGAAAACTGGGAATAAAAACTTGGATTATGATGCACCTTTATAATAATAACAATCCTTACATCCATATATCACCTTACCACATCATTGAAATGTCTAGAAGCGCTTCAAAGGATTTACTGCAAAGTGTATTTGTAAGCGATCTTATAGGCTTCATCATGTGAAAGCATCTTATCGAGCTTCACTTGTAATTACTATCAAGTATAGGAAAACGTGGCAGACATTTGCACCAGTAGAAACTCCTATGAGATGATCACAAATTAATCTGAAGGCCTGCTGGCCAGGACAAGGGGGAAACTCCCTCCTGTTTCTGATAAGTGCCATAACAGTTTGTTATGCAACCTCTGCACCTGCAGTTACCGGAATAAACTATAGTGCAAGTCCTCAGGGACCATGTCAGTGTACAATGTGGGTAATAGATCACAGCCAACACAGATCAAAATACAGGGGTAGAGATGAGGAAGTTACTTACTAATGCAAGTTTCTGTGTTTTTTTAAAACAATATTTGAATACCAGGGAGTGACTTCCAATAGTATGATTTGTACACTTCAAGCTTTGATGCTATTTGTGGCTATTCAGATTTCAGCCTGTGAGAAATGGAGATGTCTTGGTGAGGGCGAGCATGTCAATGTTTCCATCATCAATAAGGTTGTGTACAGTGAGGGCTTTGTTAGAGAGGGAGCGGACGTTTTTGTATGGTGGTACGGAGGGGGCAGGTGGCAGAGGAATATGCGAGATGAGAGGGGGAGGATTGACCGGGAGGGTGGGAATGTCGTTGAGGGAGGAGGTTCAAACTGTGGGAGAAAAGAGAAGGGCTGCAACCAAAGAGCTTCACCCAGCAAACAAGGCCACCACATTTGGTCGCTCCTTACTTTTTAATCGTCCCCATGTTTAACAGACGTTCCTCATTCCATAGAAATAGTGACCTGCTTATGCAGAAGTAATGTACTTGTGGTTTCACAAGTTACCTTACAAGGCATATTTTTAAATGTTTCCTCATTTACTCTGCTGAATTACTTGGGATCTTAAATGGTTCATCATCAACTAACAGGATGTGTGTGCTTTGGTTGCTGGAGAGACATGTGAAAAGGTTTCACTTCCCCTCAGTGAGAAACCAATTCAAGACTCAAATTGTGACTCCGACCTGCAGCTGTCAATACATTGACCAAAGCATCTGTGTGCGATGGGCTAGGTTTGATAGAGGTCAACAGAACCATAAAGCTCAGGGCTTTGATCACAAGACAATGAGACTTCTGAGGCGCCAAATTCCAACCAGCCTTAGCCTGTAAGATCATTTTGTAGTACAATTTAAGATAGTGCAAAAATGTTTTGTTAAAAAGCAAATCCTTAAATTCTGCTTTAAATTAGAACAAATGGATCTTTTTTTAAAAAAGACTGCAAAAAAGAACTTTCAAATTAATAGTAAATTGAAGCATTTTCCAGAATTCTGTGCAATCTTAAATTTGAAGAAAAATTATCTTAAGACCAGGAGAAATTGTAAACCTCAGAACTCATCTTGAACTTCAAAGGTGGAGCAAGCTGCTTTGTTCTGACATTTGAAGGAACAAAATGTTCTGACATTCTGACATTCAGGAATGTTCTGATATTCCAAGGAACATGGAAAAGAAGTGCTCCATTTCTGGGGGGGGGGGGGGGGGGGGGGGCAGGGAGGTGTGCCTCTGCAAGTGTCAGATCAAAAAATATCTCACCTGCTAACTTTACGTCTTCAACTTTGCACCTTTACATTTTACGCCAGCAATAATGTTATTGTTATAATGAATCTCATATTTTACCCCTATGATTTACTAAATATTGTGTGTATATTGCACAGCAAGTTCCCAATCCTGGCCTGGCCAGCAGGGGGAGGCATCCAGCAGAGGTTTTCACATTTTGAAGAGGGAAACAATAGCTTTCTTAATGTTGTGTGTAGTGGAGGGGAGCTCAAGGGAGTCAGGGGGTGGGAAGGAAGGCATGATTTAGGGTAAGGGTGAAGAGAGTTGGTGATGATGCAACAACTAATGGTAATGCCCCACACTGCCAGTAGAAAGCTTAACTCAAGACTTAATCCTTGGCTCCAGCCATAATAATAATAATCCTTGCATTTGATATTGTGCCTTATCACATCTGCAAGACGTCTCAAACCGCTTGTAAATGTACTGTCAAGTGAATTAACTATATTTTGTGGGCGAAATGCAGCAACCAACTGCGCACAGCAGTGTCCCACAAACAGTCATGGACTGAAGTGACCAATTCATTATTTTTTGAAGGAATTATTACCCCCGGAAAAGCAATCCGCCAATCGACTAACAACCGGGTTCCATTTACTCCTACTTACTGCTAGGTGAACAGAGGCGCGTGGAGTAACGAAACTTGCCCAACATTTGACCCTGCCAGGAATCAAACTCAGGTCTCCCACTTGCGAGGCCAACAAGGCTAACAAACACTGTACAACCCACTAGCTAAATGCAGGACAGTGAATTACTGTCATAAATTATTTTTTCTGAATTTTAGTATTTAAATATAAATTCTTATTTCAATGTATCTTCTGCATAATTTAGATCTGAGAATAGAGTTGAGACAAGATTATGTGCTGTATCCAACTAACTGTTACAAGTTGATGGTCAGAGAGATTTTAACTTGAAGATGTTTAAGAAATGCTGATAGAGTGGTGTTCTAGCTTAGCAAGGCCAACAAGATTTTTTCAATGTGTCGAACAACAAGTCACCTTTACACAATATAAAAATGTTCATCACTTTGTAAAGTTTGTTATTATTTGTCTGCCTCTTCCTCCCCCCCCCTCCCCAGACCTCACTCCATTTAGATATTTTTTCCATTCTCCTCTCTTCAGGCTTCAGGATATGGTCAGGACATTGATAAGGAATTATATATTATGAGGAAATTGAAAAAATGCTTTAAAATAGATAACATTAAAATATAGGCTTAACGACCAGGGAAATGGGGCGAGGGAAGATAACTTTATCAGTCTGGCTCAGTTGGTAGTACTCATGCCTTTGAGTCAGTTGGGTATGGTTCAACCCCCAAGTTAGGACTTTAAGCTGATATCCATGGAACTATTCAAAAAGAAAAGTGAGTTTCTCCCTGTGTTTGGTTAACAATCCCCAAATAAAATTAGTCATTAGCTTTGCAGGCATTTGTGGGACATTGCTGTGCACAATTGGCTACTACATTCGACCACAAAAATACAGAGTCACTACACTTTACAGTGTATATCCTTGAAGCGCTTTGGAATGTCTTCCCAACATGAAAGGCGCTAAATCAAATGCAAGGGTTAATTATTATTATAGCTCCAATGGGGGAAGTTGACACTAGAACATATGTGATGGCTAAATGGCCTCCTCCAGTCATGTAACAATCTATAGGCTAATCCTGATATAGTAGATTCATTTTACAGCATATCCAATGAAACTCTTTGAGACATGATGCAATTACGAAAGGTGCTATAACAAATCCCTGGATTATTTATGCATTTATGTAAAGCAATCAATTAGAAACCTGTAAAACACAGATCTAAGAATATTTTAAGATTTAATTCTAAGCATTGCAACACTTCTTTTACATGCTGTTTACTAGTTTTTTTTAAGAAGTGATGAATGAGCAGATGAATAAGTATTGTACCACTAAATAGCATAAATGTCTTCCTTCTGGTTCTGTGCTACCAACAAAGTTACTTCCACTGAATGAAAATTACAGCTCACCTCACCATCAAGATTCCCAATTCAGAATCAGACGATCTAGTTCAGACATCAGGCCATAAGAATGATGATGGCTTGCATAGGACATGGAGATCCTGATGCAGTAGGGGCGTTTATGTTTATTTTGTTTGGTCAGATTGGGTGTCCAACACAGGCAGATGCCCATCACCATTCTTGTAGCCAAACCAGATGAGTTCCACATTCGTATGCCACTAAGATCTGGAAATTTTCTATTCGCTTGGAACACAGTGCACACTCTTCTCCTTTGCTCAAAAATCATACTACTACCACAAATTGAACCATTTATAATATTTCATTGCCAGGCACGACACCTTGGAGCCAGCTCTGCCCTAAGGATACTCCATTTATCTCTTTCAGAGGATAGTCACTTACTGGTGATTGGACATCCAGGTTTGAATCATCACTAAGTAGATACCAGGAACTTCTTGCAAGCTCTGAACTGCAGGAAAGCATTGTTACCACCCTGAGACACACTTCCTTACCCATCGAGCAAAGGCTACAACAGATGGAAGTGCAAAGTTAGAAGCAGCAGTTTCTGCATTCCAATCAAGGTGGATACCAAGCTCTGGATATATGAACAGGTCCTCACAAACCCAGACTCCAACTAACATCTTCTGGAAGCTGTTGTTTGAAGCCTCAGAGTTTCCTCATCAGCCTTGTGTGCACATTAAAAATAGTACATTTCCCAGCCAAAACATCCTTCACCTTTATAAACAAAGCGACATAAACACACAAACACATGCATGAATAAACAAACATACCCACCAACACAACCAAACAGAGCACCCAGACTCACACACACACACAAACATCTGCAGACATTAACCCACATACACAAGCACACATTTTTTCCACTTCAGTTAAAACGCCCTGGATGGTAGCAATAAAGGTGATGCTGCCTTGAGTGATCTGATTTGATGGGCAGCTCTTTGAGCAATAACGTGCACTCCAAAGTCAATATCCTGTGAAGGAATATTTAAGCAGCGGCTGTGTTTGGAAGTTTTCTGACAGCTGCTCTCAAACCATTGCCACAGCTGTGTGAGCAGCAGGGTGGAATCACACTGCAGCAAGTGCTGCATCAGTCAAGCAGCCAAACTCCTCTGCCAAACCCCGACCCCTTTACTCACCATTTAACAGCAAATCAGCAACCTTAACTGTACATATTTGAACAGTCTGTACACCCCACCTCCCCTCCCGCACCCCCCCCCCCCCACACACACCCATTTCTCAATAAGCAATCTGACATTCCTCATGGTCCTGTCCAGAGTTCTTAACATTTACGTTTGCGCAGAATTTTACAAAAGTTCTTAAGTTTCACCTTAATTTGAAACTGTTTTTCCCACAGTTCCCTCCACATTCTGTTATCTTTTATCCGAATTGAAGTATGGATCTTAAGCACTGCTGCTTAAGCACTGCAAGAAAAAACCCGGCTTCCAAATAAGGAGGATTTTTAATTTTTTTTTAAAGAATCTTGAACTTTGAGGTAATGGTGTTAAGGCTGAGTGCAAGAAGAATTTGGGGAACGGTAGTTAAGGAACAGGGATAGGTCAAGGGAAGGTTTTTTGAGGACGGGTACAATTAAAGCAGTTTTGAATAGGGTGGGATGGTGCTAGTGGACAGAAAGGTTGATGGTATCCTTTAGTAAGCAGGCAAGGAGGTGTAGCTGGGAGTCAGAAGAGGGAGAGAGCCAGGGCCAGGGTCAAGGGAGCAAGTGGTGGACTTCATTCGGAAGAGGGAAGAGGCGATGAAAGAGGGAGAGGGGTTGAAGATGTAGAGATAGGGTGAGGTTGGAGGGAGAGATTGTCCCAAGGCACTGGACAGTGCAGGATTTGTACCACCTCATAAACAAACCAGTAGCATAAAGAAGCACACTGTAATAAGACTGCACTCTTGTAAGGGCCAAAATGCATCTTGTCTCTGTTCAAAATGCCTAATGAACACAATCAACAACAACTTGCACTTATATAGCGCCTTCCACCCAGGGTAGCATCTCAGAGCGCTTAACAATGGCAGAGCATGAGCCCGAGCCAGGGTGGGGGAAGGGAGGTGGCCATAAGCACGGTCGAAAAGGAAGGTTTTCAGACCAGACTTGAAAAGGGGGAGAGAGGAGGCAAGGCAGAGGGATTGAAGGAGAGTGTTCCAGAGTTTCAGAGCGTAATGGCTGAAAGTTGACTCCAATGGTGGAGTGGAGGGTGCGAGGGACGAGCAGGAGGCCAGTGCCAGTCGAGTGGAGGCGCTGGGTGGTGGATTGGGGAGTGAGGAGATTGGAGAGGTAGGGAGATGCCAGAGAGTGAATGGATTTGAACACTATTGTGAGGATCTTGAAGTCGATCCGTTTGGTGATGGGGAGCCAGTGGAGCCTGGCCAGAAATCGATAACTAAATGAAGTGGGAGCCTTCTTATATAATAGGTTAACCACAATGCTATGTGCATTACACTCATAACTACTTTTTATGAGTGATGATTCAGACCAATGCCTATCTGAGTAAACAAATCTCATCATCACATCTTTCCAGTGTAGCATTTGTTAAATTTATCAGTGAAGGAAATAGGCTTGTCCAAAATACCTAATGGTGTAATAATCTACAGTTATGTCTTTATTAGTGTGATAATATTTCCATCTTAAAACATTAATGCCATTTGTAGTTACTTGCAATGCTGGCATTCAGTTTCACAGTTAATGACAGTACATGTGCCCGTTTTTAAGATGACTTAATTTCTTGGAAAAAAACAGTTGGGGAAATTCTGTGCACATTCACAATAACTGTACAAAGATACTGTACTTCCAGTGTGAATGATTCAGTTAAATAAATGTCATGTAATGTCACAGTATATGGGTGTGAACAATTGCAATCTTCCATGTGACAATGAAGTGATGAGGCTCCATATAAAGAACTGCCACTTCTCTTTGTATTTAAATCTGCCTTTCCTACAGATTTGTCTGAGGTTTGTTTTCAATCTTTCAAAATTCTTTTGTTTGGTATAATTCATTTTTTAACAGATTGTCCCCACCCCCTCCCACCACCATAAAAATATGATACACGTCAGTGAATGGTGTTAAGCTCAGCAGGACCGCTGACTTGAAGTAGTTTGTGAGACTGACCGCTCGGGAGCTATAACAGCAACAACTCACATTTATATTTATGTGCCTTTCATGTAGGATAATGCCGTGGAGCACTTTACAAAGACAAGGGTCACTTCACAGAATATACCATAAAGTGAATTGACTGTATATTTTGTGGGAGAAATTAGGCAGCCAATTTCGCACAGCAGTCTTCCACAAACAGTCGTGGATTCAGTGACCAAATTATTATTCAGTTCTTGCTGTCAGGCTCAGTAACCCTATTAAAGCCACATCTTCATGACAGTACTAGTGAGCCCAAGGTAAAAAAAATATTAAAATATTTAAGTTGCAATGGACAGAACCAAAAGATTGGAATGTTACTCAATGTTGTTTGGAGCAGCTCGATTTTTATGAATAACGGCAGTGTTGACATTCCCTCCTATGCTTCTAGAAGTCACACCTCTGCTATAATTCACAGATTGCCTGGTCCCCATGGTGATGCATCATGTCTATGAGCTACCACAGTCGCAGCTCATAGGTTCTACAGATACTTAAATGCATTGTTTAGACAACTATACAAATGGATGATTAGTTACATTTATTAGGGTGAAAATTCCAACCTGTGCTGTGTTAATCAGCACATCACTGAAACTTCCACCCAGTCAATAACACATTAAATGGGAAAAACAGCTAGTGTGGCCTTTCCACTACTCCAGCACAATAGTTTTTTTTCTGAGTTAAGAAAGTGTAACATTAACATTGGGAGTCCAATGCCTCAATCCAGCTCAATTTAAAAGCCGCTGACACGAGCACGTGAAGATACTACACACAAGGGAAATGGTGCTATATAAAAGTAAAATTGCCGGTGAATACTAAAAATTTACCAATTAAAATTGGAAAAAGATAAGCCCAAGCATAGGGTGGCCACAAAGACACAGTGTAGAAATTATTCATGTGGCTATAGATAAATGGCACTTCATTTCTACACGGTGTTCACAAAGTCCCGTTACCCCGTTTTTGTTTCTTACAATGAATTTTCATTTTCTGTTTGCTAATGAGTCAAGTGTAACAATGTCTGATACCAGTAACTTCCTCATCACTCCATCCATGTTACGGTAGATTTCACACCGAATATGGTGACAGATCATTATCTGGCATGAAAATGCTGGTGCTCACACCAATCCTCTAGATGTCTAAACGGTTGTACTGAATACAATTAAGTACTTCTAAATGCAATAATCATCATTCATCCACAAGTTTCTGTTGGGCAATGCACTGCATACAAATAAGCCATGGGGGTAACAGGACTTTGTGAATACCCTGTACGGGTTGCTTATAGATTTACATAGAGAATAGGTGGAGCTCATTAGATCACTTACCTTTTGACTTCTTCATCTGTGGCAAGCTGCTGATTGTAGTTGCCTGAATTATTTCAACGACAATTTGATACCTGTTTTTTTGTTTAAAAAAGAGAGAAATTGAAATTTTATTATTGATTATTACCCTAACAGTGAGTACTGTACAAATTTTATTTCCATGCAACTGTAACGTCGGGGCATTCAATTCTCAACTGGGTCACCAACATCCATTTCCCTGTCTCCGTGACGTACTTGCATGCCTCCAGGCAGCATGTTGCACACTCTCGATGGGTCAAGGGATGGGGGAAAACTGTCTGGTACTGTTTAAGGGTGTGGAATGATTGACCAAGGAATGGCACTGATGCAGACTAAGGAGACTGGATTGCCTCAAATCACGGGATAGCACAAATGCTGGGAGGTGAAGGTAGACAGAGTAAAACAACAGCAATAAAATGAAAGATACTATTCCAGTCAAGAAGGTCATATGAGGCAACTCAAAACATTCCAAAGATCAAGTGAGATTAAAATCACTCTTACACATCACCGCACCAACCAAGCACCTCAAAATCAACTTCTAATTCACAGCACAAAGGAAGGAAAATACTTTGCCTACTAAAAGCGGCCAACTGAAGCAGGAATAATAAATACATTAAAGTATTTACAGCACTAACATAACTGAAAGTATCATTGCTTGGATTAAATTCTATAAAGGTTTGCATAGGATTTATTTCTTGAGCTATTTTTCACATTTCTTTCACCTGCACAGATTGGAAATCCTCTATTATTCAGGACTGTCTCTAGGAAGGAGCTGAGGTGACGTGATCGATCACCTGAACATTTCTGGAGCAAACATTGTATCGTCTGCAAATAAACAGCTCAGTGAAGACTTGCTATCAATTTGTGAGCCTTCCTGGAGGATCTCTGAATGTTCTTAAATTTATTCAAGAAAGTTATTTTGGGATTAATCTGCTATAGTTCTTGAAGGGATTCCATATTAAAGAATACGTTTAGAATTTATGACAGACCTATGGAACTAGAAGGTGATCTGGATTTCCCATGGGTCAATGTGACATGCAGTACTGTCCTTTAACAGAAGGAGCCTCCGTTTACTGCAGCGAGGATTCCCTATTTACAATCCTGTTTAAATGAATAAAACAGTAATAATCTTTGCATTTGGTATAGCACCTTTCAGGTAGGGAGGACATCTGAAAGTCCTTCACAGGATTTACTGTGAAGTGACTGTATTTGTAGGTGAACAAGGCACACCAATGTCCCACAAACAGCTACGAAACAAATACCCAATTTACTTTTGTGGGATTATTGGCCAGGAAACCGGAAGAATCACTTTTCTCTTTTCAAGGAATGCCATGGGATCTTTAACTTCCACCTGAAAAGGCAGATGGAACCTCAGTTTAATATCTCATCTGAAGAACAAGATCTCCGGCAATGCAGCAGGATAGCAGTGAAGTGTCAGCCTAGATAGACTGCGTCAGTTCACGTCCCAACATGGGGCTTACGATTGAGTGGTGAGAGTACTATGAACTGAGCCAGACTGACAACTACTTTGTAGGCTCTGAAATAATAAAAAATAGCCCCTATTCATTGTCAAAATAGACTACACCAGGTAATTAACAGATTATCTTAGAAGCACAGTCTCTCTGCCACCTCAGAAACATCTCTCCCAAAAGATATCTGGACAACCATTTGCTACTAGGAAAAAATTGTTCTGTTATTTGCATCAAGCATATAATCTTTGCATTTTTATAATCCTAGCATTTCATATAGTACCTTATCATGTAGTCCAGGTGCTCAAAGCTCTTCATAGGATTTCACTATGAAGTGTAGTGACTGTGTATTTGAAAGCAAAAGCAAAATCCGATTTACACACAACGAACATTCATGGTGAATGACCAATATTATCTGCCTATACAACACAGTCATAACACTTCACAGTAAATTTGTAAAGCACTTCGAGACCTCCTCCCAAAATGAAAAGTGCTACATCAAATGCAAGGATTACATAATAAAAATTGGTAACTGATGTTATTGCTCCACTAACCACCGGAATTAAATAGACCACATTCAGAAAGTGTACCATTGCTCATTCAGTACAGGAAATTCAAAGGTTATAAATTCAATGACAAATTGGTTTTGCAACATGAAGTGTTCTAGGGGAAATGAGTCTGTATAGCAAAGCATAGCCAGAATATTACAGCAATACTGAGAAAAAAACAAAATGAGGTCTGCTTATCTTTCCAAACTAATCATTTGGTTGAAAGAATTGTAATTTTGGAAACAGCAGATGGCTACAATGCAAATGGTATTCTCCCCTCCCCTGCCCAGTTAGCATATTTATCACTACAACAGACACGAAAACCATCTGCAGCTTTGCAGCGCAATCAAAGGTGCATGGTTTGAATGTTTTATCATCTTGGCTTTTCACTGACAGCAGCAGAGATATGAAGCCATTACTTATTAAATGAACCAGAAGAAATGAGTTGAATAATATCTTTATTTTATAATGGGACCGGGATGTGCATGTTAACAGTGAAAGTGTGTGTGTATGTGTGTGTGTGGTTATATGTACATTATAAAAAATAATAAATAATCCTTGCATTTGATATAGCACCTTATTACATCATTGAAATATCTCAAAGTGCTTCACAGGATATACTGTAAAGTGGATTGACTTTTTGATTTTGTGGGCGAAACGCAGCAGCCAATTGCACACAACAATGTCCCTCAAACAGCTATGGAGTGAATGACCAATTACATCGACAAGCGAGACTTCAGCTGCGACCAAGGCATCATGAGAATCAAAGTCTTGTGTATGGCGTGACATACAAGAGGCTCACAGAAAATACAGTTCATGGGGCACTTTTTTGCAGTGGTTCTGCCAATCAAAAAGCTATTTCAACCCCACTAGCAGCATTAACTTGTACAATCCATTCCCATTATAAGTAGAGAAAGACAGTCGATTATAAAAACATCCAATCACTGAATCTTGTCACACTGTGTCACTCAGTGCACCTGCATCACACCACATTTTGTGAGCGTTTCTGTGTGGTTGGGGGTGTAACACTGTTTAGAAAAGGTTTATTGAAATGCTATTTTGTTAGGTGCTTGCTGGTTTATTTTCCTTGTTATAATTGATCGGAAAATAGATGTATTTTGGCAGCCTGCAGGAAGCAGATCTGTTTTTTTCAGGAGTTTTTTCAGGACTCAGATGTCCATGGCTGTTGTTTTTAACCATGACTAATCCAGGATTTGCCAAACAATTTGCCACAACAAATAAATAATACAAGCCTATTGACCATGCATTTGTGAAATTAACTCAGACCCTGTTGGTACATAATGTTGCCGTACAATTATTTAAACCAACTTCATTGAGCGAGTAGTAAACATATGGAACAGGCTCTCTGAGTTGACTGTGGAAGCGGAAATATTGATTTTTTTCAAGAACGAATTATATGGATTTCTGTTGGGAAATAATATTTTGGGATACATATATAGTTTGGGACACAACGTATCATGCAACTGCCAGGATGGTGGAAGACAAACTGAATGGACTTTGGTCTTCTTTCGCCTAGCAATTCTTATGTTCTTAACTCAACTGCTTCAATAGACTAGGCTCGAGATTGATGCTGCTAACATGTTTACAATTTTCAGTCACACGGTTACCAAGGAAAAGGCACAGATTACAATTCAGCTCCGGCACCTCAGCCTTCAGCTGATCGAAAGGGTATTTAAATAGATGCACGAGGCAAGGAGCATTCCTTTCACTTATGCACTGACATTGTATAGAAATTTCATGGATGATAATGACAAAGAGAAACAACACATGGAATAATAGGTGACCGGCAGCAAGTTCAAGGCATTAACTCTATCAGGCGTTTGTAACAACGGGCTGCAAGCGCGCAGCTTGAGGAGCTTATGAACGTCAGCACAAGTGTATCTAATTGAATTACTGCTTCAAGCTCCTGCTGGTTATCGTTTGTCCTTCAGTCCAGAGTTAATTTTATTTTTTGTTTTAAAAAAATTAAACTTATTGTTTAACTGTTGGGCTGCCAGCAGGTCCGCAGAAACTCTCGTCTCAGTGCGCCAAACATTTCTGCCTATTTCTCAGCATATGGTGGCATTAAAAATGTTTACAGAAATAAAAGCTATTCATAAGGTTATCGTTGTTACTGTAATAATAAATACAAGCCAACAAAAGTGCCTTATCATGGCCTTATCATGCACTGAGCAATTTAAAATAAAATATCTTGAACTTTCTTCAATGCAGTGCTTCATTTTTCCCCCTTTCTCTTTCTCTATTTTAAAGCATTTTCCGATTAGCTACAGTCTGAAGGTTGAAGTGTTGCAGCTGAATTGTAATCTGTATTTTCCATGGTAACTGTTTAAGTAAAAATCATAAACATATTAGTGGCAACAGGCTGAGCTAGAATTTAGGAATGCAACTTAGTTAGGAACATAGCCTTATTACTTTTTCACACTTTTTTTTAAAGTCAATTCTAACTTTTTGTTTTATTTCTAACTTTCAAAGGTCTCACTTGACTTTCTTGTAGCTGAAATCAACCATTTAGAAGGAGCAAGTTGGTCAAAAACTTGCTTCCATTGCTCTAATCGGGGTTGTTAGTCGATTGGCAGGTCGCTTTTCCGGTGGTAATAATCACTCCCAAAATAATAATAATTTGGCCACTCAATCAACGGCTTTGATGGATTTTTCCATGAGCCTCTGTAAATCTATTATGTTGAACATGTGCTCAGGTACGTAAAGATAGAGAGATGGCAGGTCCTAATTGAAAACCAGAGAGTCAAATTTGAATATATACAGCAGCGCAGATAAAGACCGTTTCACGTTATACAATGATTCCTTTATTGTAGAGATGTGGGGTTGGAAGTTTCTTCTTCATTGACTTGAGTTAATCTGACATGTCGATTTCGAGTACCAAAAGATTCTTTCAACAACATCTATCCGATCATCTGATAACCTGAAATCCTTTTCATTTCCAGGAACTTGTCCACTTATATTTTTAACCCCCTTGTCGTTCTTTACTCCTGGTTACTAAACAAAAAAAATCTCAGGCAC